TCGCAGAATTTCGTCCCCCAGTCGGTTCCTGTCCCTGCTCACCAGAGAAATCCGGATGAGTTTGCCTACGTCACTCGGCACCATCGGAAAACCAGCATTGACGAGAGACGAGTGAGTAAAGCTGAAGCGCCTTTGTTTGCTGTACTAAAACAAAACATAATACCTAATCCCTTTACTTCTCACCTTGGTTTACCGCGAAACTCCTATTCTCGTGCGGCAAATATGTGTAGAGAGCTAATGATAATGTGATAGACTCGAAACTTGAAGCGTCCTGCTAACTTTTCCCCTCACGTCTCTGCCCTCAACAGCAATAATTATGCCTCTAACGAGATGGATGCCGATTCTGATCTCCACGAATACTCCTTAGACAACTCTCATACAAACGGCAACACACATGTACCTCACCATCCAGGTGTTCCCTTTCCTATTGACACCTTCCCCATGGAGAACGACCCTATTATTACTTCGGCAGGACCTTTTCAGCAGGGATTTTCGTTCTCGCCATCGTCATCGCCAATGGTTCCCCATGGCCCCTTTTCGAGCTTCTATAATCCTCACGGTGTTGCGTCCAACTCGGTCAATGGCGCAGACTACTATTCCCCACCGGGATCTGCGTACCAGTCGGCTGTTTCTACACCACATCCTATGGTAGAAAATGAGAGCATATTTTTCAGCTCGATGGATATGCGCCATCAGCGAGCACCAAACTTCCGTCCAGGGCCGGCGGGGTCTATGAGGGGTCAGATGAACCAGCAATTTATGCACCAACATAACGGTAATTCTATGTTTCCACCAACCACTACCGGAGCAGATTCTTCTGCCTCGTTTACGCAAACCCTTAATTTCGGTCATGTCGATCCAAGCCAAGTCTTTCAGCCGGACAATCCAGTTCGTTCTCCAGGTGTTGGCATGACACATGAGAATATGTTTAACTTCGGTGCTGATTCCGATAACGAAGATGAGGAGGGTGGTGCGTTTGCTGATCGTAACATGGGTATTCAATTTTCACCTGAAAACGAATCAGGGATGGACATGGGCAATCAAAATTCTATGGGATGGGATGCTTCTTTGCCTGGTCAATTTAGCACACAAGCAGCTCGTTATCCTGGTGGACCGCCTCGAAAGCAAGTCACTATCGGAGGCACGACAACAGATTATTTAGAATCGGGTGATTGGGACGGCCAAGGCAGCCTACCGCGGTCCCAGTCGTTTCGATCGGCCAGCGACAGGCGTCAGAAGATCCCTCGTACAGCTTCGACGCCAAACGCCAACATGGGTGGCCGTGGGAATCCGTTCGACAAATTGGCTCAGTCGAACCCGAATTCTCCGCCAGCAGACATATCAGGTAATATCTCGGGCTTCTCTTCCGTGGCACCCAGTCGACCTGGTTCCCCGCCTGGTTCCAAACACGGGTCCACGAGCAACCTGCAAGCTGCCGCGGGAGGGCAGGGCGATGGAGGCACGCCTACTACTTGTACCAACTGCTTTACACAAACTACACCGCTGTGGCGTCGAAACCCAGAAGGCCAGCCCCTGTGCAACGCTTGCGGTCTGTTTTTAAAGCTCCACGGAGTCGTGCGGCCTCTAAGTCTAAAGACCGACGTTATCAAGAAACGTAACCGCGGATCTGGCGCGAGCCTTCCTGTTGGCGGAACGAGCACGAGATCCAAAAAGAACACTGGCAACGCGGCAGGGACCGCCTCTGGACCCGCTTCCCGAAAAAATTCGACGTTAGCTATGTCTGCTACGAACAGCGCAACGCAGGTGACTACGCCACCATCGGTGACCAACAGAGCCGGCAGCGTCAACGAGGGCGAAAGTCCTGCAAGCGGCGCTGGCGGTTCCGGAGGTAACACGGCAGGAAGTACGCCAACTAGTTATGCGGGCTCTGCTACTGGTGCGGTGGGCGGCAAAGGTGTTGTGCCAATTGCAGCAGCTCCACCAAAGAATGTACCAGGGCCGGGTGCCGCCTCACTCCCGCGAAATATCGGCGCCAACGGTTCTTCCAAGCGTCAGCGCCGTAGTAGTAAAAGCACTGGGCCAAATGAGTCATCTAACGGCATGGATATTGACAGCCCTGAGAATTCGACTGGTTCGAATGAAGCAGCTCGTTCCATTAGTTCTTCGAACGGATTCACTACCATGTCGAACCCAGGAAACCTGGGCCTTGCCAACGGTTTTGGCATGTCTCAAAGACCGATGATGGGACACAGCATGCCCGGAATGTCCGGGAGCTCTACTGGTGTAATGAATTCCGGATCTGGAAACGGCCCTCAAGAATGGGAGTGGTTGACTATGAGTCTCTAATATTTCTTCCCCGAAGGATTTTGGTATGTACGTCTGTACTAGGTACTATTTACGACACGGTTCTGGGATTCCTGATTTACGCATCTGCTCAAGCGCTTTCGCTTGGATTCTGCATGGAGGTTTTCTGGCTTCGACTAATCGTGTCCGACCTAAGGAGCGAATGGCTGGACCGATTTATTGTGAACAATGGCTCGGCTAAACTCGCTACGGCATGGATGACGAATGTTCACGACATCACATATACGGCGGCGTTGGATTCTCTAAATTTTATGACGGAGCGACCATTCCTTTTTTATATACCATTCGCCTGACACTTTCGCCAATTCTGCATATGGCTTACTGCTGCGGTATCGGGTTCTTGATCGCTCACATAATTATACACCCAAACATTGAAACTGGGTTTTCTATGCGCATGGTCCAAAGGCTACGTGCTAGGAGAAATTTATATCATAATGCTATATCATGAGTTTGATAGCAATTCTACCTCAGTTTGGATTACTTGACTCTATACACTTACGAAGAATTTGCACTTGGTTCCTCTTGGCATCCGTCCACTACCTTGAATACCTTAGGTACCTACGCAACACGATCTCACTCACAATACCACAAGATTCTAAATGAAAATTGGTTACGGGACATGCCGTGATGGTTTATTAGTACGACAGCCATTTAGGACAACCCTTTACTTTGCGAGGAAGTGGTTCGGTCGGGTGTGCCACGAATTTTGCGCTGTATTTTCTTTGCCTTTGTGGCTAGGACTCGGATAAGGGGTCTGTAGATACGGGATTGATACCATTGTTGTTTCTAGACAGGCACGCAGGTCACGTACGGACCTAGGAAGCATAGGGGAGGATCATGGCCACCAGACCTAGCTTTATTGAGCTACACGTATAGACGGGTAAGCAGACTAGCAGACAGATGGACGGGGTACGAGGACGGGTCAGGAGTCAGTTGCACTACTTCGTGGTTTAATGACGACGCTATAAGATAAGGGCATCCGAGGCGCACGCACTCTACCACCCCAATTCCTATGAAGAAGATCTTCAACCCTTTGCGGACACAATTGCTGCTATTACGAATGTCCGCTCGCTTGTCTAGGTAGATGCTAGGGTAGATGATGAAGAATATAATAAGACTAAAGCCATGCACCAAGTAGTCCAGACCCGAGTTTCTATTTTTGCTAGGACTTACAGCGCTACAGGCAGGTAGGCAGACACTGATGCTCCCTGTCCCTGTCCCTGTCCCGGTCCCGGTCCCGACCACCCCGTGCCCATTGTCAGGTGTGTACCTATTTCACCGAGCAATAAATGAAAAAAGAGGGAGGGCCTTGGCGTATAAGTTACCTCGAGATGTATGCCGAATGTCGTAGGTACGTACATGTGCATATTCCTTCCATACGTCTCTCCCTTCGCTGACTAAGATACCTCCTTGGGCATATAACTCCAGAGTTGGAGCAGAATGTATCGGGATTTGGGAACTACAAGACGTGCCCCTATCCCGTCCGGCCCGGATTGCTTGTCAGGCAGCAGGTACCTTAGTTAGGTAACTACCTAAACAAGTTAAGTTAGGTTAGGTCAAGTTAGGATATACATACATAAGGGCTCTTGAAGAGGTAAGGGGTGCTAAGTGGTGTTTAGGGCATGATTTGGTCTTTGTTCTTGGAGATAGATCAAAGCTTGGTTAGGGGGGGAATGCTGTTTCTCTGCTTTTCTTTGTTTGCCTCGTACTTGGTGCTTATAGAGACCAAAGCCGATGGTAAGCTGGATTCGTGTTGAGGGGGCGAGGGAAGTATATTCTTAGCTTAGCTCGGCTTGTCTGTCTGCCGAGCTTGTAGGGTAGGTAAGTGTAAGTAGTTGAGGTGTAGTTTGTTATCTGTTTAAGCTGTTTGCATGTGACATGGAGGATAGCTAGGACGAGTTACCTTTTAGTACTTGTGGCTTTGCTAATTTTTGTTCGTGCCGGGCTTTTGTTGGTTTCTATCTGTTGTTGGAATCTTAGAGTTGTGATTATTGATTATTCGAAACCAGACAGCATGATAAACATAACATTCACCCACAATATTAGCCAAGGCTGATATTGGAGCAGGAGTGGAAGAGTCTGCCGCATCTCTAAAATCCTAGTATACCAGTAGCCAAAACTGTAAATATTCACCTTCTTTCTAGAGATAGTTGTCTTCATACATCAGGTGCTTACCGTGTCCAATACCCGTTAGCTCTATACAGAATGAGCGTACTAGAGGTGTTTAAAGACTTGGTGTTAGCCGGGATGAGACATCACTACTGGCAGTCAACACAATGGCCATATATTTTATTACTAGGTTAGGAGGCTGTTCACATATTAAGGCTACGGCAAGTCGAGATAAAGACAATGGATACAGCTAACATGCTTCACACATGCTAGCATATCCCAGCAATACGTATAAACAATCACAATCACCTTTACCAATAACAAGCTTTGCAGAGAAATTACTGTCCCTGTATTTCTGCCTTTTCCAGGCGATACCTGCGTAAGTACAGACTCGAGGCCTGTGGGTAATGACCAAGACCAAGCCAGAACGATGATGCCGTATGACTCCCTAACGAAAGATGCAAATCCCTATGCATCCGTAACCTCCGTTTCATCCATTCACTTCCGATCATAATAGAGCAGAGTGTGCTTGCCTGTCATACGTAAAAAGAGGTGGACGCTCAGAGCTAGACCCTGTCGAATGTCTGCTCGTCCATCGCCTTCCGAATCCTCTCGAGTACGGCACCGGCTGCCCTCAAGAGGGTAGGCGCTGCGTCGCGCTTATGTGCCAGGGTTGGGGTTCATCTGCTGAGGTGTTAGTATAGAATCCAGATGGATCTGGTTTGGAAGAAGAAAAAAAGATGCGCACCTTTCGCTTGCCACCAGTCAGGGTGACGTTGACAAAACGGCGGGTGTATGTGAGTCTCTTCTTGGCGCGGCCCTTAGGGGTCTTGGACTTCTCTTGCTTCTCGACCTGTTTTAATGTTGTTAGTTTCCTGTACTTTTTTATCCTTGATGACCATGTCCAAAACAAGTGCGTATTTGATGAAAGAAGCGCGCGTATTGAGATGGCAGATGATGTAGGTCCCTCTTCGGAAGGTTCGGTTGAGGTGATATTTTCGACAAAGCAAGTGGCAAATTGTAGATTGTTTTGCTGCGAGTCGCTAGATATTCGAATAATCGTTTACGGTCGACGAAACAAATTGCTTGAATCGTACGCGCGCTCTTTGATGGCAAGGATGGAATTCTCGGAATACTGGATGAACTAACCTTAGGGGTCTGAGACTTGACCTTACCTATAGATATTGTCAGTATATTTCCATCTCGAATTAAAATAATATGCATCAGCATTTCAATTGGAGCAACGTACCGGCACGGGCGAGAGATCCGTGAACTTTTCCCATCTTGAAAGATTGTGCTGTAGACTGTCTGGAAGTCGATGAAGTAAGTTGGTAAGAGTGGAAGAAAATGGGTCGATGTGGGCGGGTTTTGCTGATGAATTCTAAATTCGCAAGTCTTGGCACTCAGAACGATGTTGTGAGGGTTTGGGGTGGAAAGAGTCACACCGAAGAGAGTCTGGCTTCGTCAAAAATTCCACAAAGGGCTAAGTAAGCCCTGGTCATGTGACTATGTCTTAGCTGCATCTCCGAAAGCCCCGCGTCAAAGTTTATTGCATAACCCGGATGAGGCAAGATTCCGCGGGTATTTATCGGTATGTTATCGGAATGCACCTAGGTACATATGTATGTACGGATTAGTTCAAGACCCACTTGATGCATCATTTCACATGGGATCGTTTGACTTCAGACCGGGTGACCAGCCATTGGCCTCTTCTTCATCTCGTTTGATTAGTTCTGGCACAGACCGCCAAACGCCATCGAACAGACGGTATGGAATTGTAATTTCAGCTCTAACTGGATCTCTTGTAATCTTAGAGCTTATAAACTTAAACTTCCTCTTTCCTTATACTCTAACGCCTTAACCCGTCTTCGCCGAAGTCTAGCTGCACGGCCCTACGCACTTAGGTACCTACCTACCTATACACTCTTTCGCAATGAGGTTCCTACGTAGCTTGCCCTTCGTCTCTCTAGCTGCGCGCTCCTGCGTAGCGGAATCCACCTCGGAACCGCAGTACATCCTCAGCAACCCTCCCGCCTCGGAATCAAATTATCGGATTCCGACTTCGTATGAGTCTGCTGTGCTCGGTCGACGCATCCTAGCTCTTACTCCACTTGGCACTCTCTCCACAGTCTTCCCGGACTCGTCCCGCGGACGCCAGCCAGATGGCCTCGGCGGCGTGCCTCTCGGACTAATGGAGTATGTAGCGGATTGTGAGGAGGAGGGCAACCCTACCATCCTGGCTATTAAGATCGGGTCGACCTTCAGGAATGTGGATAGTGGTTCCAACATCAGTCTAGCTCAGGAATGGACTCCTCCATACCCACCAGACAAGCGCATCAAATCCACCTTCTTCGACTGGCTGTTTGGACGTGATACCGACACCAAGGACAGAGTGCCGTACAGCGCGGTCAATCTTCCGCGTTACAGCCTGCTGGGCTATATCGAGAAGATTGATTCGGCTGATGCTAAGGCACTGTCATCGTGCTTCGTAGATACGCATCCCGACAGCAAGTACTGGCTCCCCGGGAACGAAATCCACGAGTCCGAGTTCGTGAGGCTTGTCGTTACACAAGTATACTGGATTGGTGGCTTCGGCGACAGAGCTTATATCGGCTGGATCCCTATCGATGAGTGGAAGAACGTCACCAGGAAGGAGTGGGAAAGTGTGAGACTACCTGGAGAGAAGAAGGGCTGGGACGAATGGAGCACTTCGGATCTATGAGCACTGGCTGCTCATATGTAGAACATATCTGCGCAACTTTGGTTTTCAATGCTCTCTGAGTGTTATGTCCATTGGTTTGGTAAGCGATCAGTTTAGGGTATGAATTGGGATTTTAATGGTACTGATACTATGGTAGTAGTTATATGTTCATGTTCATGTTCATACCTAAGTGAAAAGAATAGTAAATAACAATGATGCCGTCGAAGAAGAAAAATTCTACTAAATGATATAGAACCTATCTTTTTGCAGTGAGTTTTCCGGTTACTGACATCGGTTAATGTCGTAGTCGAGCCTAGAATTTTCTCGTAAGAACATATATGTCGAATTTAAAGCACTTGGATAATGCTGGTTTTCTAGGTAAAAAGGTATAGCAAGATATAACGACCCGTTATTTACTCGGGAGATATTTATACTGAAAGTGCCCGCATATTAGTGCGCGATCGCTAGTACGAAAGACCAGGAAACCACCACAAAAAGTTTTGACAAGAGTGGGACTTGAACCCACGCGGATTGCTCCATGAGGATGTTGGAATTAAGGTGACCTTAACCTCACGCCATAACCAACTCGGCCATCTTGCCTTGGTGATCAGATTCGTATTGGGTCTAATGAAATAACCGTGGATTCCGGGAATGCCTTCAATTCTTGTGGCATCTATTGCACAGGATCACAGTCCCATGTAGGTTCGCCTTATTAAGTTCATTACTTAGGCTAGGTAGTTTAAAAAAAATAGAAAAAAAAATAGATACTGAAAGGAGTACGCTGCTCCAACTATTTGTGATTGGCTGTCTGTTAAGTTGTCCGCTTAGTATCAAACTAGGATAGAGTTTACAAACGTGAGAGTAAAATGCAAATACTTTGACAGTTGTGAGCCAGCATACTTAGCCTAGGGTTAGAAAACACAAGATTAGATTTTGCGAAGGACTTTTGGGAATCTTTATTATGCTATGTACGTGTAACTATGTCTATGCGTCTCTAGGATAACAAAAAGAGTCTTTAAGGTAGAACTAAATATTAGAGCCCATGGTAATGAGAATTGGTTATGATACGTTATATCCAAGCTTTGGTCTGCTTTAGTGTATCAAGGCAGCTTAGAAACGACGTTAAAAATAATCATGAGGAAGCGCCATTACCAAGATTGTTGTCGTTAGGACTTACCTCGGTCACCGGGGCTTCTAAATCACGTCCATACCCGTTCGTCTCGAACAGTCCCTTTATGTAGTCAAAAACCGACTGTAAGCCCTCTGGGCCTTGAATGGGTTCGATCATAGATTTGCGGATGTCTGCGATAGCTTGTCTCAAAGCCTCAACATTACCACCTCCTGGCGGCGAGTGCTGGAGGCTGATTAAAATGCTGTCCGCAGCAAGGAACGCAACGTCCGCCGTGTACCGAAAGAACTTGATAGCCCAGTCCTTGCCTAGGCACAACTCGATCTGGTTGAATACAGTCTCAAGATGGACACGATGTCTCCATTTCCAGATGATAGACGGGAGACTATGCCACGTCTCGGAGTAATTGAACCCGCCGAAAACAAGGAGGTCGTTGATTAACTTCTTGAACATCTCTGCCGTAAACAGCTCTGGGGGCGCATCGTAAACCGCCGAGAGGGCATCGCGGACGCCGCAGAGGTCGGCCAGCTGACACTGTGTACATTGGATATCGACATCCCTATATCTCTCTTCGAAGAAGCCCGCAGGGCTGAAATAGTAGAGCACGATACTAGGAAGAGCGTCATCTGCTGCTATGAATGCTTCGCAGTCCTCACATATTCTGGGGAGAGTTACACTCAACTCAGACATATTTATGTTGTGATTCTCCATGATGAAATGCAATGGTGTTTACGTCCGTGGATGGTAATACTGTTGGAAAATATATTTGAGTAAGCTCCAAGTTTGGTATGGTATCATCTCTATGGATAAGGGGAGAGGGACATGTTATTTGGTATTTATACTTGACTCTAACCAAACAATGTCTTCTTACTTATAAACAACATTGTCCTCCTGATGAAAGCCTATATTTCAGCATCATTGTTCACCGGTGAACAATGCTGAAAGGAACGAACTAGGTTGGGTCATTGTAGAGCCAGGTTGTCTTTGCATAGAAGTCGAGCGAACAATTTAACTAGCTGCCTGCTTCATTGTATCTAAGCATTCTATCATTGGCATTGCTATTTTTTAGATGGTAAGGTAAAGATGCGCTTGCGCCAAACTCTGGCCAATCAAAGACTGTTTTCAATCCGATTTGGGGAATATTCACCTAAGCAATTCCACTCTATTGTTGAACGCCCACCCATTTCGTCTGTCACCTGGAATGATCTGCTACGAAATTCGTGATGTGTGTATTAGATGCCAATAGCTGAACTAGTCAAAAATTTCATTACTGACCACTAGATAATGGTAAGCCCTGATATTCACCTTGGCTACAAATACGCCCACGCCCAATGACAAGTTGAGATCGCAGCCACCAATGATTGATAATATTTCTATTCCCTATCCATATTGTACATATAGAGTCGTTACCGAGATCCAGCCAACCTCCACGCCCTTAATGGTAGGGTTTGTAATATCAGAACCCTCTTTCTGATATATAGAGTGAAAGTCAACACCCCCACGATGACGCAGAGGACGTTCACAATATAAAATCCATCATGCAATGTCTCGCACGTACCACCGCCGTGCTCGCATCGCTCTCTCTCGGCTTGAACGGCGCAGGAGAACTCTTGCGTTACAAGCGGCCCTCTGAGCGCCGAGCTGTCCAGCTTCTGTGTCGAGGGACGGCATGTGGCCTGTGTAAATGTATCCACTAGACCTAAGACGAAATATCTAGGGAATGTACCACCAAGATTCGAAACCCTGACATTGAATGTTAGCTAAGGTTAACTGTAATTTGGGATATAGCACTTACGTAGCAAGCAAGGTCATATAAGTTCCGCCGATCACAGGATCGGCAACCCGAGCGTGGAATGCAGAAACAGCAACGAACATGATTGTTGAAGTGAACGTCGAGAAGACGTGCTCGCCAATGACGAGAAAAAGATACCAAGGCTGGACACCACCAGCTGGGAAAACACTGACGGTGACCTGAGCAAAGATAGCAGCGATCAGTCGGCCCACGAAGCCCCAGCACCAGAGGCGCATAGGTGTATACTCCTGAGACCACTTGCCGGCATAATAACCCAGGCCTATTTCGAAAGGAAAGTCGATGAGAACCGTTAGCGCTAGATTTTCTTTGCCAAATCCCTTTTCCAGCAGCTTGAGGTTCGTCACGGCATCGTTGGCTTGAAACCCGATCTTCGAAATGAGATGGACGATAATTATGGTCTGGATATTCCGTAGCTTCAAGACATCCCACATGATCTTGTAAACATCCCAGATCCCGTCCTCATTCCTTGTCTTTTCTTCCTTCTTGAGAAGCGCAAGTCCAATAGTAATTGCAATGTAAGCCCAGCCCCAAAAGGTCAAATAGCCCCCTAGACTTAAAAGGCCCTCCTCTGACGGTACGGAGCGGAAATAGCGATTGGCAAAATCTTTGGAATTAAATGCCAGGAAGACGGTGTAAGATAGGAACTGGCCGGCTGTTAGACCGACCGTCTGCGCCGTCGAAGCGTAAGAAACATTTCCCGGCGTCAGCAGGGTGAGGGCCCACCCATCAACGGCGATGTCCTGAGTCGCACACATAAAAACCAGAAAGAACCACCAACCCGTGAAATTCCAGATGCTCGGGCCGCCTGGCTTGCCCGTCGTGGCCATCAAGCCCTCGATCATAGACCCGAGGTATAACATGCTGAACCCAGATATCAACTGAATTGGAAGGATCCAGCTTTTTCTCCTTCCGACTTTGGGACTCCATACCGCATCTACTATCGGGCTCCAGAACAATTTTAACGAGTACGGATATGACGCCAAGCTGAAGACACCGATTTCTCCAAACGAGAGATGTTCTTTGAGAAGGAACGGTACCGATCCACTCGCAAGACCCATGGGAACACCTTGTAAGAAATATAGCAGCACAAGTAACATGAAATTCCTCTGATCTTGCAAGGGAAGTTCCCAGAATCCATGATTGTTCACCGAGGGCGTTTTCGGAATATTATCGTCGAGGGAGAATGATTCACGGCCTATGAGGTTTGCCGCGACCTGGCCTGACTCTTGCGGCGCGGCGGTTTTCCGCCGCAGCTCTATATTGCTCATGTCGCCGTTCGAGTGACCATTTACGCGACCGCTCGTCGAGACTGAAAGCTTATCTCGTTTCTGAGATTTCGACCGTCGAGTTTCGACACCCATTCGTACTTTAGCGCGGGGCAGTGGAAGTGTTCGGTTACTTGAAGCTGGCGGGTTGTGTTCTTGTCAAACTTCTCTGGTAATACAGCAGACCGATCAATGGCTGGTAGTATAAGAAGCGTTGTTAGACTCGTACAAGTATGATAATTATATGGTTCTCGTATCTCGTATATGATTTGTGGAAAGTCTTTGATCTTGTCGAATAGGTCAACAATAAAAATAAAATAGAAACCGTGGCCTTTTTAGGATCGCGCTGGAACGTGGCGAAGTGGACCCTGAATTAAAAATAAGACGAGTAACGAGTGGTTAGAATGATGGTAGAAGTCGGGGAACCTCCAAAACCCCAGATATGATTTATTCTCCGGTTAGTCCATCATGGCTAAATAGTATTGCGGCTTCTTGGAGCATAGATGCAGGGAAATAATATGTGGACGTGTCCAAATGAAGCTGAAGCTTTCAGCTTTGACCCAATGGAGTGGGAAGGAAAAGTAAATCCCTGATCGAAATGACTTAGGTTAGGTAATCATGATTACATACCTAGGTACCTGCCTAGAGTGCCCCACCTAGATCTAGATCTCCCCACTCTTGTACCTTATCTATTTATCTTATCGCCATCCTCATTTACTAATACGCGTCGGCGCGTCTTCACTGAATGTTAAATCATAAATCAACGGTAATGTCGGTGATCCATTTATCCATAATATAATATTCATTGTAACATCATCTTCGACTTAATAAATAAGCATGGCTTCCGAGGAACCACAATCGCAAGAACTGTCTATTGCAGAGAAGTTGGACAATGAGATTGCAACTTTGAGAGCTCAAGGTAACTAACTGTTTAATAGTATTGTCTTTTGATATATGAAGCTAGTGCTAATACCTCCTAGTGGAATCGCTTAAACGAGATCTCAAGTTGCAAACTGCTACTCTAATAACATCAGACTCGACGCTTCAGATATTGCAAGCTGATTCAACGAAGAAATCAGGTTCAAAAAAGTCAAACGACAGCTCTAGGCTTCAGGAGCTGTTGACAAGAGCTGACGAGCAGAACGCGCATAAGCAGCAATGTCTCTATCGAACATGTGCTTCTATCACAACTTTTAAAGTGCGCGACCCGGATCCTAATGCAGTAGATGGGGGTAATGTTTTGGGTTTGCGGTTCGAAGTCATGTCCAAATCTCGGTTCCTTCGACCCTATTATGTTATGTTGAACCGGCCCTACTCGAATTCCCGGTTTCTGCGTGTCCATCGGCATACCGTTCCCCAGTGCATACCGCTTTCTGGATTGACGGCTCGGTATCTCCCTCCACCAGTAGCCAACGACGACGACAGCGACATGCCAAAGAGGCAAGATTTGTCGAGTTTCGTGCGGGCGTTAAGGCGGGAGCTGGTTCGCTACCACAATCGTACAGCCGTTATCGGGGATCTACGGAGCATGGCAGGGTTGGAGAGTAAGAAGGGGAAGGCTAAAGAATTGGAGGTTCCAATCACCGATATCAGCGCGGCTGATGCACAAGCAAAGCAAATCCGTGTCGAGTGGAGCGACGGGCGCTCGGGACGGCTGGTGATGGATGACGACGGCGACATCGTGAAGATGGTCGTACAGGGCGAGGATGGACAGGACCGAGAAACTATGAGACAATTTCTGGGTGGGAGCCTCCGCGTCGAAGATGTCGTCAAACAACTTGAAAGCGCATGAGCCTGCAGAGCCAAGATTAAAGCGACAAGCCACAAAGCCTCATTCAATGCGATAGGTCATCTATACGTTACTAGTCAATATATTATCGGCGGTATAAACCTAGTCACGAGCTTACAACAAAATAACTTGGGTATCACAACAGTCCCGACTGATCTCGGGTTACCGAACTCAAGATGGATCTACACGAACAGATTAACCCGTAGCCGTAGGGTAGTATTGGGCAACATGGAGAAGACAACGTTGCAAAAGAAAACCCCTAATGTGAGGACGGATATCAACGATAGTCGTTATATCTAATCAGTCGGTAAGACCTTAAGGATATGGGTTGTGCATGTCTAACAGGTTAATGCATGCGATCGTCAAGGTCAGAGATGCGGACGTTTATCGGCTCTCGATCCTCGGTCTTCAATCTTCTAATGTTCCAGAAGGTCAATTCTATATCTTTAGGTGCACGACGATAGCCTCATTCTAACCCACATTGGTAAATTATATCTTTATACTACTACCAAGTACCGGTCCGACAGATTCCAGGACCAGCTATGCCACAATGCAAGATAGCAAATAAAAACAGCAGTGTCTGTAATTCGGGCAACTCTCTAGAGCCTTGTCCCATTTTTACGATTGATCAATTCCAAGTACGTCTTAGCCGTGATCGCATACGCTATTAGTTGGACTTCGCCGCACTTCGGTCCTGATCCTCCTAGGAGCGAGACATCTTATTCCATGCAGTTTTAAGGCTCCAAGAGTGGTTTGTCCTCTATCTGCGGTAGTAGAAACCCCTGGCAAGTGCCAATCACAACCCGAGTTTCACTCTTTTCAGTTATAAAGAGTGTATGCTTAGGTATCTTATGATACTAGTATTTCTTGCATATATGTATTACTTGGAGGAATACCTTAGAGGAGTACCTTACAGAAATATGCTGCAAGGCTATTCGCTATCCTCGTAAAATACAAAAATATAAGTATCTTACTCGTTGCTATCTCTTTTAAGTTTATCGTCTCCTTTGAAGTCGATTATCTATATGATTATTCGTCTGCTTCTTCTCCGATACTCAGGTATCTAGACCCATAAAGTGAATTTAATACTATTTTATATAACGTTATTCTGATGCTTTTTTGTCACTATGGCGGAAGAGAGGAATAGCAGTTTCTCTCGAGATCATATTTCAGGACAGGCCAACAAGTCCCTCTCCCGACCTGCTCATGCGCTAACTTGTGAGCAACTCATTGTTGAGTTGGGCGCTGATGGCGTAAATGGCTTGTCAAGCAATGCCGCAGGGCAACGCCTAGATGAACTCGGGAGGAATGAGCTTGGTGGTGAGCTTAGCGAATCTGGCGTGTCTATGTGGAAAATCATAGTTGCGCAAATTGTGAACGCGATGACCATGGTATAATAACCCTTATGGCTTTTTCACGCGAAGAGATCACCAGCGCTAAACATTTTCGAGGTACTTATACTGGCAATGGCTATCAGTTACGGTATCAAGTCATACATTGAAGGCGCCGTTATTACTGTGGTCATACTCCTTAACATCATCGTCGGATTTTTACAGGAGTATTCTGCCGGAAAGACGTTAGACTCTCTTCGTTCTCTTAGCTCACCTACTGCTCATGTCGTACGCGACGGGGATACTAAGGTTATCCCTACTGCCGAAGTTGTCATAGGTGATCTAGTTGAAATGAAGACTGGCGATACTGTTCCGGCTGATACACGGTAGGTTGATCCTAGAGGGAGTCATCTCCGTGATAGTTACTAATTTACACCTTTAGAGTCATTGAAGCTTTCAACTTCGAAACAAACGAAGCGCTTCTGACAGGGGAGTCATTTCCAGTCCGCAAGGACGAAAATTATACGTTTAGTGATGCTACAGGACCTGGAGACAGACTCAATATTGCCTTTAGCTCTTCGACAGTGACGAAAGGCCGGGCCAAAGGTATAGTTTTTGCTACAGGGACTTACACTGAGGTCGGTGCTGTTGCTACGGCGATTGGACAAAGTGGTTTAAAAATACGACCCATCAAACGGGATCCTGATGGCTCCGCTAGGCTTCACCATTACCTGGAAGCCTATACATTAACATTTGTAGATGCCGCCGGCAGCTTTTTGGGTCTTAATGTAGGAACACCACTCCAACAGAAGCTATCGAAGCTCGCAATCCTCCTCTTCGGTATCGCTATCTTATGCGCCATAATCGTTCTGGCGGTTAACGGGTTCGTTTCTCGACGAGAAGTAATCATATACGCAGTTGCTACTGGTTTATCAATGATCCCCGCTTCATTAGTAGTCGTGTTGACCATCACCATGGCTGCCGGAACAAAGCGTATGATAGAGCGGCATGTTATAGTACGGAATCTCAGGTCCCTAGAAGCTCTGGGCGCCGTAACAGATATATGCTCCGACAAGACTGGAACACTGACTCAAGGCAAAATGGTAGCTAGACGAGCGTGGATTCCTGCCATCGGCACCTATACTGTTGAGACGTCTTCGGAGCCTTTTAACCCTACAACTGGTATGATACTACTCGATACACGCCAGCCGTGGCAGATCAACGCTAGAGAGGACGAGTTCGAGACCAGCTTAGCTGAACAACCCTCTCAATTACTAAAAAACAGCAAACAGGCATTGTTTGATTTTTTATGTGTTGCATCTCTCGCTAACCTTGCTACTATCTCTCTAAAGAATGGGGTATGGCACGCGCGAGGCGATCCAACTGAGATCGCGATTCAAGTTTTTGCCTCGCGCTTCGATTGGAATAGGCTCAAGCTCACCCAAGGTGAAAATGCAGAGTGGACTCAAATCGCCGAACTGCCTTTCGACTCCGAAATCAAGCGCATGTCCGTCATTTTTGAAAACAGCTCGACTGAGCAGCTCTTCGTTTTTACTAAAGGCGCTGTTGAGCGAGTCGTAGCTATCTGTACGAAATATTGCGAACACGACGGCCAAGACGCAACTGAAATAGACGGGAGATTCCGTGCTAACGTCATGAAGAACACGGAAGCTCTCGCTAGTGCTGGCCTACGTGTTCTGGCGTTCGCGAGCAAGACATTCCAAGGCCCCCTGGAAAAGGGGGACGAGGTAAACCGGACAGACGTAGAATCGAACCTGATATTCCGCGGTTTGATCGGCCTATACGATCCGCCACGACCCGAATCTGCTTCCGCAGTTCTCAGCTGTCACAGGGCAGGTATATCGGTACACATGCTGACCGGCGACCACCCCGAAACGGCAAAAGCCATTGCTTTAGAAGTCGGCATACTTCCCAGCCGTATGGACCGAGTCAGAGCAGACGTCGCAGAATCAATGGCAATGACTGCCAGCCGATTCGATTCGTTGACAGACGACCAAGTCGACAAGCTCCCAGTTCTTCCTCTGGTCATTTCCCGGTGCGCTCCGAATACCAAAGTCCGGATGATCGAGGCGCTCCACAGACGCAAGAGATTCTGCGCTATGGTATGTTAGGAGACATATATACCTATATATATATATATACTACTCCCGCCACCAACTTGATAGCATCTCTCTTCCTTGGCTAACACCCGCCAGACCGGCGACGGCGTAAACGACTCGCCCTCCCTCCGCCGCGCCGACGTCGGCATCGCAATGGGCCTATCGGGCAGCGACGTAGCCAAGGAAGCGTCCGACGTGGTGCTATCGGACGACAACTTCGCCAGCATCGTCGCCGCGGTCGAGGAGGGCCGGCGCATCTTCGACAACATCCAGAAGTTCGTGCTGCACGTGCTGGCCGAGAACATCGCGCAGGCCGGCACCCTGCTCGTAGGCCTAGCCTTCCGAGACGAGCGCGGACTGTCCGTGTTCCCGCTCGCGCCCGTCGAGATCGTCTGGGTCATCATGGCGACTTCGGGCATGCCGGATATGGGGCTGGGCTTCGAGCGCGCGGTCGAGGATATTATGGACAGGCCCCCGCAGAGCTTGAAGACCGGCATCTTTGACGCCGAGTTTTTGGTCGATATGGTCGTTTACGGGCTGTGGATCACGGCTCTCTGCCTGTCGAGCTTCGTCCTTGTTGTGTACCGATTTGGTGGCGGGAACCTGGGCAAAGGCTGTAACGAGGCGTATAACAACAGCTGCGATACCGTCTTCCGCGCACGCGCGACTACGTTTGCGTGTATTACTTGGTTTGCGCTGTTCCTGGCCTGGGAAATGATAGATCGTCGAAGGTCTTTCTTTTCGACGCAACGGCACCAGTCCGGCAGCTCGAGCAAGTCCTGCACTATAGCGAGATGGGCTCGCGATATCAGTCAGAACAAGTTCCTCTTCTGGGCCATTGTCATCGGCTTCGTGACGCTGTTCCCAACCCTATACGTACCGGGCCTCAACACCATCGTATTCAAACACGTTGGTATCTCGTGGGAGTGGGCCGTGGTGTTCGCTAGCTCAGCCTTATTCTTCGGTGGCGTCGAGGGCTGGAAGTGGGGGAAGAGAGTATACTTCCGGCACGCGGCTTTTGCCAACAAGAAGGGGGCGGCGATGGCCTGGAAGGATATGGACGTCGAGCAGCGCGCTTTCGCGGAGTATCTCGATTTTCCATCCGGCGATAATGAAGTTTACAATGACGAAGAATGGGTGAATAGAGCAGCGAATTCGACAACTCAGTTAATACCTTAGCGTCTTAAAAGGGGTTGCGGTAGCTGTGAAGATTGGCTGAAAAGTGATATGCCTGGGAGGGTATAATATAACATATAACGAACGGATTTAGTCTAGGCTTGCTGAGATACAGTAATGAGGTTCTGTAGGACTGGAAGAGATTTCGAGGGGTTAGTGAGCATAATAAAGGCATGGGAAACATATTAACAGTTTTACCGCTAGTTATTTTGAAATTTTAGACCCATTTCAAGAGCTATAACAATCATCATCAAGTTCGAAACAAGGGGTGAACGACTCTGCGGGATGAGACGCGGAGTGTAGTACTAGTCATAATCGCCAACCAAGCGGCATTAAAATTAAAAGTTGAGGCCGTCGATATCCCCTGGGCCTAGTATGTTAATATTCATAGATGAATGGGATGTGAACAAGACGTAACGCAATAGTATATACTTTTCTTCAAGTTAGGATTAACTCATCAGATTAAATACAATATATGGAGGATATGTTATCCATTCGCCTCTTTAATCATAGATCCAATCGTCTATACATTCTAACTAGTATCGCCACCAGTTTCCATCTTCTAACTAAATCGATGGTGACTTCGTTACTGAACCCCGTTCTATATCCGAGTCCTTCCCGCTGCCTGAGCTACCACTCACGGCCGGTGTCTCGACGCCCTCTACACTAGGAAGGTTTTGGTGAAGCATATGGTGCTAGTAGTTATCGTATCGTTAGATTTCGTGCACCAGTAACATTTTTGGATGAGGAGAGAGGGCGGCAGGCTGGTCAGACTTACCTCGATATTGATCTTGGGTCCTTTAAACCACTTGTGAGCATCCACGAAGAACCATATGAGGATGAACAACATCGGCGCGCCCTAGTATAAAATTAGTATATTTTTTTATATCCCTGCTCAGTCTACGGGGGCCAGGAGCTCACATAAACGAGCGAGGTCCAATTCATCTCTTCCAAGGTCAAATTCTCGCCGCGCACGCTAGGGAAGCACAGGATAGGCAGCATAACCAGAACGAAACAGCAGGCGGCGACACCCGAGGGCAGACTCAAAGGGCCGAGATGCCAGGGCCCGCGGCGGAAGCGGTTTCCGACGACAGCGATCTTGAGGAAAATAGGCGTCGTGAAGGCGACGTATGCTGCGATGGCACCAATGCTAAAAATGGCATCGATAGCCGCTCCCCCGAAAATCAGCAGCACCAATAGGATCCCAATTGACGTATTAAACCAAACCGCATTCACCGGAGTCAACGTGTATCGGTTAACTTTCTTTAGCGGTCGGCTCACTGCGCCGAAGCAGTCATCCCGTGCGTACGCGAAGCATACCCGCGACGCAGCTACCATACACCCCTGGCCCATCATGTAGGCGCATACAATAGTCATGGAAAGGACGGCGAGGGCCACGTTTTGCGGTAGGATTTGGATTAGGTACGCTGCGAACGGTTGTCCCTAGACAGTTTAGTATAAGCGGCGTATTGACGTATCAACTCTTACCAGATCGCTTTCCAAGACTGCTCCCACATCCTTAATCGTATACGCGATAATGGTGTTTAATATGAAGCCAAGAACCGATCCCGACCCGGCAGTCATGATGATAGATCTTGGCGTAGCGACGGCCGCATTTGTGCATTCTTCCGAGAGGTGAAAGCTAGCATCATAGCCGGACATTGTCCATATAATCGACAGGAACGACATCAGGACGGCAACACCATCGGGCCAGTCCGTGCTATTTTGGATTCCCCACGCAAACTCGTTCGGTTGAAACTTGGGATCGCCCATCGTCGCGGTTGGGATGATTATGATGGTAATCAGAAGGCAGAGGAGGTTGATGGTCGTACCAACGGAGTTAAAATTCGCAATCCACAGCGTCGGCATGCTGCTGATACAGGCGTGGGTCAGCATGATTAACACGGTCAGAAGAAATGTATGGTAGCTCTCTGGCTCATATTCGGGGTTGACAATTGATGCCGCGGCCAGAATCATAGCAGCTTGTAAATAGGTAATGAGTTAATTTCTAGAGCCCAGAAGCGAGCGCGAAAGACCGTAACTCACCACATCCATAGTCAACACTTGGTGCTCCTGTGACCTGAACGAACCAGTTGCTCCAGCCAGTTATCCAAGCAGCAAAAGGGCCGTACTTAGGACCAGCCAGCACCGCTGCCGCATAATAGAGTCCGCCAGAAGTTGGCATGCTGCTCGCTAACTCTGCCATCGAAGCAGCAACCTATGGGAGGAGGTCAATTCTGGTCACGCTATAAAATTAACCAAGCAAGGACTTACACATAAGATGAAGAAGACCGACAATAACCAGCCCCAGGTATTCGCTGCTGGCCCGGCTATATAGTCTTATCAGCTCTTCAATCTCTTCATCGATGTCTTTGAGTGTTTTATTCCGAGAACAAGCTCACCATAGCCGAGTCCGTACCACATAGTAGTAGCAATGCTCGGTAACAATCCCATCACAGCGAAACTAACAGCAAAGGTCGACCAGGCAGAGAATTCGCGCTTGAATTCCTGCTTATAACCGAGCGCCGCGAGCGCAGCTTCATCTTCTGACATCTCTGCGATGTGGTCCGGCATATCTCCCTGGGCGAACACAGTTGTGACAGCCGGGGGTTGCGATGCCCGACGGTGCCCTTCGTTTACTGCCATTTTGAATTCAAGGAGGTCGCCGCCTAGCTCTTATATACAAGGCGTTCGTCGCGCGGTTCTCATAGGCTAGCAATTCTCTAGTTGAGATAAACAGGATAGTCACAATTGTCAAGATAGCGATGTGAGCACCTAATGTTCACTCAACGAACCCGGATTAAAAGTTGAGAATTTGCGAAGAGAACCATGGCAGGCCACTTTCAACAGAGTTGAAAGGGAAAAGTGTAACGTCGCGCAAAGTTGATGCAGCCATGTTTATGTACTGTAATGATGATCCTGATAGATAGCTATTAGTCAAGATTTTTTATCTGCTTTATCTATGTGCCTAACCTACCCTGGCCTGCCTATCTACTGCGTACCTATCATTCGTGGGGTACAGAAGCTTTTGTCGAGCTGGATCTTCGGGGCTGATATGCATATCGCATCGCCCATCGCCCATCGCCTATCGCCCATTCGCTAATAGCAATGAGGCAAGTCCAACCAGAATCGACGTAGTACCGAAGCATTGCTCTCCTGCCGATAAGGGATTTGGGGCTCGTACGTTAGAAGGATCTGCTCCAGGGGTCAGGGGTTGTCGTCATATTGATAACCCCAGAGTAGTGCTAAGATAAGTGAAATCCAATCGGTATAATCATGTTATATATGTATCTTAACCTAGGTAATTAAGGTTGAATCAAGGCGCCCTCGGTGATTCAAAGAAGCTTGATTCAGGGCCGAGTGGTTGATCAATTGAATCTAGAGCTTCAACTAGAGAAAGTATAAGTGCTCACCCATCCACCTTATTTATCCGTAATGTATACATACAATCCACTCTAATACCATATACGTTGCCTACCTCCTTGGAGGTAGATCCTTAATAAAGGCAAAGTTTCGAAGCAATTTGGACCTATAATGTCTTTGTGATTTCGGGCTTGATTAACAACAAGTTTTCGGGATTGCAATAGGACCACTGAAGAAACATTTTCTATCAAACACCCAGTAGTCAATATTTATATATCTGGCAACAACGGGATAAACCGAGACTGGATTCATTCTTAATCCTTAAACTGACCTGAAAAGCTGAAGTCGTATTGCTGATTTTGCCGTTGTAAGGACGGAGACCTTCAATGAAATCGCAGGCCTCCACACGACGGTCGCTTGTAAGACAAGTACGTAGATGCACATAAGCTCTACAGTTGGATTTTGTTAGTTTTAGTTCGGTGTCTAGTCGAGGTTTGGTTTTCGGCAGACTGTTGAACTTTTGAATCAAGTTGAACAGTGGGAGAGTCTTGGCTATTATTCGCTGGAAGGTTCTCTTCATTTAAATTATCATCTTGAATTGTGGTTTCATCTGAGCCGACAGGTTGGCCTTCGTAGGTGGTTGGTCGAGCATTATCGCGTTCCTATTGCTCCCTTATCTATTGCTCTTCCCTATTCTCGGTTTAGCCAACACCTCTCATCACCTTTCCGAGGCTCGGATTCAGCCATTGATAAATAATCGTCAAAAGAGCTTGCTACTTGGCCTTCGATGTTGCATTAGTCTTCCACGCCTATGTTGAAGAATGGTTTACTTTAATGCAATAAACTACGACTGGCGTATAGATGTATACTTGGTGTATACTCGTGAAGCTATGTATTTAGACATGTATGTCAGAAGATGTATGTTAGAAAACGTGAGAAAACGAGTAATTATGTGTGCACTTGCATTGGGCCAGCCTGGTCAAGTCTTCTGGAAGGTCTACCGAAAAAGGCTTGACTGAAGGAGCTGTCCTTTATTTATGTAAAATTGTAAACTTCTAGGTTAGTCATTAGAATCTCATCAGAATCTGGATAATCCGCTAGCAGCTGCAACTTGCCGGTGTAACTGTACCTTATAGTCAGGCACAGCATCATACATATCTGTGGTTGTTGTAGTTGCTATGGTTGGCTAACAAAATTAGGGGTAACGTAGATGCGGTAGGTGAAAGCTCTATTTGAATTCCCGAATAGCGATGGTCACTGCATGGTGAGATAAGGTAAGATGTTACTCTTGCCTGATAATACGTGGATCTAAAGGAAAGAAGCACGTGGCATGCGACACAGTTCCAGATGTACTTGTTATCTGAATACATGTGCCTTCTACAGACTTGGAGATCCGAGCTCGAGTATACAGTTCTTCCGAGTTTAGCTCATTCCATATTTTGTTAAGGTGTTTATGACTTTGTGTGTGTGCGTATATACATATGCAGCACTGGTCGGCTGAAAGGGGTTATTGGCGGGGAATGTTAGGCTGTCTGTCGCGTTACCAATTCTTGTGACTACTTCGTACTTTAATGTACGTTATCATTAAGCTCATGACCTTATCACCTCAAGCTCTTTACATAGCTAGCTATACCTACATATGTATAACCAGTGTATAACTACCTAAAGTAATAATAAGTGGTGTATAAAAATGGTCATCCCTTATTATGTGTTAGTCTACCTATGTGTTAGCCTGTTCTAATTTTCCTTTAATGCGAGCCTTCGTAGATTAAGAATAAAAGAGCCTTAGCTTAAGATGGGCAACTGCTAATCCGATTTAAGTTTAGACCCCTAAACGCCTGAGACCCAAGGTGGCATGAAGATCAGATACATGTACAGATACACGTACACCTTATGACGCAAGTTTACATGTTAGGCTGTTCCCCTATTGGCACTTAGTGCCGTGAATGACGGAACACTCCATACATACAAGTATAATTGACCTTCCAAATAGTTTAATGCAACAGCAATTATCTCATGAATTCCTCCTATTATTTTTATTATTTCTTATATATAAATATCTAATTCCTTCATTCTCGACAAGGTCACAGGGGTAGAGTTAATAATTGTCACTAGGTTGGTGGAGTTGTATTGCCATTTAGGTACCTAATTTAAGATAACGTTCCTGATAGGCACCCAGCAGATCCGCCTAGGCGGTACAACGATACATGCCTAGGTTAGGTTAAATCATTGCTGTAATTTTCTTTTCTTGGCCGGGAACGACACGACGCAACCTTTTTATACAATACACCTCACCTCATCAACTCAACCCTCTACGCTACGGCCAACCCGGCTTCAACACCCGCCACTACATAGTACATATATCATACATCCAAAGCCTCGAATCGATTACTCATGCAAAGCTAGTTTCTTCTTTGTTGTCACACCATATATTCGGTGTTCCGACCTGAATCCCCCTTTCCCGTGCTGACTGGGCTGCTTGCGCACCGCCGGGCGCTATGAATGCCATACAGCAGAGATGTCGTCCGAAGCATCAAGTTTTGGTTCTCAAGTGCTATCCTAGCACTACAAAGGGGGCTGTCGATGTCAAACCGAACTCGAGCGAACTGAGTTATCTTTTATTTTATGCCACGTCGCGACGAACCAAGATCCAGAAGGTTGGCCAATTTCTCGAGAAAAAGACAGCTAGCGATGTGTGGAGGGTGCGCATTGGGTAAGTTCACCGCTCCCGTTAAAGTACAACACGAATAGCTTCCATCTCCATTCGATTTGGACGCAGCTGTATTTATTGAATTACATATAATTGACCATTTATTTAGAAATGTCCAGGTCACCCTGCAGATACTAGCTGCTCTGATCGAGAAAGCCCCCAAAGATCTACCCCTATTCGCACAAAATGTACTGAAGATTCTCGACCTCGTTCTTCGATCCGATGATATCACTATGGTCGAGGCGTCGCTGCCTACATTTCGAACTTTCTGCGAACACCACGATGTCTCGTCGCTTATTGCCGATCAAGCTTACCTCCACCAGTACGAGCAAGTCGTACGCGCTTATGCCGCATTCGCGTCAACTCGGAAGGTTCCTGGTAAAGGCACGCCCAGCAAACCCGTTGCCCTGAGATGGAGAAATGCAGGCTTAGAAGCAATCAAAAGCGTTTCCGAATCCGAGGCGTTATCGTCTGTTGCTGGACGGCAGCTCGACGTTATAGTGCCTATGATTCTTGAGAACCTGTGGACCGACGATGAAGAGTTCCTTAGTATACTATCGCAGCGTGTCGAGGTAGAAGAGAAGGATGATTCCAATGTCCTGTTACGACGGAGAACTAGTATTTCCACTATTAAGACGGCAGATACTGGGGGCGATGCGAACCCCATAGCCATTTCCGGCACGTCTGTTGACATCGATAAGCTCGCCGAAGAAGACATTGGTGTTGTAGCTATGCAGTGTCTGAAGCAGATATTTGTCATACCCAATAGAGCACAGATAAATGGGGCGACGACGGCGTTGCTACGATTTATCAAAGAGCGTGTTCAGGAGAAAGAGTCGGTGATATTGCAATCCGAAGATGGCAGTGGACGTTACCATGGTTGGGCAATCAAGGTCTTCGAGCTCGCAACAAGATGGGCCCCGGTGCAAGACCGTTATGTCATTATGATTACCACAACAGATATGCTCCTACGAACCTCACCGACCGAGGAAAACATGGCGGACCAAATCGTGCTTACCGCCATTGTCGGATCCCTATTGAGCTCTGACATCAACTTGATTGGCTTAAGTGTTATGGATGTGCTCTCGGGGTTGATACTGCATATGAAGAGAGTCTTAAAGCACTCGGGGAGCTCAAGGGGAAGCGCCGGTTCTTCGGGAGATGACAAGCCACCTTCGGTCACCGATCTCTCCCTACACATCTCAGTGCCATACAGAGAACTATTGACTCGGATTCAGCAGTCGATTGGTAATCTAGCCACTCATGTTTACTACGCGGACCAAATTTCCGACATGATTTCCACTATCCTTTTGAGACTCAGGCCTCACCCGAGTACAACAGCGAACGCGTCACCGGCTCCGGAGAAGACGGAAGCTTTACCTGGAGTTTCTGCCGGAAATATTTCGGACGAGCAGTCTCATCTCGACAGCTACTTCGCGTTAGACCTGGCTAAGACTACTGCTCTCCGAGCTGTCAAGTCTATCCTCCTTGTTGCCAATCCGAACACGAAGGTTAGCGGAAACGTTAGTCTGACAAGAAACAAGGTTCCTATACAAGTGTGGGAGGGTACGCACTGGCTTCTGCGCGATCCGGACGGGCAGGTCCGAAAGGCATACGTTGATGCTCTTGGCACTTGGCTCGACCGAGAAACGACGAGTTCCGATTTAGAAGCACGGGAGGACTTGGGCCGGAAGCCACGAGCAAGCAATCGAGAAATGCCATCAGGAAGTATTGCTCGTCGAGCTGTTTCGAGCGCCTCGAATCGGGATAAACCTGCTAGAGCTGCCCGGTCCCGCTTCTTACAACTTCTCCATCTTGCCATTTATGACAGTGCTCTGCAGTTCGTGGAGTATCAGGCGGATATTACTATTCTCCACGTTTTGTTGACCAAATTAGTTATTAAACTCGGCGTCAATGCTGTCAGATACGGTCTTCCAATGGTTTTTCGACTCCAGGAAGATATTTTAGAGGCAGAAACGCCTGCAGCGAAATTTCATCTTGGGTCCCTCTGCCATGGCTATTTCTGGGCCTTGAGTGAACATTTCGAGTTTGAAGCATCACCAGTCGGCCGTGCGATCCATAATGAAATCGTTCGGAGAAGAAGCAAACATTTTTGGGTTGAAGGTGTTCACGTCCCAACACCATCACTGGATGCTTTAGAAACGCCTGGTTCGCCTAAATCGAAATCAAGAGTACCTACACGCGAGGTAGAGTCGGAAGCGTTGTTGCCCTTCGACGACCGCCTCGGGATAGTAGATTGTATTTGCGTGAACTATAAGGAGAGAACTATCTCCCCTCCCTCAAGTCCCTCTACGTCACCTGGTCGCGTATTCTCGCACCCAATCCTAAGCTCTACTCTTAACAACATTCCACTATCTGACGATGACCGTGAGCTACCCAATAAATTTAGAGAGGAAATGCTGGCGGAATGGAATCGAGAGGCCGTCGTCATTGCACTCCAAGCGGAGAGTAAGTCCGCTTCTATAAGCGGGTCCAAAGCCGGGACAACTGCTACCAGGGGAAACCATCTTACTGTTAACGGACCCTCGTCTAACGGTTATGCCGCTAGCAGACCAGAATCTGCGTATGCTCGCCAAAACAACTTGAGGCCGGCTTCACATGCTAGTCATATCGCTGGTTTACGAAACTCCAGCGGACAGAGCCACGGCTCCGGGAAGACTGCTTCTGGTCGAGGCTTTGTCGCTTCTATTGATCAGCTCAAATCGGTGTTGACCGGAGAACCAGTTCGGCCAGCCACGTTCCAGACATTACAAGAAGACGGGGACAGCAGTGATAGCATGGCGAGCTACGAGTTTACGCCATCAGAGCTTTCGTTCAATCCAAACCAGGCAGATGGCACCGATACCAATGACGCAGTCCTTACACGTTTGCGATCAAAGTCCCGGGAGCGAAAGGTGTCTGGAGACTCGGGAGGTCCTCTGACTTCTCATCCTATGGAAGGCGAAGCCGAGGATGAGACTGTGCCGCCAGTGCCGCCGCTACCGGCATCATTGGTGGGAAAGTCGCCCCCTCCTGAGATCAATCTTGAGCGTACAGCCAAGCAAGACCATGCCGTCAAGACTCCTCAGAGGAATGTTAGGAGCCGAGGAGGAGATAGCATCCTTTCAAGTAATTTTTCAAACGCCGGGGCCGCCAGCATGGATTTACAAGCGATGCTCAAGGGCATCGACAGCAAATCGAAGCAAAACACGCTTGGAAATTTAACGAAGCCCCCTTACTAACAGTCTACACTGTACTAGTGCTCATATGTACTTTCTTAACTTAGTTATCTAGGTATATTTAGATTTAATGGAAACAAAAAGATGGAAGTTGACTCGTAATGATGCCCTCGGGGTAGAGGGTAGCTTGTCCGGATGAGGTGTTGTATACTATTAACGCCAGGGAATATTACACAGAAGGGTCGACAGCATAAAAAGAGGAGGAAAAGGGCAATAATGAAAAAGACTACTGCGCGGGGCAACTCTATCTAAGATAAACACATGCTTGTATATATTATACGTCCGTTTGTCCGTTTGTCCGTTTGTCCGTTTGTCCGTTTGTACTTGCGTCGGTCATTCGTTTTTAGCATGGCTGATGATTTTTGGTTCTCGAGGGGGTTTTGTTAGCCATCTGTTATGGGTGTTTAGGCTGGTTAGCAATAGAAAGAGCATATCAATTTAAAAGCAAAAAACTTGGAGTAAAAGTTGACGATACGTTTGTCTAGTATATCATAAGTGTTGATCAGGTATACTATTATACTATTAAATTCAGTACAGTACCTACGGTTTAGAACGTGCTATTCTAATTCTGATTGGTCAACTTACATAATACCTACCTAGGTACCTAGGATATTAGGTTAAGCTGTTGCATAATCGATAACAGACCCTCCGATGCTCAAATTTATACGGCAAATTCCACCCCTCGATGCCTCGATCTTAACCGCAACTTCAAATTCATAAACATGAAAACACATGTATTCAAGATGAAGCCGCCTACCCGAATAGCGCTGCAATCGGCGATACGCCAACACTTCCAATCTACACATCCCACTCCAACAACCCTTCCTTTAATAACCCACCAACGTCATATTCACATTACTCCCAGCGCGCCCGCTACAGTCTCGCCAATCCACGGCACCGGACCACCGCCAGAACCGCCCATCCCCGCCGCCGACAGCGCCAGTTCCCGGCTCGAGCGCCGCCGGAAACACGCCGAGCTCCTCGAGAAAGCACGAGAGATCCGACAATCCGAATCCGCGCCGAGAGCATTCGCAAAGAAGACTAAGGAAACTGCACGGCGCAAGAGGTTCTGGAAAGACGTGCATGTGCACGAAGTCGACGGGGCCTGGGAGGTCCATCTAGATAAACGACCGCTGCGCAGACCAAATACCAAGGACATCGTCAGGCTGCCCCTGAGCAAACCCCTGCTCGCGAGCGCCCTGGCTATCGAGTGGGACATGCTGGTTTCCGTGCAGCAGACGACGCGGCAACACCTTATCCCGCTGACGAGCCTAGTGTGTCGCGCGCTCGATATTGCGGACGACGACGCGGCGCGGACGGGGGGCGGCGAGAGTCTCCGCGAGGGGATTGCCAAAATGCTGTTGAGATACCTCGATACGGACTCCTTGCTGTGCTGGGCGCCGCCGCCCCGGCCTCACGACTCGCTGGGCGAGGGCGCGGATACGCTGCGCGACGTGCAGAAGCGCGCGGCGGAGGAGGTGGTTGGATACTTGACGAGCCGCGTGTGGCCGGGCATCACGATCGAGCCGGTGCTCGACGGCGAGAGCATCATGCCGCGTAGCCACCCGGATGTCACGCGGCAGGTGGTGCAGGGGTGGATGGCGGGGCTCAGCGCGTGGGAGCTGGCGGGGCTGGAGCGCGCGGCGTTGGCTGGGAAGGGGTTGCTAGGGGCGGTGAGATTACTGGTCGAGTGGAGCGAGGGGCCGGTCGGCGCGGGCTCCGGGGAGAAGAAATTCGGTGTTGAGGAGGCGGCTAGGTTGGCGAGCATAGAGGTTGATTGGCAGACGGGACGTTGGGGCGAGGTGGAGGATACGCATGACGTGGAGAAGGAGGATCTTAGGCGGCAGCTGGGGAGCACGGTGTTGCTTGTGACGGGGACGGGGAGGAAGTAGGTAACCTAGAGGATTGGATGGATACCTAGGTACCTATATATTATAAATGTATATTACTGCCTAATGATGTTCTTTGGCTAATACCTCGTGGGGGTATCCTGCAGCTTGAGTAATTCAAGTCTACATATATATAAAGCTGGTAGGTAGTCCATCTCCTAGAGTAGAATCTCCAACCTAGATAGCTAACTATTGATAGGGCAGATGGAGAGTGTCCCTTATAAAATGTCTAAGCTGGGTCTGGGTGACAACTACACCGAAGCTCACATATCGAAGCCTAACTTTACTCCCCCTTTACTCTTCAATATGAATTATACATTAAACATATCTTTAGGTAGATTTCTTAGTTTTAACAAAGTACATAGGTATAAAACAGCACCCACGACTGTCAGCTGACTGTAGGTAGCAGGGTAAGTATAAGGTACCCATGTATACGGCACGGGTTCGGAGTTATTCCATAGACGCCATCTCGGCCGCCGGAGAAGTATTCCATTTTAGCGTCCATATTTTCCCTCTAACATCATTAGACTTCTCAACTATACCACCATAAACTATTACCCGCCAAGCTGATAATTGGCTCGCCAAGCTGATGATTGTGATATTGTTTGTCAGAACTGGTCGCTTGGGTAGTTTAGGAGGTTGATCCTTACGGTCAGGTTTACGGTCAGGTATATGTTGTTCTTGTTTCAGCACCGATGAGAATGTTCCCAGATTCCAATTTTGATGCTTGGCCCGTGAATTGTAAGTCCGCAACGGCAGAATTAAACCCCAGCTTACGCATGTTGAAGTCTCGGTATATTAATAGGTATTTATCCACTGTCCAGTAAGTCGTTCATATATTAACTAACCTACGTCTTCCTATTATTTCAACTTGAATTCGACTTAAATTCAACCATCATCTTTCGTATTATTAAACGTCGCTGTTTTCCTCTTTCCTACCTTTAACAGCCTGTAACTTCTACAACAATGTCGGGCCAACCATCATCACGAGAACTCTATGCCTTCAACGAAGGCAAGACTTTCGTCTCAAATATAGCAGTCCGTACTGACGGCACCCTTCTTTTGAGCACGTTCGAGAACGGTCGTCTATACTCGCTGGATCCGCGTGCCGATACGCCAAAAGTCGAGCTGGTCGCTGAGTTCCCCGGCGCCAATGCGATAAGCAGCGTTGTCGCAAATTCACCTGATACCTTCACTGTTGTCGGTGGTGATCACAGGCCATATCGGTATGAATTAGGATCAATGAAGGTGTGGACCGTTTTCTTCCCGGGGCCCGGCCAGCCTGCGGTCGTGAAGACGGTAGCGGAGGTACCTGACACCGAGATGCTCAACGGCATAGATTCTCTCCCCTCTCAACCTCACGTCGTCTTGGGCGCCGACTCGGTCAAGGGCCGAATCTTTCGCATCAACACCATCACCGGCGCTGTAGATGTTGCATTTTCTGACCCAGCCCTGGAGCAAGACACAGCAATTCCGATAGGTGTTAACGGAATTAGAGTCTTCGGGCCACACCTTTACTTTGCAAATTCCGCCAAAGGATATTTCGGTCGCGTCCCTATTGGACCGGACGGTAGCAAAACGGGAGATATCGAGATCATTGCTCGCTCGCCCGAAACAGTAAGCCAGAGCACTTCTTATGACGACTTTAGTGTAGCACAACCCGCTGGTGGGAATCCCACGGCCTACATCACTGCCCATACGAACAAGGTTTATTCCATCGACCTGGTGACTGGCGAGCAGAAGCTTTTCTTCGGCGGAGGCGACAGCACTGTTCTCAAACGCCCGACGAGCGTTGCTGTGGCCAATGATGGCAAGAGTATTTTCGTTACTACCGCAGGGTTCGAAGTTATGGGCGGACCCGCTAAGGGACAGGTTGTAGAGATTCCAATCTAGCGAACGTTGGAAATGATAGGGGACTGAATTGAAGATCGTTACCATCGATTCTTAGAATATCGCTTGTGCGTTTGGTGGTGACGACACACCACCGGGCATATTGATAGGCATAGAGGTGAAGAAGAAGGACCACCGATTTAGCCCCTTGCACATCTCAGAAAGCCTCTCCAGGTCAAATAACTCACCTAAATAAAAACATTAGCTACCTACCTAGTTGATTTCCTCACAAGTCTGTCTCAAACTTACCAATAGGCATGCCCCATCCGGCAAGGAGAATATCGTGAAGAAACATATCACCTTGTGGAGGATATACTTCCCACGATAAAGCGTCACCAGCCACAGCAGCGAACCCAGTATCCCATAGCCATTTTAACACTTCCGGTGTTGCCTCTACTCCCGCATGCTTCGGTGAAAGTGACGAAGAGTAGGCCGTCTTAGCCGCGATGTCCATTTTGTCCTCCCACTCTCCAATGACACCGCTCCGTACAAGTAAGATATCCCCCCTCTCGAACATTATATCGTGCTCGCAGGCTATGTCAATGATATCTTGGAGCTTGATGGTATGATTAGAGAAGGTAGAGTACTGGACGCCTTCTTTCTGTGCCCACGACACATAATCTATCAGTACACCGCGGCCGGTGATACCCTCGCGAGCCCAATGTTGGGTACCTATGCGATCATTCGATCTATCGAGTATTTCCCCTTTAGTCGTTCCACCGTAAAATACACGTTCCTGCTGGTCATCTTCGCCGGGTGGCTTGGCGCTCCAATGGCGTAGACCATCCCACTGACTGCTCTGCTCTGGGGTCGTCGTTAGAGCAGGTACAAACTATAGTGAGTTCTAATACCGCACTTACGAGGATTCATCGTGTAGATATCGTCGAAGGCGACGCCACCTAAGATCGGTGTGATTTGGTGGTCGCAAGGGGCTCTTCCGATATTTGGATACTCCAATTTCGTGACGTCCCAGTTCAACCCGATACGCCGGCCTGTTCGGATCTCCCGAGCCGCCGCGCTACGGACACGTTCTTCCGTCAGTAGAACAAGCCGCCCGAGGCCTTCCTCGTAGCTACCTGGTTGCCCAACCCATACTCTTTTAGGATCTGGAAGCTCGTCGAACTTGAGATCCATAAGGGATCTATGTTCGGGCATCTTGGTAAGAATCCCGGGAATATGTCTAAGGGACTTTGCGAGATGTAATTCAGTAACCTAGGTTAGGTGGTTTGCATATGAGGCGTATATGTACCTAAGATAATATGCAAGGCCGCTCCATGTTCGGCCTTCGTTGGCATTATTGCGTAAGTATCTCGTGGATCGGCATTTCATTCACGATGCGATAGGCCAGACGTCGTACGTCGGGCACATAATGCCACCAACTGTAGACAACATCTTGCTAGTTGAATCGAGCGATAAGCTGCTAGAAAGGCTTCCGAGACCTCTTGTGCATGAGTAAGGGTAGCGATCGACAGTTATAATGTACGTTGCAATGGTATTGGGGGGTCTGAGTAACACGACACAGCCCAATGACGTTCGTTTTTTGATGTCATGCCGACTATGAGACATATGCGAGTCGAATTGAATTAGCGAGTTAGACGAAGATCATGCAAGACATCCAAAGAGGCCGGCTTTGAATTGATACATAAAGTGACCAAGAATACTAGACCGGATAAACATGTCTGAGGTGAATCCCGAAGAACCTAGGTACGGTCTATCTTATAAACATGGTACTCTGCTGGCTAGTATTTAAGCTGTGTCATATCTTTCTCTTATAGACCAGGTAACTATAGAAAAGCTACCATATATGCTGTAGAGCCAGTGCTTACCTAGATATCGAGGTATACACAAGTGTATCGGCTTAAGTCGAAATAGAATGTCTTCCCTAACTTGAGTATATGGGACTAATCAAGGTGAATACAGCCTCTAATAAGGGTTCAGTTAGACTTGCTTGAAATCTTATAGTCAAAACTGTAGCAAATGACATATCTAAACTGTATTATTATATGGAACTGTTAATGATTAACTCTTACTTGTAAACTTCTATAATTACTGAGGGATCCACGATATACAGCGACTACATACTCTCCGCATCGGAATATGTGTTTAACTCTACGTGCGGCTATAGTTAACTAACAATAAAATAAAAAGCAGTCTATTGAGGCTGTCGGCGCTATCGGATCCAAAGGACAGGGCTCAATCGGGTATGTCTAAGGATCTACTCTTTACAACTGTCCCTTGCATAATTCTTTCTCGGTGCTAACGTTGGTCCGACTTCGTATAGAAAAGTCCCCAAGGCCTGCGCGACACAACAATCACCAACGATTAGACGTTGTTATATATACACCAAGGGCTACTTACTTTGGAAGCAGACTTTCCTAATTATATTAAAAGACGTATATTCGACATGCTAGTCTGAAATTACCAACACCCATCCAACAGCCACCGAACCAGAGAGAGGACAAAGAGTAACTATCTTTAAACCCCAAACCAGCCTGCTACCAGGGCGAATACAGCCTAGTCTCCCGCGGCGCCGAAGCCAAGCTGCTCCCGCCGCTGCGGGCCTGCTAACCGGCGGCGCAGGTGGTTGAGACGATGGGGTTTGCGCGGAAGGACCTGTTGGCGGAGGAGCTGTGGGATGCGGTGAAGGAGACTAGGGGGGACATCATTCAAGTAATTGATACCTACCTACCTAACCTAGGTAGGCAAGTACCAGAAATGGTGATTTTATAAAAGAACGTTTAAGATCGTTATTGACTGGCTTAGTCGACTGCATCCTGGTTGAATAAGGCTGCGTACGACCAGCTGGTTCTACAAGAAATACCCAATAGCAAAATCCCACCATCTCTTCTACCATAAAAAAGGTTATCCCTTCTAATGCGCCGAGTCCGTGCCGCCTATGCCTTGGGCTCGGGCGGTCTCATTATATATAGTATATGTACACGTTGAAGTAGCCAGTCAGGTTGATTCAAGGACGAGCAAATGCCTTCATGCTTCCTTCGTATCTTCAATTGCCACGGCCGCCCCTAGTTTGCCGTCTACGTTAGCAGCACCATTTTCTCCGGCCCGCTTCCTCAAGACGTTCTCGATGAAGGCCTCGCCAGCTTTGTAGCTGCTCCTGACCAATGGCCCACTGGCCACATACAAGAACCCCATATTGAGGGCGCGCTGCCGCCACATCTCGAACTCCTCAGGCGTGACATACTTCTCGACCTGAAGGTGGCGCTTCGTCGGCCGCATGTATTGGCCAAAAGTCACCACGTCCACGTTGGCCTTCCGTAGCCGCTCTAGCGCGTCCATGATCTCATGCTCCTGCTCGCCTAGCCCCAGCATCATACTCGTCTTTGTGATGATGCCGTTTTGACCCCGGACCTTCTTCACGTGCTCGAGCACCTTGAGACTTGTCTCGAACGTAGCGCGACGGTCCCGCACGTACGGCGTGAGACCCTCAACGGTTTCAACGTTATGCGCATACACGTCGAGCCCGCTCTCGGCCACAACGGCCACCGAGTCCAGATTACCCCAGAAGTCACTCGTCAGTGCTTCCACGAGTAGACTCGGCTTCTTGGACTTGATCTTACGGATCGTCTCGGCAAAGTGGTGCGACCCACCGTCGGGCATGTCGTCTCGGTTGACGCTCGTCAGCACCACATAGCCCAGGCCCCACCGAGCTAGGGCCTCAGCAGTGTGCTCGGGCTCGTGGGGATCGAGTGGCGGGGGAGCACGGCTGGTCTTGACAGAGCAAAAGCGGCAGCCGCGTGTGCATGTGTCTCCCATCAGCATGATAGTGGCGGTGGCGGCATTCTTGTTGCTACCGCCCCAGCACTCCGAGATATTCGGACAGCGAGCTTCCTCGCATACCGTATGTAAGCCCAGCCCGCGCAAGTCCGACTTAATCTTCTTGTAGTTATCGTTGCCGGCGGGGATCGGCGTCTTGAGCCATTCGGGTAGCCGGGTGATGGTGCGCCGGTTCGACGCGGGCCCGACTTCGGCGGTGCGTAGCTGATACGCATCGCTAGCGGTTAGAGTGGACGAAGATGAGCCAGATATAAATTCGTCTAACGAGGCGACCGTCGTGTCCTTAAAGTATGTAGGACGGCGGGCTGGCTTGTCGGTAGAGGAGAGAGCTGGTTCTGGTGTATTTGTTGGGACGGTGGCGTAGGAGCGAGAAGCATTTCGGGAAGCATTTCGGGAAGCATTTGAGATAGCACGCTGGACAGGCGCCCGAAGGCGGTTCAGTGAGGCCGATGAAGATGCCATGGTCACCCAGTAACTACGTCGGCCACGAGAAACTTGACAAGGCCAGTGTGGCGGATCAGTAGGAAATAGTTTGAGATAAAATCGAGCGACGATATCGATTGATTACGATATCGATTGATTACAATTGCAATCCCCAACTTTTAGGTGCCCCGCTATTGGCTGCAAATCCACCGATCGGATCCACTGATCGGTTAGTACCGGAGGCTTTTGCCGCTTGTCCTTTATCGGCGCCTGCAGGCTGCAGCTGGCATCAACTGAGATATCCGCCAATCACCAATGTCGTCATTTACAAATTAGGAAGGCCTACATTTTGAACGGTTATCAAACCCAAGTTATATACTAGAAAGCCTAACCGATTGATATCTCGCTATGCTTATAAAATAGGTATATATGAATACGTTACACATAATGGTAAGAATAATATAGTAACTAGCTGAGCACTACCAAAGTGGGTAATGTAATTAGGTACCTCTTTTACATGTACGTTGCGAAATATATGCATAAGGCCTCGAACGCATACAAACTAGCATATATAAATAATTGCTCATTGATACATTCATATCACATACAAAGCACAATGACGAAGTGGCTTCAAAGGTTTTATTGAGCTAGCTTTCACGAATATTTTCCTTTCGTGCGACGCACCAAGCCAGCAGCCTCCTTTTCCTTTTCCAAGCACCGAAGGGAAATCCTGAAGCGACGAAGTTAAAAGCGCAACATTTTTAATTTGGTAAAATGAAGGTCAAAGATCAGCAGACCTCTCACATATAGCGAATACATGATAGTTGTTTTCAGACATAACCATTTCCTCCTCGTCCACAATTTCACCTCGGGCCATTCTCGCTCGGCGAGAGTTCAACAACGGGGTATCTCAAGACAATACGGAGGCAGAAGAAGAAAAGAAAATATAAAAATCAAAGGGTATGAAGGTGCCTCCGTTGGCTCCTATCTCGTGGCTCATAACCGAACTCCGCGATAGAATGTAGAAAAATGGGTATTGTTTTTGAAGTGAAGATGCAAGTCCAGCCAGCAACACACTCTCGATACCAAACAGGCTCTCTCATTCCCAGTCCAAGGTCCAAACGGCAGTTAGAAATATGTAAGGTCTTGCAGAGTTATGACCAGCCCCGAGGCCGACAAGGGGTATCGGAAAGTTGTGAAATCGTGATAAATGAAGGAGATGAGAAGGATAAGGTCAGGTCCTTCGGGGTCTGCAAGTCCATCCACCTGGAAAGAGAAAGGCGCGATATAACGGTGATAGTAATCGATGATCCGAGAGCGTGCGATTTAACATGCGCGCCGAGGACGCATGTTGCCGGTTCATTGATACATTAAGGGGGCTTTACGAAGGGTATAAAACGGCACCAAACGCTCAGCACCAGAAGAAAGGTCGAGGAGAGGTGACGAGGGAAAATGGTAGTTCATTCATGATGAATGGCTGGAACTGGCGGAATGCGCAGAGGCCAAGGCATCAAGACATCAAGGCATCGTGGTTGGTTGTTAGCGAATGCCATTTCGCGGACTAGTACCTTGTCGCGTATAGTGTGTGACCAAATAGCGCTGAAAACGAGGAGTGCTGATTTTTGACAAAAGAAATGAAGTAGATGACGTTCGTATCGAATAGGTTTAATTTTTGTTTTCGTTGTACCCCCCCTTTGGCGCTCCTCGGCCAAGTTGCCCAACACGGCGCAACTTACATCAGCGCGGCGACAACAATACCAGCCAGCCCCGCAAGCGCAACATGGGCAGAGCCAAGCGATGCGCCGCCGTTGTTGTTATCGATGGTAGGGCTGACTGTGGGCGCAACAATTGTAGGAGTACCATCAGAGCCAGTCGTTGTCGTTGGAAGAGCGATACTGGAGGAGTGGAAAGAAGAAATGGTGCCGGTAGGCTGGTAGACGGAAGTCGAGTTTGCGCTGAAGATACTTGAGGTGGCAACGTTCTGGATAGTAATGTACTTTGTCATCGTCATAGTAGACGTGGTAGTAGAAGGGTCTGCTGCTACTGCCAACAAAGGAAGCAGCGCAGTTGCGACAATCGTTGAGATATGCATTTTGATATTCGTTGGGTAGAGGATTTATGTGTATAACAGACTGCCACAATATCGATATTCTTAAAGCTGATCCCAGAATGTGATAACTTTACTTTTCAAATCGCTTGCGACTATTCAGCGCGTTTCTCGTTATAAATTCGTAGATACCGATATGATGTGTGTGTGTGTGTGTGTGTGATTCAAAGAAGGATAGTTGAATACTCGATACTCAAGGTCGATTGGGACTTATTCCTCGTAATGTCGTGAAATGGGCTCTGCCAACGAAGCCCTGTGAGTTAAAGAATGAACGCGCAGGAGAAGTGAGTTTACGAAGAGGGTGAGGGTATCAGGTTGTTTAATGAAGGAGTGAGGGAAAAGGGTGTGGTCAGAGGAAAGCGGGCGGGAAGCCACGATCGTTCTAGGGACCCTTGTTGCGCAAATGGGCAAGATCAATGGATCAATGGCGATAGAGAATCAAAGCAGGGTACAAATTAGTGTTGCACCTATTTCTTGCGCTAGTCTTCGCTAGTCGGCAAGGGGTCCCTGGGGATACAAGGCCAGCAAAGCGTCAATATACACCAATCATCAATACCGGTCAATCCCCATTACCTTCCTCTATATGTATTTGGTTGCTACACATACGCATGCCAAAGAATACACGCAAGGGAATTGTGAGTTTAGACAAAGAATCTTTATATATGTGTTGTTTAAAGCTGCATTTACTACAAGTTTAGATGTACTTCCCGATACTAAATATATTAGAGACAAATTCAATAAGAGGCGTAAGGGAACATGTTGTACAATACCTACATCATGCACCTTAGTTAGGTATTGTACTTAAGTACTTCCATAGGTACGTTAGGAACATTACAACCAAAATCTTACTTGTGACGGATTGCGGATCGCATCCTCCGATTGCACAGGGCAACGGAAATTACATAGGTACATTAGCAAACGGAAATATAGCTTGCTTGGGCTAATTGGTAAGTGCCCCTACCCAGTACCATTATTTAGTTATGCAACCCTTGTAGTCCATCACTTAAAGAAGTAACCTAGGAAACTACTAACGTCTGTGCCCAATTTGGGATACCCATGTTCTTTAGACTGCATATGAGTTAGATACGTACCTATTAAATCAACGAGAATATCATTGAGAATATTTGTCAGGTTCTGTAGGTGTGGTGTTTAGAATCCTTTAACGATGGTTATTTTGAGATGATTCTTCTCAACCACCTGTCCATTATTCCCTCATAGCTAACTAAATTGTATTGCAGCGTCTAACAGATCCCATTTACATCCAATCCTCCATCGTCCGTGGGGTCTTCATAAAATTTACTAAGATTGCATAATTTCTGCCCGACTAGGGTCCACGCGACGTGTGCGTCAGGCTACTTCTGATTGGTTGTAGTGATTGGTACCTGCAGCTTTAGGTTCTCTTTGTTCCTGACTAAACCCAAATGGAAAGATTCTGTGAAAACTCAAATTTCCCCCAGACTGGTCCGAGTGGTTCATGGGTTCCAGGTCCCATCTTCTCCCAGAGACACCATTCAATGGTTTCGAGATTTCTGCGGAGAAGATCTACCCTAGATATGGCACATTCGGAAATCCATTTAACAATCACGATGGCGCTATCATTCCTCTTCCAGTTATCATTCTAATAATTGTTATATTCCGTACCCAGTTCCGGACCTCGACGTGGAAACGCCCACGGTAATCACAATCAGGGCGCGCAAGATAGCAAATGTAGGGATATAAAGCTTACTTCGATACCCAAGTACATAGTAGTGTACTAATACTATTACGGTCCATGCGTGCGATCGTCGCGTCCTATCGTTTACATACCTTAGGTTAGGTAGTTTGGGTCAAGCCCAACATCTAATCTAGTAAGCCATAATGCGTCGACATGTGTCGCGAACAACAACGCACCACGTCGGCTTTGGATCATCACTGTGAGATGCACTTAAACTTCGAACCGTTTGCATCCGGGTCGCAACCGATACGCATGGAACCTATCATAAGGAACCTATCATAAGGTTCCACGCAGTGTATCCTGTGGGACCTCTGACCAACAATAGCGGTGTCGGTGATCATCATGGAGCTGAAGTGGTTTTTTTTTTCTTCCTTTTTTCCTTCTCCAGGCCTGCTCTACCCCTTACTCCTGTACACCGACGCCAACTCATCCGTCTCGGTGATTTTTGAGCTGTCCCATTTACGTAAGCCCGGAAAAGACCCCTTGGCACCAGTCTCACCATCGAAACCACTAGGGTAGCCCTAGCAATTCATTTTCACGACAACCTCAAAGCATGTCCTATAGCTGAGGATTTATTTCCCTCTATCACGGTATTCTCAGGGGCTGAAGTTCCATAGCTACCATAGGTAGCTACCGTGTCCGCCTATACCTTTTTTGCCAGCGCGATTTGCTTGATGGAGCCACCATCCGCTTAAAAATTGAAAAACCTCAGAAACATGATAACCCCTGTAAGACGACAACTGTTTCCAATCTCCAAATCGTCAAACTCGCTTACTCAAAAGGAAATTGACGAGGAATTTTATGCTACTCACCTAGGTTAAGTAAATTGCTCGCCGTCGCAAATCTAATACAACATTGCAAACGAACAATTGCATAGATAATGGCGCGGTATAAGTGATATATTTGTGATATATTTGTGATACCTTATTTACGTGAATTACAGCTCCCCTAATAATGGCCCCTATGTGAGTCTCGCTGATTTTAATTATTCATTAGCAATTTAGTCTGCTAAACAACGCTATATACGAAAGAGTAGATAGACTTAGATCGATCGCCGCAGGGTAACAGCCTTATGTATTGTCGAACTGCCGATCCATTGCATCAGCTCGTCGCAGATCACTGTCGTCTTGGGAATGTAGGCTCTGTTCTAATGAACTTAACTATCAACGCTTCCCAACTTCTCGACACTACTACTCTTAACGATATCTCATTACATTTCTAAATCCATATCATTAAAAATACTTTCCAAGCGCGTGCAGGCTTTCAAAACTCGGGCCCAATAGTTTTTATTATCAAAGAAGCTCTAGTTTACCTTAGGAGTTCCAACCGCTATGGCTCTGGCCTTCTTTCTGCATTGCTTCTGATGAAGTGCGATATTCTTAGGACACCCTAAAGATGTCGTATCTTGAACTACTCGGCTTGCGACCGCCAAGGGACAATCGGCCATCTTCCCAGGTCGTCATATTCGCAACGAGACACTCATTATATTCAATATACGAACACCTGGTGTAGTTTTGCAAGTGAAGCTTTCCGTCAGGTGAGGCAAGAGATACACCAATAGTACCATACGATTGCTCCCATGCCTATCTCTTGGTTGTTCTCAACTATGAATGTTAATATTGGTACTTGTTTTCTTAATCCTCTCCTATATTAACTAAATCCATTAAGCACTGCCATTGCTTATTAGTATTCATCTCGACCGGCCATAATGTGAATAGAAATTGAAAAGAAAGAGTTATTTAAGCATAAGCTTCCATAAATTATGTCAGAAAAATCATTTCAATGCAGCCACCCGCAAGGCCACCAATTACCGTCAAGTATGTTCAACATTCAGGAGGGGAAATGGTTACCGTTATGCAGGTGATCGATCATGGAATTCTACCGGTGACAAACGAGAGGAGCAGACTAAGAACATTTCACACAAAGCAATATACAGCTAGAAAGGAAAATTGTATGTCGACTTAGAGGAATTTTGACTTCTCAGCAAACTTGAGCTCAGACATGGCGTTTCCTGCTAAAATCCGTGCCGAAAGCATTGCAACTCTACACTTTCTCCATCCTATTCCCGCCCAGCCGTTGTCCAATCCAGTGACGAGCATTCAATGTCGGAGGGAAGACTATACCTTATCCTTTGAAAAGGAGCGCAGCCTTTGCAGTACACTCGCTTTTCTTGCGTATGCAAAAGATGATAATAACAATATCCCAGCAATATGTTTGGAAGAGGGTACTGGGGCCGCATATTTGAACGTTCTGCTTGCCATAAATAAATTCGGGCATAACAGAGGAAACCTGGTTCTTGAGAGATTGAAGACGGAATTTGAGAGGATTTTTTCTCTCCTTTCTCACGCGGACGGTACTAAATCTAAGTCAACGGCTTATATCTTATTTCACTAACTAATACGTTGAGCCAGATACCACATTGGGCGTGGAGAATGATGTATTCAAAGCCATCATTGCTATGTGTTCAGCTCGGATCCTTTACCGCTTAGGTCTTATTCAACATCCCAAGAAAATTCAAAGGCGGTCAATTAAAGAAAACCTCCAAGCTACTTTGGAGTATCTAAGACAGAATGCAAACCACAGGCACGAACCTTCATCCCCCCGATACTCATTCATCGACAAAACAAAGGAAGTAATAAAGCTTGCCGACTCTTGGAACAAGCACCAAACGCAGTCTGAGTTAGAGAAGCTAGTTGATAGCATTCGTCACCTACAACAAGTCAGGGGCTTCCATGATTTGATCAACGCAATACCCAATAGAGCTATGGACCCAAGCTCAAGGGCCCGTCTCATAAATATAATAAGGAAAGTCGCACGATACCGTGAAGCAGCTAGGTTGCTATACCGGACTGCTAAAAAGACTCCCATAGCCCGCAAAATGCGTCTCGTGCTTGTTTCATTACCTCAAAAGGTGTTCGATAAAGATTTAAGCAGTGACTACATGCCGGATCTTAGCAATACTCTCCCACTAATTGATGAGCTTAAGAATGAAAAGGGTCTAGAGCAAGTCTTCCGTTTATTGAATACCACCGAGGAACAGGCAAAAATACAGTTCATTGCCCAAACACAGAAGACTTTGCGGGAGGCGAGAATCCATGCCGAAATCCAGCTCCTTTATTACTGCGAGTTCCATATGTCGCCCAATGCACATATGCCTCGAGTCGTATGCTCAAGCAAAGATGCTTGTTGGCTATGCAACGAGTTTATTCTCATGTATGAGAAGATCCACACACCTAAATGTCATGGGAAGCTGTATCCCGGGTGGCGACTACCGACATCGTGCGGGCCCAAGTATCATGATTTGGTAACGAGATTTAACATGCGGCTTCAAGGCCATATTAAGAATGGTCTGGAAACATTATTTGCGAGAAGGGAGAAGACTGTGTATCCTGACCCGAACGAGAGCACTTTACTCACATTGCCTTGGTCGTCCTCGACACTGCCCACTCTGACATCTTTCTCTTTAGACGCATCAGAAACTTCAAGTACCGTGAACAAGAATCCGCAAAAGATTGCACTTCCCTCCGAAGAAGCACCAACTCATGAGTCTGCACTAGCTGATGATGAGGAGGGCAAGAAAACGCCAGTAGAGGCGGAAGAAATAGCACACGAGGGTTCTTCCCATTTAAGCAGAGAAACGAGTAGCGTTCCGGAAAGCCCGGACAAAATAAGAACAACAGTGGCTTCGAGCTCTTTAGAGAGCAATTTGATACTCGAACCAGGTAAGGTCATGTCAAGACAAGTTGGGGTCGGAAAGGCTTCTTCACTATATAAAGCAGGTCCCCTAGAAATACAGATCGAATATGCCGAAAATTCAAGCCAAGAGTCGCGAGGTGGACACCGGAAGAAACTCTCATATGCTGTGGAATGGCTGGCATCTGAGGAGGTCGAGAGGCTGCGAAATGGGCAAGAGAATCTTGTTATTGACGCGGCGTCTTTTGAAGGTGAGATAGAGCACAGTACGGACAGAAATGGGTGTGTGTACATTTCTAACGGCGATGCCGTGGTGAAAATCTTCATGCAGCCGGTGGCTATGAAGCAAGGCTCGGAACAACTAAATACACCCACGAGATGATCCCTTCGTGTATTAGTATAATATACTTCTAAAAAATTGCCATGTGCGTGTAGTTGTTCCGAGCCTTGCTACGAAGTAACGACATCTCATATCCCCTTTAGGCAGTAGCCAGGTTACGATTCTTCCGACTACGCGGTCTACTAATATTCCTCCAAGGCGTCAAGGACATACCCGGCGATAAGTTCTGGCAGAAGGCGGACTACATTAGAGAGAATGAGGGTATGTTTAACCATAGAGATACCGGCTTTGATAAATTCCACGTTTTGCGCTAAGAACTCAGCTTAGGACTTCTAGATCAGGTAGAAAGGGAGCCAGCTTACACAACTCTTTGCCAAAGAAAAAGAAGGCATTTGAGTGGGCAATAGCCCTGCAGAATAGGGGGGTATTAGCTTATTATATATTTGGTACGTTTTCAATTATTCACCTAGCTCTTCTTCACCTTAGTTGGTTCATGTAGGTATGTTCTGCCAAGATAGGGGAGTTTTCATTTCTACGGTGCTAAATATAGGACTTAGGAGCTGAAAGGGTAGATTGATGTTGATTAGGTTGAGTTGATAATTACTGGGGGCGTTATCAAAGATCTAAATGCCAACCAACCGACCTCTCACATTAGGTACCCTTTTAGCCCCCAAACAGGGCTGATTAGGTACCTATGCGTTTAAGCATCGCACCTTCCAACAGCTCCAACACCTATATTAATTAGCCCCCCAGTGTTACGTCGGCTAAGCACCTCATAGGTTGAGCTCTATCAAGTTGGAACAAGGGTCTCCCTGTTGCATACCTCTTAATAGGGCAGCAGGGCAGCAGGGCAGGTACCACAGCTTCGGTAACCTATAATAATGGAATCACATATGCAAACATTTTGAATTTTACACTCCCTACAGAAGACGAGGCAGAAAAAGGAGGTAGGACGGGTTCTCCAGATACCGTAATAGTTAGGGAGGTGAACATTACGAGTTGTACTATTCAATTCTATAATAACTTTAGAAAACAGTAGTAATTCTAACTTGGTCTCTGGGTTGTTATTGTTAAGAAATTCAATGATCATATATTTCCAGGTCGACGCCCTCGCTACGAATTATACCATATAGAATAACTACATTGGTTCTTACCTCGTAAGCGTAAACGTAAGCGTAGGCCCCTAAATAAGGAGAGAGAAAATAATGATAACAAGTTATTAAGTTAGTTGGGAAATGTAACTCGTGCAGATGTTTGTGAGCTGTAGTTATATATAGACTTAATCTACCAACTGTATGAGTGATGAGGGAAGTCATTCTTATATAGATATTATACATTCCATGCCAAGATACCATGTGCTGTACCTGAAAGTAACAGTCCTTTGACCACTCATTTCAACATACATCACGCCACTAGTTCGACCGGATGCTAAATCATCACCAGCAAAGGAGCTTACACGCATGCGTACATCCTATCTTCCATATTTAATCTGTATCCTTCCGTTAACGCATCCCTATACGTAATATCATTGTGCCGGATGGAGGGTAGTTGGCCAACAATAATCAGGTGGAACCGCCTAGCTACGAGAATCTACATATATAGGTACAAACTGAACATGTTCTTTGTTCTAGGTTAGATGCTTCATCTGGAATCCTGATACCAGGCTTTGATATGTACCGCTAGATGGACCCTACGTGCAGCACAATGTAACATGTCCCATCCAACCCGTGTGCCTATTCCAAGCCATGTAACCTCAGTCAGCCGCTTTGTAGTTTTTCAGTGTTTAAGTGCGATATGGAATATTCGGCCTACCGAGGAAAATTCTTCGGTGCCGACTTAACTACCATGAATAGCGTCAACGAACACACAGATATCCACAAACCCCCATATTAAGGGATGAAATAGCGGGACGGCTCTATTGCTAGTCTATTGCTAGTATAGAGTCAGATCTATGTACGCGTATATCTGATCTAGCATCTAGTCGTCCAGACCAACCTCCCAAAATCCAACGTTATATTCCCAGTCACCCTATACTCCCACTATCCGTTAGATCTAGTCCAGTTAAATGGAGCCAGGCGTATCGCGCTCGTGTAGTTGAATAATTCACACCCACCAGTATTTGCCGTCCCAATGATGATGTTGGTATAACCAACCAACTATTTGCATGCAAGACCTTATCGCTGTTGAATGGTTCTCTCCCGAAAACGCCTTGTGCTCAGAAGAGTTGGTGAAACTCCGTGCCGCTCTGACCCCAACTCTACCATGTGTTGAAGACCCGTGTATCCGCCGTACGCCTTTTTCCTTTCCATGATGTTGAAAACTGGATATCGTCTATGCGTTGCGCCGGAAAGATGCTGCTGGGAAAATCATTTACGTTGTGTCCTCGACTGGCGGACAGGTGCAGAAAAGGTTCAAGTCGCCGTATTCTAGGTACTATAGTTAGCATATATGTTTTCAACCCTTAGATGAATGTAATATGTGCATCAACTTACTGTCATCTACCCTCGTGACACTCGGCCAGAACTTTTTCTCCTTAAGCCACGGCAGAGGATACGCCGCCTTCTCTCGTGAGTAGGACCTCTCCCATTTGCCGCCCTCACCACCGTCACCCGCAATTAGGTCCTGCATAGTGTGTGGCGACATCTTCAAAACATTACCCTCACGCGGGATTTTACCCTCTTCAATCTCGCGGATCTCTCCGCGGATACTAATCAGAGCATCAATAAAGCGATCGAGCTCCTCCTTACTCTCGCTCTCAGTTGGCTCAATCATTAGGGTGTTGGCGACGGGCCAGCTCATCGTCGGGGCGTGGAAACCGTAGTCCTGCAGGCGCTTAGCAATGTCGATGGCCTCGACACCAGCGGATTTACTAAAGGGCCGGGCGTCAAGGATGAACTCGTGAGCGCAGCGCCCGTGCTCATTCACGTACAAAATTTGGTAGTGAGGCTTGAGACGTGAGAGGATATAGTTAGCGTTGAGCAGAGTGATTTTAGTAGCTTGGGTGAGACCCTCCGCCCCTATAAGAGAAGTTAGTGATCTACCCGGTTAGGTGAAATTTCAAATGAGTTAACTTACCCATCAAGGTGTTATACGCCCAACTGATGAGGTTGATGCTGGCGCTACCATTGTTGGCACTGCTGACTGCATAACCACCGCTGGTCGTCTTGCCCTCGGCGTTGGGATCACGGGGAAGGAAAGGTTGAAGACGCTGCTTTACACAAATGGGACCTACGCCCGGGCCGCCTCCACCGTGTGGGATACAGAAAGTCTTGTGGAGATTCAGATGGCACACGTCAGCACCAATCTCTCCCGGGGAGCATAACCCAATTTGCGCATTCATGTTTGCGCCGTCCATGTAGACTAGACCGCCGTGTTCGTGGACCAGCTCGCACACCTTCTTGATCTCGGGCTCGAATACACCAAACGTGCTAGGATAAGTAACCATGATAGCCCCGAGCTCTTCTTGGTGCTTTTTGCACTTTTCCTCAAGATCTGCTACGTCGAGATTGCCGGTAGTCGTATTGCACTTGATTGGTACTACTCGCATGCCAGCCATAGCAGCGGAGGCAGGATTTGTACCGTGAGCAGATACGGGAATAAGGCAGATATCGCGCTTCTTTCCATCATTTCCTTGCGCCTTGTGGTATTCTCTAATTGCTCGCAGACCGGCGAATTCACCCTGTGCTCCCGAGTTAGGTTGAAGAGAGACAGCATCCATGCCTGTTATATCACGCAGTTGTTCCCTGAACATCTCTAGCAAGCTGTTGTAGCCCGGGACCGTCTCCTCTGGGGTATACGGGTGTATCTGGGAGAACTCGGGTAGCGTGATAAGTGACATTTCCGTGGTTCCATTGAGCTTCATAGTGCATGAGCCGAGAGGAATCATGGAGTGGACAAGTGATAGATCCTTAGACTGCAGATAGTAGATATACCGTAGCAACTCTGTTTCAGAGTGGTGCGTGTTAAAGACAGGATGAGTCAAAAAGCTCGAGGTTCGTTTGAAAGCGTCCGGGATATCTATCGAATCGGCGTGCTTTTCGAGTATCTGGCGAACGTGTACCTCCACCGCCTCGTACGGGTATACCTTGATGTTGCCAGCCACAGTTGCAAATACTTGGAAGACTTTGACCAAGTCGTCTAGCGATGTTGTTTCATCAACCGAGATACCAATTTGCTGCTCGCCGATTTGGCGAACATACATCCCGTGTTCGTGTGCTGTGCTCACAGATTGGGCCTGGCTCTCTTTGGATCCAACATCAATGATAACTGTATCAAAGAGTACGCTGCCGCTATCATTCCACTTGCTTTTTTCCGTAGCGAACCCATTCTCTTCAGCAATGGCTTGAATAACCCGTGCTCCTCGGACAACTCGTTCGGCAATCGCTTTGAGACCTTCGGGTCCATGATAGATCGCGTAGAGAGCATTCATATTAGCTAACAGCGCCTGCGACGTGCACACGTTACTGGTTGCCTTCTCTCTCCTGATATGCTGTTCTCGTGTCTGTAGGGCTAATCGGTAGGCCTTCCCACCCAGTCGATCTTTAGACAGCCCAATTAATCGACCAGGCATCTTCCTCTTGTGCTTCTCCTGAACGGCGAAGAACGCAGCATGTGGACCTCCGAATCCCATCGGCACACCGAATCTTTGCGCACTTCCGAAGGCAATGTCAGCCCCCCATTCTCCTGGGGGTTTGAGCATGGTCAAAGCCAGTAGATCCGTAGCAACACTAAGCAGGGCGCCTTGTTTATGTACCGAGTCGGCCAGAGGCTGGAAATTTTCTACATGACCGTATGTGTCGGGATACTGGACCATGACACCGACCAGGTCCTCGCCAAGGTTCTCGACCTCAGTACGTGCTTCAGCCTTCGTAAGGTCCAGTTCCAATATCTTGATACCAAAGCCATCCGCACGCCCACGTAATACCGATATCGTCTGCGGGTGGAGGGACTTAGATACGACGAAAGTCTTTCCTTCCCGTTTAGCCCTCGAGGTCGATAACGTGTTCATAGAGAGTGTCATTGCCTCGGCAGCGGCAGTGCCTTCGTCTAGGAGACTAGCATTGGCTATAGAAAGCCCCGTCAGGTCAGTAACCATGGTTTGAAAGTTAACGAGAGACTCTAAGCGGCCTTGGCTGATTTCCGGCTGGTAAGGAGTATAACTCGTATACCAGGCGGGGTTTTCCAGGATGTTCCGTTGAATAACGGCTGGCGTGTGTGTTCCATAGTATCCTTGACCAAGGAAACTCTTTTTGACTGTGATATTGGTCTGAAACTTTTTTACCATTGCCCTTAGACCTGACTCGCTCTGTGGCCCCTCGTGAGGGGGAATGTCGAGCGTTTTCTTAGATAAGATATTGGGTGGAATGACTTGCTGAACGAATTTGTCCAGATTGTCGACAGGCGGAGATAGGGCCTTTAGCATCTCAGCTGTATCGGCCTCATCAGGACCAATATGGCGACGAGGAAACGTGTCCAGGTCGGCATAACTCGCCACCTGTGTCCGGTCAATGGTAGTGAAAGACCTTCTCTGGGTAGCCGTTGCTACGGCTTTATAAGTACAACCATGACATATCCATGGAGCTGTACGCTGCAAGCGAGAACTTAACGAAGTTGATGCTCTTAATTGGACTGCTGACCGGCCTAAACGAGGTATAGCCCTCGCAAAAGACGCCATCTTCGATAAAGATGCTCTTCCTCGTAATTTACACGGGACCTCGGATGAATGCTAGGTCGAGCTTTATGCAGTCATGCTGCTCGAAACGATGCAATTATGAACTATGCCAGTTAAATGAGACAATTGAACAAGCAGTAAGCAACAAATCGTGAATTACAATGTATTAGAGAAATATTAGGAAAATGGATTGATTACGAGTTTTTTAGCTTAGGTACATTGGATATATATACTATTACACAGACTAAGGTACCTTTGCCTTAGAAGGAATCGCCGTCATCGGTCTAGCAACTAGCTCGATATGCAAGATAACAAAAAGTTGCGGGTCTTTTCGGAGGAGTCTCAAAACCGATAGCGTTTTTGCCCCGGACCCTTTTTATGTGATTTCTACCCTACCCTACCTACATACACTACCTAACCTTCCCAGCTTCCCTAGGTAGGTACCGTAGCGTAGTACATTAGGTACAATACATCCATGTAACACCTCATTCTGTAGTGGCGGGTAGGTACCTTACCCACCTAGCGGTGTACATACTTAGGTGGCTACCTATTGGGTATAGCGAATGGAGAGAGATGCTGCAAGTGCTCTTCCCTTTGAGTCTGGAATGGCACGATGCATGTGCCACGCTGTTATGTAATATCCATTCACTGTTCCTGCTTATCGCTTTACATAGCATCATTACACGACTTACACGACTTACAGGGGTTATAATCTTTATTAAGCGGCTTAAAATATGGGCGCCATCCAATTGTACATATCGTAGATGTGGGGAAATCTGCTTTCTGCTGCTAGTCGTCACCAATTAGAAAATTTGGTGACACCGACGAATCAATCAATACTATTCGCCATCTCCCGGTGACGAAACTTTTGCTCCAAAACAACAAAACAACGTTTCTAGTCCATCACGCGAAAAGAAGAGTACCTACCTACCTACCTAGGTAACTGAGGCAATTCAAAATGTTTGGCGGATGTAAGAAAGTCTCATAATGAAATCTGTGCTTATCTTCCGTCGCTAACAAAAGATACGATAGTTGCACCACCCCAGTTCTCCAAGGAGGAGCTTGAGCAGCACGAGGCTGAAGCTACCTCTACGGTCCAGCTCTTCTTCGGCGCCGCAGTCGTGCTCTACTTCTGTATGCTTCCTTCTATTCATAATCTCCACCATAATCGCGTAATACTGACGACGTGTTCTATTAGCTCCCTTCGCCATTGACCTCGTCTCGAGCGTATTTTAATCTCGTGGGCGCATTACTTTGTACAATTATGAGACACGGTAACAATAGTCCGGTTCTTGAGATATGAACTACAAGGGCTGGATGGGGTGTATGCTTCTATACATATGGGATACCTTTTCATAAGGGCGACTCGCATGTTATCCGTTTCGGGTTGTTTTAGCATCACAAGGCTGAGGCATTATGCATATCGCACTACGGCGTCTTCGGGTCTCTAATTCTTATAGAGGGGTGTGTAGGGCTTGTTACGTCACCGCATAATATAAAGCCCCTTGGGGTTTGCGTCTTCTCCCATACGTAAATTAGTTTCATGCTCCCAAATGCTTTGTTAGTTGTCTTAGAAGCCCACGGCATTCAACGACCGAGGATGAAAGAAATTCGGAAGGGGCAAATCGGGATATTATCGTCTAATATCAGAAGCAGACGTTCCTAAACGCCGGGCTTTATGCGATTTCCTACAGCCAGCTGATATCTGTACACCATCCAAGTTTCCCAATACCCGAGAACCCCCTCCTATTAATGAACTTCATCCCCCTATCTCATGCTATCAGAGATCGTTTATGCATTATCCTCCTAGGCGTTATCTACTGTCTAGGAGGTGGATTCCTCTCAGACCACTCGTCATAATCCTTCTTAACCTGCTCCAGCGAGCTTTTCAAGGACTGTAGTTGCTTGTCAAACTTCTCCAATATCTAAGGTCGCTAAATGTTAGTACTGCTTATATGATCACAAAGACCGAGAAATAAACTTACCTCCTTGGCTTGGGCCTCATTCTCCTCTCCTATCCCCTCCTGAGCATCCGTGCCACGCTTGTTAATCTCGTTCTGTAGGCTATCCGCATATCCCCTCAGCATTATAAGACGACTCCACAGTTCCTCTGTTCGCGCACTTAGAGCTGGGTCTGTCACAGCTCGATCGAGGGTCTCCAGCTTCGTCTTCAATTCATCTTCTTCCTTATCGAGGGAGTATCCGCGGTTGCGCAAGACCTGTACCTTTGTTGCTAAGGCCAGACACCTCTGTCGTAGCAGTGCGTGCTTTCGTCGGGCGTTGGCTGTTCGCACGCTGGTCTGCAAGTCGTGTTGTGAGAGAATTGCGTCCAAACTAGAGTTAATAGCATGTAACGCCTGTCTGAAATGCCCTAGAACCTGTCTCTGCATCTTCAGGCGCTCGCTAACAGCCTGAAACCCGGTAGCAAGGGCCGGCATGTATCCGGGTCCGGGTTTATCATGAACAGCTTGCTCCCATTCTCGGGGATCTTCTGAGGCAGAGGGTTGATAGAGAGGGATGCGCGTCTGGTCGACCTTGTTGTAGAAGTAGTACTTGAATACCGTGTTTGGATTTTCGGGAACCCACTTCTCGAGCATTCCTTCGATTTGCTCCGTAACAGGCTTGTGGACTAGGATCGAAACAGTCAGCCTAATGTCAAAGATACGAACTTAAGTGGTAGTAGACTTACTCAGTGACTCTCGGCCTGGCTCCCAAATTAGGCTGGAGCGTTGCACCGGTGCCTGGCTTGCGTTCATGAACCCAGAAGCTCCAAGCTGCTGCTGCTGCTGTTGTTGTTGCTGTTGCTGTTGCTGCGCCTGGGGCTGACCAAGAAGGCTTCCACCAAACGCATTTGTCGATGGTTGGCCAAGCGTACTCCCACCGAGTAAACTTCCACCAAATGCATTGGACTGTGGCTGGTTCTGAGTCTGCGACTGGTTTGTGGTCTGACCAAAACCAGTAGTGGCTGTGGATTGACCGAAGGGAGTTGTAGACGCCCCGAAAGGTGAAGGTTTGCCCCAGAGAGACATGGCTGGAACTGGGAAGCCTGTGGACTTCAGTAACCGGTGGTGTTGTTTAGGGAAGGGGAGCTCGAAGCCGTAATCTTGCGACAGAAGGTTTCGCGAAGATGAGAGTCGCGTTTAAAGTGGGTGGGTGGAATAAAAGAATGATTTAGGCTTCAACTCATGGCGGTACTTTGTATTTCTTCTCGCAAGATACGGTGGTCGGTATCTTGATATGAATTGAGAGAAAAAGAAAAAGAAATACCCTTAAGAAATACCAGGTGTTGCTGTCGGGTGTCTTGGTGTTTACTGGTCTTGTTTAAATGGCCTACACCAGAAATTCCACAAACAAATCCTAGCTTCAAATTCATTAGCTTCAGCCTTAGACGGTGTGGCTGGGAGCTTCATGTTTCCTTCAATGGAATGAAGGTACCTAATTGTATGTACTCAGATACCTAGCTACCCGATAAGGTTCATTCACGAATTTGATTGGCTATAGTGAATTCTAGCAGCTACATACCGATCCATTATTCTAGCCTAATGTGGCTGGAACCAATCAGCATTTCCAATTTGCTAACCAACGGATTCCGTCACTTCGTCCGTCGTCAAACTGCTCCATTTCCGAAGCTCACTTCAAACCACGATATCCCGCCGAGAACCCCGTCCGTATCGCAGCCATGTCGGCCCGGAAGCCAGTGTATGTCTTACAAACAGTTTTCCTACCCAATAACAAAACACCAATTAGCATATTCACAGGCCTTCTTTATGAGCCAATTACATTTTGGAGAGCGTCGTCGCTAACTTACTCTTAGCTTCAACCAGCAGGTTCTCTACGATACCACTCCCCTCCCGGACTCCATCCCCTCGGTCAAGGAGGTCGGAGCTACGTCCGCGCCTCTACTATCGGCTTCCTTCTTCATCGGCGCCCGGTGCCGCCCTTACAACGATGACTTCATGCAATGCAAAACCGAGAACCACGGCAAGGGCGAGTTTGAGTGTTTGAAGGAGGGCCGACGAGTAACCAGATGCGCCGCCAGCGTGATCGATGGCATCAACACGCACTGTCTAGACGAATTCCGCAAGCACTGGCAGTGCCTCGACAATAACAACCACCAGCTGTGGCAATGCCGGAAGGACGAATGGAAGCTCAGCAAATGTGTATTTGATAACCTAGTATGTTACTCTCCTCTTTTAGCCTCTTTTTAAGAGCCATTTTGCTAAACCATGCGATAGAAACTCGAGAAGACCATCCCCGATTCTCCCAAGGACAAAGCCCCGGTCCACCTCCGGACGAAGCAGATCTACGCCCACTACCCTATCTTAAGAGATCGTGGCCAAGCGCCGTTCGGCAAAGCTATTGACCCGCCTTCAGCACAAGCCCAGGCTGATGCGCCGACATCATGAAGTGCCCTTGTTTAAACAGGGGTTTAAAATGACAAGATAACCATGTAAATAAACAAGAATTACAATCGGGTCAAGGTTCCACCTTCTCTAATGTCTCCTCTTGCGACTGGCCTATTTTGCTTGCTCGCTCGCTTGATATAAAATACGAATAGCCTACCCTCTAAAGATTAAGGGACGTCTGTTCAATGGCTAATAAGTTACTCACGCGTGGTAGCTTTACACTAGACAAGGTGACCGTATCATTGAGTATACTCCCTCTGTCGGCCAACTCTCCCTTTTATAAGGGCCTATATCTATCGTATAAGAAAGTAATGAATTATGGTGGCAACTATATGTTGCCATGTTTCCTCTCGGGATATTAGATAGGAACTAACTACCTGTGTTAGCCATGTAAGCGAGGAAAGACGTAGGATCGTTGTATTCCTAAATTTACTATATGCTGATAAAATGCCTATATAATAGTCGAATGATAGATAATATTCACGAAACTATATTATTGTATGTTAATAATGACTGAATAATTAGACCGACTTCAAATGATCTACGGTTCAACTTAGTTGTATCTCATATAGTTTGAATATAACTAAGACGTCTTCCAACGGGAGGATATTCTTATAGTTCTAACTAGCAATAGTTACAACCTATTGAAGTGCCTTTCCGCTCTGTAAAATACCGAGTGGACTATTTTGTGATCGTAACGGTGACGTACAGGAGGCTGCGATAAGCCCACGGCCCTCGACCTTCATCCTCCCGTCGCCACATCACCTACTTCTTCTGGTTAACACAGAGCGTGATCGTAGGCCAAGCCCCGAATATCCCCTCATATTACCTTCAGCACCCGCACACGGCAGTTACGTAGTCATTCGCTTGGCTGCCGGAGGAGCCAGCAACCTGCCGACGCAGGAGCTCTTCGTCTGCCCTAAATCGATGACACATACACAAACGCGGGGGGATACCAATCTACATATGCAAGCCGGCTTGCAGATTCGCGAATATAGCTCTATTGGTTATTAAATACCTGCCGCTATAAAGAAAACAAGATCCATTGCCGTGTTCTGTGTCGGCTGGCTCAACATACAGGGACATATCGTGATAGGGTTGCAGGAGATGTGACCTGTTACCATATATGTGCATCTATGTGCGTCTGTCCAAGGAAGGCATGCCGGATAGAGAAGGCAACTGGCATATTCGGAGTATAGGATCCTATTTGACAACCTTGACAGCCTCTACTAATGAACGCCCGGTTGCACTTAGAAAGAATGTGCGCCTCGCAGGTTCGATGACACCATCTCCTGCACTTCCTACCCGTGTGGAAAGTCTTCCCGTCTTTGCGCCCGCATCGGACGTATGCCGACTGGCTACCAGCATTGCTTAGCATATCCGCCTTCGCACCAGTTAATCTGAAGTACCACTCAGATCTCTCACGACGCTGAGATAGACTGGGCGCGGCGCGGCGCAACCCCGGACATATGTAGCCATCCAACAATTAAGACCCAGGACGCCTCTTCATCAAGGACCGGCTACTTACACAGGTAACCTACATCTGCGCGGGGTAAGCAACACACGGATGAGAGTTAAGTTGGGCAACGCGACGTTGAGTATGAAGTCCATCCGTAGTAGCCATAACTTATAAGCTTAGTATATGATTACAATATGTTATATGTTATACAGCACGAGAGCCCTACGTCATAGCAGGGGATGTCGCATTGCCGCAGGATATGGGAATGTGTCGCAGTGCTGTGACAAAAAACCCTTACTACTAAAATACACGGAAACTACCTCTGCCACGTAGGATGAGGGCTTCTAGAAGTGGCTCAGGTGGCGTATGATGCTTAATCGAGAAGCCCAATTGCCATAAGTAGCCTATGCCATGTTTCGTTTTACCCCTCTAAGGCTACGGATTCTTTTCGATCCTGTATAACCCGCTAGGGCTAATCGGCTCTTCTTGGTCCCTCTGTTGTTCTTGAGCTAGTTGGAAATAGTTGACCGTAACCACGATCCACTAGGGGCACACATGTCGAAGGATTCGTCCCGCAACCCCGCAAACAACTTGGGTAGAAATGTGACATGACTCCCCCGCCGGTAACTATAATCTATTCGCAACAGTGCTATATTCGGTGTTTCCTATTTGTAGCGACTGGGGAAAACCTAAGACAAGGAGCCTCACGGCTGTGTGGAGAATGTGCCTGGCCGCCGGTTGGCAGCGTGAAGAGGTGCGGGAGGCAAGGTTGTACTATATCAAGACAAATCTAGGAATCCCGCGTTCGCCCTGCAAGAATTGAGTCGTGAGATGTATCAACGTCCACACTTTAGATGTCTTGTCTCGGCCCGGGCCTAAAAAGGACGGAAAGACATTGTATGCAAACAGAGGGGTGTTGGGAAGGACAGCTGCTTACTTGTTTAGACATTATGCGTCTTATTATCTAAGATCCACCCGGCGATAGTGTCTAAAGATGAGTTGAGTATATTGGACGATCAGCTCAGATATCTGTTATTTGGATCTTAATCGCTAAATCTGGGCAGGCCTCTGATAAAGCAAACATAACTCTTGACATTGATTAGCCATGCTAAGCATATGCTAGAAAAACCCGCTTACGAATAACACATTAGTAGCGTATATGCTGACCGAGACAGTGTCACGTTGAAACTTGGTGTCTCTCCGTCTTAGAATCGGGATTTAGGGGTGGCAGCCGCTGTGGCATTGGCGTACTGCCTGTCTCAGACACTTGAGACTTCATGCTAGGTAGCGGTAGAAGGCTGGCTTATCGCTAGTCATCTCTTCCACTTAGAAAGAAGTGCCTTCTCGAATTCTTGATGAACTGGGAGTGGCAGACACATAATTACCATAAACGAAGAGGCCTCGGTATCCCTTTCTCTCCCTTACAGTCTGCGTCATATATGAAGGCCGAGTTACAAGCCAGTAATATATATGTATGCTGATGCGGATAGGTACATATCGGATGACAGTTTCCAATCCTGTAATACCATGGTCGACACCTTATTCGCGTTAATCATCCAAGTTGAAGGTAATTTGTTGAGGTGACGGTGACCATTCCTCTGTTGAACTCCAATATGCAATTCGCTACTTGAAGCAAGGAGCTGCAGAATGTAGGAGAGCAAACCCACGATTTGGCATGCCTCGAATAGACGTGGCTGGAAAGTAAATCATAAATTCCGAAGTGATGGGTAAGTTGTAATTAGGATTCATTTCGTAAGCAATCGTGATCCCAATCCTTACGGCACGTTTAGAGCGCTGTCTAGGGCAGTCTTGAGCTTGGACATGCCTTGTGTTACGACAGTCTACCACGATCATCGTGGAATCATGAACTCTGGTTACGAATCGGTGACAAGAATTCTGGTGTAATTTCCACACACCTTTCAGCATCATACGAGATGTTGGCTTCTACTTAGATTGGTCAGTCTATCTCATACAATACTTCGATATCATTTTTCACATTTTCCAAGTATTAATGGGCTCTTTGAGTTGATGGATGAAATGGGGCGCATAGCGTTTGTCACTGATAATAGGCTGATGCGTAGCCGGCTTGTCCTTGCGGCTGACGGAGCTAATGCCCATTGATGGATATTGGTGTTGGGTGGCTTTTCCGGCCTTCCGAAGGACGGGACCCGTTGAAGATCGGGGGAGTTGGTTACGCTAGGGAGTTGTATAAGAATAAACTTTTTTCTTTTTTAATCGGCGTGGCGGCGGCCCAAACGTTTCATCCTTAATTGGCGTTGGCCTATAGTCGAACCGGTTAAACAAGAGCGTCCTTGTATCCACTCATCAGCGGCGCGGCCACCTACGTCCACGCAATGATCTCGCGATTCCTATGTACACTAAAGAAGAAGAAAAAGTAAACATGTGGACTGTGTATGATCCAATAACACGCCTCGGTATTTGCCAAGATGAATCAAACTAGAACGCCTCTATTTGAGATGGCTAGGGATTATGGGACCTCGTGGTGGTGTCATGCGGTCGAGACTCGCAGATAGTTGGTTGAATTTGGAAACAGCAAACATTTCGTGATTGAGGTCTGCGCAGACTTTCGAATTTAAATTAAATGCTTCGCATCGAGCGCATTCATCACGTGTCCATATGCCTTATTTGCAGCTATACAAGCTGACGAGCTGAAGAGGTAGAATAGGGAAAACCTGGTAGATAGGGCGAGTTCGTCTGATGTTTTCCCCAAGGGACTCTATGAGAAACAAAGCAAGGACGGGTATGCAAACGAGATCGGGCTGACCCCAGGATTCGTAGTTGGTTTAAGGGGGCATCAGGGGTGTAAGATCAGTTAGCCTAAGACACTCGCAAATCCGTAGCGGATGGAGATACATAGATAAAATGTTCATGGGCGAATCATTGGCTTTACCGATTACCGCTCTGGGGCATGCTTTACTAGCCCCGCGCTTGACAAGCCCCTCCTGCTTATGAGGGCGGGAATTGAGTAAAAATCTGCAAGGTACCAGATTTTCTGCAGGGGTTGGAAACAGACTAAAAAGACTAAAAGGCTTCGTCTGATCTTAGGTTGTACGAAAGAGCAGTCCATATCATAATACCCGGGTAAATATGATATTTTCCAATGCCAATAAGGCTTAATAGTTAAACTCATTAAACAGATATTTCGAACGGGAAGAAGCAAATAATAATACCTATCTTCAAACACTTGGCAATTATAAAGAAGGGTGATAATGTACCTAGGTTATATGACGTGTTAGTGAATTACCTCCATAACAGTTTAATAACCCCACATTACTGCAAAATATGCCGAGTGCACTTGTTAGCGTCTGTACATCACCCTCTCCCAAGATTCTGATAGGCTTTCATATTCAAACAAGGTGAAAAATTGGCTTCCACTTTCCTAGTGATAATTCTGGACCACTTCGGCGTCTACACGTAACGTCACTATGAAAACTGCCTCACAGTAAACCTCAACTTGCTTTTTCTTTTTTTCTTCTTTTTTTCTTAGGGCTGCGCTTATGTACGTGTATAGATATGGACTGCGTATGTGATCTTCGGATGTTCACAAACTTACTTAATAAGTACCTATGTATCTATTCGCTGCATATGTAAGTAGGTACTTAGAAACTCGAAGAAAATGATTAGGTATACATAATATTAAAAAGCACTGGGTATGGAGTATACTACTGCACGACAGTAAACAATTAAATCTAAATAAACCCTGGTAGGGTAATAATTACTGCTATTAGAGATTCTTATGCGTTGTGTTCGAACAAACAAAAACAATATATTGCAACTTTACCATAAACATCAAAAACATTAAGGGAGAAGGGTCCAAATTCTTGGGTTCGTACATGTCATTATTTTAATAAACTTTAATCTCAGATACGATGCACTTTACTACAATCCAGTCATGTAATTTGATAATCGCTGTAGAAGCTTTACTGCTTTCTGTGATGCTACATGTAGTAGCAATAAGATATGGTAACAACATTGTGTAGCAGTGTTAATAGCAACACCCCCTTTTCGTAGCACGAGTCATTCCCTGTCGAAATGACGCTAGGATCGACAACTCGCATTCACCCTAGTCTAGTGCGGCAGCCGCCTAGCCACTCAGCTTTTTAGTTTGCCTTTGAATACCTAAGAACACCTAGCTTATTTCGGTACGTACCCTTCGTGATACCCTTGCAATCCAGGTACCTAGCAAACATCGGTCCCTTTCATTTTCCCTGCCAATTGTCTCCATTCGTCCTCCTTCACCTTCTCTGACAGGCTCAGGTCAAGTCTTGTCCGTTCCTTTGGCGCATACATCATTCCCCCTTTCCCGCCTTCGATACCTTCTCCTTCCTTTTCTTTTCTACCAACAAGGTGTTTGGCTTGATTCCGAGTTCGATACATATTCGTGAGACCTCAGCTCCGAACAACTACTTCCACTCTTTCTCGTCCGCTTTGGCGTACTTTCATTCCTTAAAATACCACGAGTCTTCTTGCTCTCGTCTTCATCTGGCGACCTTTCAACGCAACCTGATAAAGTTGACTGTTGTCTCAAACGACAAGCCTATCGACTAGTCGACCCCAATTCCATTCATTTTAGTCATTCTTTACTTGGACGCCAGCCGCCCCATCACCGTTGATCGATCTGCTCTCGGAAGCACTCACTAAAAGCTCACGTACTCGTCTAACATAAGAGCCGTCAGTCCAACAAGTTGTGTTCTTGTCTAACCCACCCGATTGATTTCAACTGGTCCACTGTTGGTCTGGAAATATCTTCGCCATCTCTTCCAAGTACTATAAATTGCCCGGTCTTCACTACTAGCTGGAACCGAAGCGTACGTCCTTCATCCACACTCACTATCTACCCACCAAATCTTGCAAGGTACGTGAACAAAAAGTTCTTTGTCTCCCTACGTCCCCATATTCCCAGCATCAAGGTGTGTTGAGCTTTATTCCTTGAAGGCGAATATGGTTTCTCTTCTCCCATACAAAGCGTACCTTTTGAATAAAGGAAACTCTTCCAAATGGAAGACATCTAGACCATATCTTGGAGAAGATGTCAACAAACAATATAAAATCAAAACCACACTTGCGTGACTTCTTGCGACTGCTTGTCGCTCCAAGTTTTTCTCCCTTCTGTATAATACTCTATCACTCACTGAAACTACAGTAGATCGAGCCAGCAGACTCTGATCATAACCACATTCATTTTTCCTTTCTATTCCTATATACGTATTTTTAGCGTTGCATAGTACTCACCTTTTACAGTCATTCGTCTTTTACTAGGCTTCACATCGAGCGAAATGAGGTCCTCGATTTTGATCGCCGCTGGCGCAGCAACTCTGGCTATGGGCAGCCCTCTGGAGAAGGAGAAGCGAGCGATGGAAACTGAATGGGTCGTAGACTACTTGACAGTTACCGTTACCGGTACTGAGTCAGCTAAGCCAACAATATTCTGGGGCGGCCCGAAGCAACGTCCCGCAGAGACAAACTCTCCTTACCCTGTTGTAACCGAGACTCCCGAGGCACCAGCCCCTCCCCCTGCCCCGGAGACAACCGCGCCGTCTGTTGTGGTTGTTACTGTGACCCAAGGCTATCCCACTTCTGAGTCCACTCCGGCACCAGTTGTACAGGATCCTGCGCCCGCACCGGCCCCTGAAACGCCTTCTCCTTCCCCATCCCCGTCCCCATCCCCTTCTCCTGAGCCCGCCACCGCCGCCGCCACCGATTTCGCTGGTGTGGCCGTTCAGCACCACAACTTCCACCGCTCAAACCACTCCTCCCCGGAACTCAAGTGGAGCGATAAACTTGCTGGTTACGCTTACCAGACCTCCCTTTCCTGCAAAATGGTGCACGATATGTATGTTTATCACTAACGTATATCTTTTCGATTACTGACATTCATCTAGGGACCAGGGTGACAAGGGCTATGGCCAGAACTTGGCCAACTGGGCACAGAGCGTGGATGCTTTCAAGTTAGGTGATAGCGGCGCTGTCAAGATGGCCGTCAGCGATATGTGGTACAATGGAGAGTTCAACAACTTCCTTCCATCGTATTACGGCCAGGATTCCCCCGACATGTCCTTCTTCGAGAGCTGGGGTCATATGTCCCAGCTTGTCTGGAAAGAATCGACTGAAGTTGGCTGCTCTTCCCATTACTGCGAGAAGGGAACCATGTACGATGACTTTGATGCCTGGTTCACCGTGTGCAACTACAGCCCTCCTGGTATGGACATCCCTATTTCCCAAGCTATGACTTTATGCTAATATATGACATAGGCAACGTTGGTGGTGCTTACGGCAGCAACGTCCTTAAGCCTCTCGGCAAGTCTACCATAACTGCGTAAACTGATTCCAAGAATTAGCATTGCGCTTTAGGCAGTATCTCGCTGGCAAAGGCAATACACATACCACACAAAACTCCCTTCGATTCTTCAGTGTACAATTCAATACACAATTTTTACAAAACCAGCACTCGCAGCATGATTGTTGATGACATGGAAAACCGGCGTGAATGGGGCACCAGGGAAAGGATGGTCCTGGATTTTAGCATTTTTTTTTCGATTCGTTGTTGGGCTTTGAGCCATTGCATTTTTCTCTTTTTTGGTGAGACTTGTCATTTCTCTAGAATATGACCTTGCATTGCCCCGGTGGAGTTGATGGCTTACCCCCCGCAATGCATTCAATTAAGTCTGAACTATTTAACAACAAACTCGTCTTCACTTCTTGTACCTGTCACTTTTCTTATATCACGTTTCGCTTTTTTGCATCAAGTCAAGAGGGTGACGCTCAAAACTGAGTGCATTACCTAGGTTCTTAAGGTCAGGAACGGTTGCCTACAGACTCGGATGTTGCAGTCGGATTGATCCGGTTGTGGAATAAATCCCAGACCGTATCTTCGTTGTATGTAGAACTCATTCAATGCTAACGACGACTTATGAACTACCTGCTACGTTTTCATTCAATCATAGTGCTACGAGAGTTACATCCATATGGATGTTTATGAATCAATATTTGGCTATTTGCTCAATTAAAATCGGCCTAAGGATATACAGTTAAGCATAGGGTTGATACCTATCAGCTGGAAATTATCAGAAAGTCTATCATTTACTACTGCCTTCAAAGGGACCCAGGGGGTTTATACATACTTGGAGAGTAGAACTCATTGCCAAGTTCGTGTTACACTTTATAGGCAAAGTGGATGCCTAGGAGGTACCTATACATATAGGTTAATGTTATACCGCAAAACGATCTACCGTGCGTCTGCTATCCTAGTATAAGTTCACATGATCCTAGTTCCATGATCATACCCCAGGGGATAGCAATATGATTATGCCTTGGCACGTTTATTGGCAGTCCTATACGAGCGAAGTCGCGTTAAGCTTCTGCCTTGCCTTCGTATTTCGTCGCCAAGCGCTTGATAGCCGATTAAAAAGGCGAGGTTAGCTAAGACATCTAAAATACGTAGCATACCGAAGTAGCGGTAGAATGGACTATGTGTTATCGCTTGAGCTCGAGAACCTTCTACGACCGTAGGGGTATGGAGTATACTAGGTTACTACAGGTAGCTACGCAAACTACCCACCTATAAAGCGTTTCTTAAGTTCGTTACCCCTGAGGTTTGCGTCTTTAACCATCTATCTACCACCAACGGCGGGTAATTAGCTATAATATATGGGATATTATCGTGTATTCCCTAGTGTAGGTAGCCATCCCTGACATGATTTGTAGGGTTGTCCAAATTGGAAATAATAGCCCGCAACCGCTAGACCATTGCGTGTAGATATTTCATCACCAATTTCTCTGTAGAGAATCCATATCATATAGGTACCCTATATGCCTTGTAAGTCGAATTGTTCTAACGATAGCAACTACATAGTCGTAGCCATTAGTACGGTCCTTCAAGTCCACGCACATGCCACCCCACTCGTCCTCATCCTGACGCTTCTCAACGTGACCTGTAGCGCCAGTCTCACCGTCACGCGTGCAGGACGTATGACGATTTAACCGATCTTAAGTTTGATAGCTACGGCAAGCTTCCGGCCGAGGATCAGAAATGGTATAATTTCAGAGTCAAATATAAGGACTCTTTTAAGATATACGCGGTATTGACACGGTGAGCCTTTGGTGTGGTATATACGACGTATTTTGGGCGCAAGAACGAACCTGCCGGTAAGGAAAATTAAAATATGCAGTCATATACGTGGGCCTACGTATACGCCCTGTTACAATAAGCATGCTGGCGAAGGAGGTGCCCCGTGGCGGCAACACGATTGATGGGAGATTTATCCCTGGAGGAACATCGATAGGCATGAATTTCTTGGTGCGTTTACGCTCAAAGACCGTAGTTGGAGAAGATGCTGATTTCTTCCACCCGGAAAGGTACCTGGAAGTCTATCACACCGATAGAGTTGAATAATATCTACTTCGAGGTATGTTGTCTTTATATCTGCTATTTGGCCTCGTGGCGGTGGTTATCGCTTACCCCTGAGATAATTACTCCGGTATTTGACTTCCAACTTGTAGATCCCCAGACCTTTATGACCACTCTTTCCCATGGACTTCTCAACGACAGGAGGTTACTTGCGGGGGTTACGAGATCCGATAGAATCATCTGATAAGAGATGCGAGGCCCCTATGACCTACTTTTGAGAATCCTTCATGCTAGTGATACACAAGAATTCATCGGTTGCTAGAGGTTACCGTTATAAACATTCTCATTGAATACATGGTTAAAACATGTTGACTATGGGGTTGGCATTTCATTGAACTCGAGCATGATCCGAAACTTCATCCAAGATATCTTTGCACGAAGGGCGTAATCAGCTGGTACGCTCCGCCCCTTCTCGCTAGCCGGGATGGATGATTCCATCGAAATATAACCTTTGTACCTCGAGCCAAGAACGATGTATTTCGCTAAGTCCTCCATCGAATAAATACCGCCTAGGGGGTTCTCGAACAGGAAACCCTTGCCGTGTCGTGACCAGCTCATATAGGGGGTTTCATGAGGGTTGTACCTTTAGGGTATAGATAATCAGCAATTTATTCCATGAAAGATAGTAATGAAGAGGCTTAGAGCATGATTCTGGTGGCAATACTCCTTGGCTAGGCTGGGGCACTTGAATTTAGCGATGTAGGTCAGGAGACACGCTGGTAGTACATACCAGGGATGATCCTCGCTTATCGAATCGATGAAGGGAACGGCACTGGAAACTTGGAGATGGAATATCTTGCTTGGTGGTACTACTTCCATCATACGAATGAGGCTATTCGTGCGTCTAATACTCTCTTCCGATCCCTTGTAAGACAAGGCCGACGTATCATCACCCAAACCACCAGCTATATGGAAGGTACTCAGACAGAGACCGAAGTTGGGACTGTCAATCAACTTTACAACTTCCCATGCTTTCCACCACTTGTTGATAATGGTGCTGTAGCACGTAAAAGAGTATGCAATGTTGATACCTAGATCCAATCCCCACCGAGAAATCAGTTTGAGGTCTTCGAGGATAAACTCTTCTGACAGCTCGTCTTGTGGGAGATGGTTAGCTGTGACTATAATTGTCTTGGCGCCAAGTTTTATCGCAAGCAAGAGCTGGGTTTTGAGTATATCTTTCATGGCTTCGTGCCGCGCTCGATCCCGCAATCCTTCGTAGCGTTGAAATGGCCCAAAGGCTACGATTTTAATGTCGAAGAGTTGGCATAGGTCCGCGATGCGCTCTGCCGCGGAGAATAAATCCTTTTCGGAGGGATAATCAACCTATGAAGCAGTCTTTGCTTCTACTATCACCTCATCGAAGGATATTTCGACACCCATGAAATTGTTTACGGCAGCACTTTTGAGTTTTTCTTGTATGCTATAAATAGCGGGAGCTCCGAGAGAGGTAGATACAATTGCCGGGGAGAGCCACTCTGCTGGAGAGGGATCCATTGCTGCAAATAAGCTAGCAGGTGAACTGTTAGGAGATACCTAATTGGAAGTGCTATGAATCATATTTATAGCTGCTTTTATCAGGGGGTTCTCCTGGGATATATTTATGATACTGGATAGTGGGAGTCTAAGAAGTGTCATCACTCGAAATATATCTTGGCTGATGGATGTGAAAACTTACGCGTCTATCCTGCCATGGCAATGAACTGTCGCCTTCTATCATTATCAGAGATATGGACGAGGAAAGAATAATGTGTACTTTACCGTTTGTATGGTACGTAAGGTTAGTTTGAATATGTACCTACCTAATATATGTAGGTCTTCATGGAAACCTAGTCTAAGACACCTACCTAGGATATGTACATAGTCGAGAACCTAGAAAGGGGTTTAGTCCTGAGAATCCATATATGTACCCAAAAGCCCCCCTAAGCTTAAATCAGGATTTCCCATAAACGATTCTGGCATCCTGGCAGGTTAGTACTCGTGGATGAAAATCCGGATGCTTTAGGTATTGTACCTATACCCAAATACTGTATAGAAACATGGTCCTTTATGATCTAATTCGTGCAGGAGTTACTTCGATGTTATTACCTGACAAAGTATGTTCGTACATTGTGCCTCTAAATATAATATAAGTACCTACCTACCTAATAGTACAATATAACGAATTAGCTATCGATTTGATCAAAATCTTTTTATTACTATTTGTCCATCCTCTGTCAGAAATGCTTATTCTTCACCCTACACACAGTCGCGCGGCTCGCGAGGCTCGTGAGGCTCGTGCCCGTAATGTCAATGTCAATGTCAATGTCAATATCAATGACGATGACGATGCCGATGCCGATGCTGTAGGCGAGACATTCTCAGCCAAAGTTTATCGCATATGGAACCTGATCCAGATACTTTTTGTAGCGTGGTTCCTATATGAACAGGTTGTTTATTTCTCTGATCCCCTTCTAGAGTCTTTAGATTGGCTGTCGCTCGTAATTGCATTTACAATCAGAATACCCGGTTTATTTATCAGCTACCTCCCAATACCCTTCTTTGACCCAGCTAGACATATGTCAACGACCACAATGTTGAGCTTCTCTACTTTCATAGTAATCTTATCGACCCGATATCGAGCCCTTCGCGCACGCACAGACGCCTTTAATTGTTTGAAAGTAGTTCTATTTATGTATTACGTCCTTCGAGGTAATTATAGTATGGCACCGCGCCGCGTGGCAAGACTAGGAATATTTCGCCGTGTATTTATATACCTCATTTGGTCCTGCCGCTTCGCTTTTACGGCTTGTATCTCCATCCTCAGTTGGGTGGTTATTGGCTTGCGTTTGGACTACTTCACAAAGTGGTGCCTATTTGCCCTCTTTGTTCTGGACGCCTATTCTTTGAATATTCAAATAGGAATCAGTCGCGTGTTGTGAGCGGGTGTAAGTATTTAGAGATGAGCGCTCAAGCGCATCGTGTCTCGCCCCCCGATAGAATCAATAGTCTAATATTGGAACATCTAAAATACACTGCGCATAAAAAGATTATAATATGTAATGAGCGCCTCGGACTTGATATGTTGAATATTGGAAATGACCATGTCTTGTTATAAATAGTACCCCTTATATAAGGAACTTGTTTAGAGACAGGTAAACAACATCAGTAAAGATATGAAAGCATTTTACAGGGTACTTAACATTTGACTGATCTTCTGTTAACTATACCATTGTTATTAAAAAGTAAATACATATTACAAAAAAAAGGAACATGAACCTATAGAAAGATAATGCCTCTTATTTCCATACTTCTTGAGTGATGTCTCGCACCAATTGCAACTTTTCCCACATTATTTCCATCGTCACACCCAAACCTCCAGCCAAGCTGCTACTACTAAACCCACACTGGGGGCTAACTGCAAGGCAACCCAACGCCTCATCTTTGCTTACCCCCTGCGCACTAGATATTACGGCAGCGGCGGCATAGATTTTCTCCTTAACAATGCTTGGATCCTCTTGCTTTGGCGTCTTCGTGGATATCAGGCCCAATACTACGTTTTTGCCTTTAGGCAGGAACCTCAAAGGCTCGAAGCCGCCCGCCCGCTCGACATCGTCGAATTCTAGATAGTAGGTCTGATAATCTGTTTCGTTAAAGAGCTTGTACGCGATCTTCTCGTACGAACCCGAGACCCAATGTGTAGACCCAGACATGTTGCCTCGACACAGATGCATCCCTGCGTGTAGATCTGCCGGCTTGTTCGCCAAGATCTGGTTGTGAGTCCGAGTGTATAAGTCAAGAAGCTCATCTGGATTGGTGCCATCTTTCTTGCACCCTTCAATAAACTGGGAGGAGCAGAAGTATGTCAGATGTGGGTCGTCCACCTGGATATTACGAAGACCGGCATCGTAGAGTGTGCGAAGCTCGGCGGAGTAGCATTTCGCGAGGTCGTTAAAGTACTCTTGGTCGGAAGTGTACCCTGATTCCTGAGTCCATGCCGTGCCAGGCTTAAGCTGAATGTGCTGATAGTTCGGAGTTGGAATAGTGAACTTGGCTTCATGCCATAGATGTTCAGGTAGATTGTCACGAAGCATAAGCCATTCTGAAAGGTAAGCTGAATCTTGATATCCAATTTTGCTTGTGCAAATAACTGCGGCCCGGGTCTTCGCTCCCATCTTTGCAAGACCGGTGGTTGTTGGAAAGTCAGTTCTGAATGCATCTGGGATGGGGAGATTTGGTTTGACTTCAAAGCCAGAGAGCTTTTCGAAAAATCCGCCAAAGTAGATATGTCGAGCGTATTCCCCGTCTGTAATGGGTCGTACACCATTCTGCAACTGTAGTTGAACTACCTCACGAATTGCTTGCGCCTCCGCATCTCTGACCGACTGTGGAATATCAAGCGAATACATTTGAGAGGGTGATGAGAGTCCCGAGCGAGCCTCTAGAAGTGATTGGGGTCTTAGCAATGATCCTATATGGTCAGATCTAAAAGGAGGCGACATTTTATTTTATTTTATTGCGTTGAGTTCTTCCACGTTTTGTCTGTGAAGTAGATATTGACCTTTGGATAGTATGAAGTGCTACGCGAAGGCATATGCTTTTAGATACTGCTGTATTTCAAGAACCGATGAACCGAAAACGATAGCCAATGGGAAATTATATATAATACTCCGCGTTATTATATTGATCTACCCCGATGCTATAGAACTATTTCTCCTCACTTCAGTGTTGAGTACCTGCTGGATTTAGCAAGGTGGGGGTTGGACATGCCATGTCACCTTATGCCTACCGGTATGAACGATGGTAAGAGATTGTTTATAATGTGTCTTCTTTATTATACCCAGGTACTTACCTAGGTAGGTAATTTATACGTTTTGGCACTTATTAGGGCTTGAGGTAACTGTTTAATATTCATTACAACGGGGTATAACAAGGTCTTTTACTTATTATTGCTCATTCTTATCTACAAAGACTATGAAATTCAACTTAAATTAAGGATACTAAGCCTTTGGTTTTCGGACATACCATACGTTGTCATAAAATGGTTCCTCCATCCACTCTATCTGGAAATGATCATGGTCGGGAACAGGGTGCTTAGAACGAAAGCCGGGAAACGAAACTTCTTCGTACTCTTTTAGCATCTCGTCAACACGGACAGACTCAACGTCAGAGGCATATATTATATGGCGTTGGGACACGTTTTGAAATCGTGTTGGATCTGGAGGCGGCCAACACATAGCGGCAGGTCGGGCAATATCTGCGATAATCTCTCGGAGAGGAAAGCTGGGGTGGTGACCCATGACGAGAGTATTTTCATCAACCATTGTGAAGCCACGGGCGCCAAACCCGTTGATAATCCGGAACCCATATGTGCCACTAAGGACGCTTTTGCATACAGTTGTGTAAGCAGGATCCTGAAGATAAACGGCTACATTACTCCCTTGGTTCGTACCTTTCCTTTCATTCAAAGCCCTGGCTATAGTCAACAATAGTGCGTGCTCCCTATAACTTTGAACGTCAAACATTCTGATTGGGCTTACTAATTCTAGATCCCCAATTTGTCCCAAGCCAAATGCAATGATCTTGTTGATATTGGTAGGCAATATGTCCTGTAGTGTTTTGAAAATGGTTTTACACATTGCACTGGACTCCCAACTTTTTATTTCACTCTCCATGTGCTTTATCGCTTCATCCGAGGACAGGTTTGGCCCACGAAACGGCCTTGTGGTAACTACAAACGGCGTAAACCATTGTTCCCGTCCCTGTGAGATAGCGAAGTTAAGCGCCCTTTCACCTTTGAAATCTATAGAATTTCGTGTTATCTGAGTGTGAGGTGGTGCTTCAATAAGCCCCTGAGCGGGAAGGGGGTTTAGTTTTCTAAAGTACGAACCACCGCGGCCTCTGTATTCAATAAAGAGACCAGCTCTTTCTAGTTCCGCTTCTATCTTGTTGAGGTCCTCTTTTGTGTATATGGGTCGAATGGTTTGTTTGGGATTTTTGGTTGTCATCGTGAGTGGTTGGTATTTCCAAAATAGTTATAGGTAATAGTACTGTTCTCTTATTAAGAGTCGTCTTAAACTTTCTAGATTGGGATGGGATGGGATGGGAGTCTGAAGATGCAAGCTTTGGAAGGATATGGAGACAAGGGTGAGAAAGTTATTATATTACTTGACTAATAAGCATTTGATTCATTTGGTAGTAAAACCAAATTATTGAATTCTATAGTTGACGAACATGGGTAACGTCGATGAACGAACATTGCGTTAAGGAATATGTAGAGAAAGAAAACTACATTAGGGAGCTCTCAAGCTTTTACACAAAGCAATTGTGCAACGGTATGATAACAAACTAAACACAACATACATGTATGTTACTAGTTTATATGAACCATAACATAGGTTTCTAATCTGATTATTTGCTACCGAGAAAGTAGTCCGAAGTATAGTTGTTCGAGTTGATTTTATCTATCAACATACCTAGGTAGTCATTTCAATATATTGATCGTGACCGGTGGCTTGGCCTGAGCCTTGAGCATTCCTAAGGGAATGGGGGCAAACGAAAAATAGCGTATAGATGTGATATTGCTCATCATGAGTTCTGATTGTCTCTTACTAGTACCAGTGTTTCATTGCATATCATAACCTTTTCTGTCTGCCACGTTTACCTTTTTTAATTATACATCAACACTCACGAAGAGACTTTACCCTTCACCTTTCCCCCTAGAATTCTCCCCCGAAATAGTATACTGCTAGGAACATCGCCAGTTTATTTGCTCGTCGCCGCCTTGGCCAAGTCGGCCAGGGCATCACGACGCTTGAATTTGGCATCCTGAATAACACCTATTGCAAAATTATCAGCTCATTCGCGCCGCAAACTAGAGTAAAACTGTATATGGGTAGGAATGCGATACGCACCTGCGTCAGCATCGCTGGAAAAATTCCCAGTCCATTCTACAAAGGTGCTTCCCTCTAATTCGCCCGAAGTAACAGCGTAGCAGCGAATGGTAGAAAGGACGGAAGAGTAGGTCAGCTCAGGTTTGGCGGTGATGACACTGTAAGTAATGTAGTGATTGATAGTCTTATAATGTCGTTAGAAGCTAATCACGAAGTGGATGGAATAAACATACACTGTGCTCCTCCTGCTTCACTTCGAGCTCGGTACCATCTTTGAATGTCCACTTCACAACATCGGTCTCGTCACTAGTACCCTTAACATACTGACTCGACTTGAGGGCGGACCAGAAGTTGTTGAAATTCTGGACTAAGCAGGAATTCAATCAGATACCTGCTTGTGACGAATCGAAGTCAGACGTTGAACTTACGCTTGATATGATGCCAGACGTGACTGAGAGGTGCCTTGATGACGGCGGACTCGACAACGGATGTGGAGGTTGGGATCGACATGATAACTGTTAGACTTGCGATTTTGACTTATTGCTTTTTCTTGGTCAGAAGATGGTGAGTTACAGTGCGGCAGAAGTAGTTAGAAGATGAAAATGTAAGATTGAAATTTGGGAAGCTATGATGATTTAATTACATTGATAATTCCCCCAGAAGCAGTGAAGCTTCAGCTTGGTTTGTACCTGCAGCAACAAACGGAGTCATAACGTCATTGAATGAGGGGCACCTGAAGATGTTGTGGGGTTCGTAGCACCCGTAGCTCTTGGAGCTGAGAATGTTTCGGGCATGTGCGTGCTTCTTACTTTCTCTTTAGGTACATGTACCTCTTCTATACTATTTCTGTTAGAAGTGACATCTCCAACTCAGCCAATCCAGGGAGGCAGGCACCTTACGTCGGAACACATTAAACAAAGGCCAAGACCGCTTAGCTGATCAGCTAAAACAACCCACTAATCCCTAAAACCACAGCGTACATCGTACTAACTTGTAGGTCTTGATTAAATTCTAACCGCCCATAAACGATACTTGCCCGCAATATGAAAACAGGGGCAAATAGGATATAAGTCCAACGTACCGTAATTTGTCGACTACTTCTCATTAGTACATATGCATACTAATATAATACGGAACAAAATACCATTTTATCCACTATACAAGGTAGCTTTATACTATGATTGTAATAACATTCTACTCCTTATTTCGAACTACCCCCGCCGTGCCCCCCTGAGATCCACGACGGGACCCTTCAGTCATAACTCCTCTCTATTTCTCGGTGACGGGAATATGAACTTAATTCCAGCGTAAAGCCAGAAGCGACCTAGTCTTGACAAGTAGAGCGGCCAATAGTCCCAAAGCATCTTCGTTCTAGACACTTTCCGGGTTGATCGAGAACGGGCACTGCACGAAGGCACTGACGAAAGGAATACCCGCTTGAACACATTGGTTTACCTCCGCCGAGTACGGTGTGCTATTGCACTCGGTATCCGTGTAAAGTGTAACTTGTGTATTATCTTAGTGATAAAAAAAGAGGTAGTAAATGGAAACTTATGACACACCTATGCAGTCAGGATAGATGTCGGTAGGCTTGTAGCTGAGGATGTCAGGGGTATTCCCGTGTCTATCGAGAGGTTGACAGCTCCCGCCGCTCCCGAATATAGGATCCGCCCAGACAAAGCTTTCTTCGCCACAGTCAGGCCCCGAGAATATTTCGGCAACAGTGTTGTAAAAGTCAGGATCACCGGGCGAGCCCTCGGTAGCAGCGGCGACGCATATGGCGAAAGCCAGTCCTTGGATAATCTTGAGGCTCATACTTGTAATAGTATGTGGATAGCTTTAGAGGGTTCTAGGTAGATAGCGTTAACATACGAGCAGAGCGTCTGCTCACCTCTTTATAACGCACAATGGGTCCTGTAGGCTAGCAATCTGATACCAACTAGATATATATATACTATCCCTTTCGGTCCTTTGCTTTAAGATATGCTCTTACTACTCGGCACACGGCAAGATAAGCTTATTGCACCACCGCAAAAGCAACAGGGATATTGATGGCTCGACGTAGCGAATCCCCACAGGATTTGAGAAAGGCTCACGAGACCGCCTCAGATAGGCAGGTTAGACAGATAAAGTTATTGGCCAAGATGGCTACCCTTTATCTACAGTGCGGCTCTATAGGTAAGCAGTATATAGAAACCTTACCCCATGACGGCAGCTAGCCATCCCATCCACCAGCGGGAATTAGCCGGCATGATTAACCGTTATGGCTACCCAATGTAAAACAAGCAACCCGGGATCGCCAGAAGCTACTTGATGACGAAATCACGACACGAATCTTTCATGATTACGAAGGTAAGTAAATAATACCTAAATAAAGAGTAAATAAAAGGCAATGGACTAGTTTTGTCTAGGGGGGGAGCGATGTGATCTACAGAGTTAGATGGCATATTGGTGTTGATATGCTTAGAAATTGGACTGATACAACCCACTACTATAGAAGATACATTACTCTCTATACAGAAATACTTACTTTGATAGTTCAGTATAAGTTATGTGTCACCAGATACCTCGGTAGGTGTACAACGAACCTCATGTCGTTTACTAGCTACCTTGTGGGGATGTTGGATATTGAGTAAAATCAGTCAAAACGTATTTCGGATACAGTGAGAGGACATCACTTTGAGAGCCTCGAGCTGATTTAACTTACATACATGCATGCTTAATCTTAGCTATATTCATAGCGTGCTAACGGGGCTTTTCTTGTACCTGGTCATGAACGAGTTCAACAAGATTAGCGTAGTATTTGACGGGAGGTGCCTAACTTCAACATTAATGCCTCTAAATCTAAAGTATCTATTTGAATAGACTTGAGATATTTAGAACGTAGTGTAACCATATAAAGCTACTCCCATATATTTCTATAAGTATGATGATTGCCAGGTAAAAGTTAATTTATACAACCTGCCACTTAAACTTCTAACATTATCTTCGAGCATTATCAATAAAAAATCATTACGTTAAATTAAGCAGTGTAAGCTCCGTAGATAATAGACGTAAAATAATAACATGCATCAAATAAGATAACATATAACAAAGCTGGAGTAGAATTCACCAAGGCGTCATATTTCCCAGCACTTAGGACTCATACTCAACTCCGATGCAACTTAAGGGGGTTGGGTAAAGGGGTTGTTTACACGCAATAATATAGGAGCTGGCTTGTAACTGTTCGTTATTGGTGAAAGTATCAGAAGGCATGTAAGTAGGTATATACAAGGCCTCCGAAAGTATATACAAGAAGCGAATGTATGCATATGCAAGAAGGTCAAATATGTTCAGGAGCGAAGGACGAAGAATGCAAGAATATTCCCACCCGACCCAAGTTCTCAATCCAAACTCCTTCAGCCTCAGCCCCAGCCCCAGCCCCGTTCCCATATCCCATAGCCTATCACCTCTCCGTTTCGATATTGTGGATTTGTAATTTATTTAAGTTGCGAGGTAGTGCGCGACGTACGCAACCTCCATCATGCTGCCGTACCCGTCCAGGGTAGCACTGTTGGGCGCGCCGGGCTGCAGAACACACACACACACACCTCTCGTTAGCAAAGCTGACAATCCCGAATGCTTCTAGGTAGAAACAACAACAACAACAAGAAGAAGAAGAGCGGATAAACTCACCCAGTCACCACCGACGGCGACGTTGAGAATGAAGAACATGGCCGAGTTGGCGAGCGAGTTCCAGACGTTCTGGTTGTTGATGCGAGCGCCGGAGATCTGTTGGAATTGCTGGCCGTCCATGTACCATGTGATGGTCTCGCCGGTCCAGCTGCTGGCGCGACGGTCCCAGACGATACGCCAGTTGTGCCAGCTCTGGTCGGGGATGCTGATGGCGGCGCCGATGCCGCTGGGCTCGTTGCATATACCGCCGGGGTACACATTGCAGTGGACCGTGCCGTAGCCTATTAGCTGTCCGTTGACCGTCTCCATGGCGTCCAGCTCGCCGCATGCCGGCCACCCCGCACCATTACGGATCGAGTCACCCAGGAGCCAGAACGCGGGCCACATTCCCTGCTTGTTCGCGATGTTGTTGTCGCCGAATCGTAGTTTCGCCTCGGTCATCGTCTGCGTGCCCGCTGGCGGTGTGAATGTATACTTGGACTCGATACGTGCCGAAGTCCATTGGCCACTGCTGTCCTTGCGCGGCACGATCTGTACGGTGGCACCACCGCTGAGTTGGAGGTTCTGTGAGGATGTCGTGTAGCTCTGCCATTCATTGTTGACCTTTAGGCCCGTGATGATGTTCCAGTTGTTGCTGTTGACTGTAGATCCGGCCGCGCCGTCGAAGGTCTCCGCCCAGACCAGTCTGAAGCCTCCGTAACCGGGTGCGCTCTCGGCTGATACGGTTGATGCCGCTAGGGCTAGCACGGACGTAAGCACTTTCACGAACATGTTGTTATTGAGGTAAGGATCGGCTCATGTAAGTAAAGTAGATGTAATGACGTTGTAGGAATATGTACACTTGTAGAACTGAAATTGGTAATAAGGAGTGTAAGTCATAGACCAGCTGTATAGACTGCGGTATACTTGGGGAGATGATCGTCCTACATCACTAGATAAAGGTAGATCTCCTATTATTTATATAGAACTAATATATAGAAAGGCAGGTAATATAAGAGGAATCAGGGAGGGGTAAGGGCAGAAGCGAGTGGGAAGTAAACCGCACAAGCCGAGCCGAGTCAAAGAATGAGAGGTCTAGCGCCAACCTGCGTGAAGAACTGAAGTTCTCGTGAGCTTAGAAAGGGAAGGTGACCAGGGTCTCGAGCGCCCATGGTATCATCACCAGAGCACGGATAGGAGGCAGAGAGCTATACACGCGTCTAGACCACAAGTATACCACAAGTATGGATCTGGGACGAATAACGGCGATGTGGAAGTAAGATTGCACTGACGGGGCCGGGATGGTACAACAGAATAGCCCGGGAGCGGTCGAGTTACACGCTCGAGTTGCATTCTCGGACCCTAGGCCCTACAACGCGGTCTTAAAAAAGCAGCAGAAACAGTGGTCGGTAAGTAGCGGGCCACAAGTAGGTAGGTTTAAAGTTGAGGCGCGTGGCTTATTGGTAAGTCGACGTGACCCATGGTGTCTATGGGGGATGATTAAGGGGTACGAGGATATAGGATTGGATAGTGTATATTCAACTTTGCATGGGATATACGCAAAAAGCTACTCGGTAACGCGGACGGACGTGATTGGACACGGGGATGTGTCAAATATAAACGACATTCCAATGAAGGTTAAAAACTCCGACATGATGGCGGCGCAGGGCCCCAAATCGCAGATGGCGTACCGGATCGGTACTGGTTGCAGATCCCCAGACGGATGCCCCGCATGTATGTTGAAGAGGTCAAACATTTGGAGGCGGGAACGTATTATATCCTCATTCCGGCCGAGACCAAGTCATCAACTACAGTCTAACCGGGTCAGCTTGGACGATAGCTGAGATTTAGGTAAAGGAGAAAACAGGCAGATGACGATTCCAAGGTTTATTCTGTTTGGTATAAACAAGATATAGGTAACCTGACTAACAACACAGCAATACACCCCCTGGGTGGCTTATTGACTTATCCTTACCAGAGAATCTTTGTGCTCCAAGCCCCCGTGGTTGAATGCACATGCGGTGCAATGTAGATTCTGTGTGGGTCGATTTTACCATGTCTTGGATGTCCAACGGAGCAGCTGATTGAATGATGCTTGAATTTGTACCTGCGCCGGACCGCGTGCTTAATCCAACAGGGATCCTTGGAACTTCAGATGAAATGTTTCCTACGAATACAGGATGCGTAGGATGTGATTGGAGGATCTGCGCAAGCCTCAGACGACGGAGACTTTTTTTCCTTTTTTTTTTTTTTTTTTTTTTTATCTTGAGTATATTTTTATTTTTATCCGAAACGGGAAGCTCGTCGACGCCGAAGAAGCACCGACCAGGGACGTGATAAAATGTTGTAAACCACCCTAAGGAATCCCGCGAGATTCTGGTGGTGATGGCCAAATTGAAGCTCTCCGGAAAAGCTGCTGATTCGGGCCACGACTTCAACTCCAACTTTCCTCACTGCATTACTGTATGCTGGTCATACATACAGGTGGTCGATATGCGGGTGACAGCTGCATATGCTCGAGCCAGGTAACTGAACCACGTAACGTATCCAGGCTTATCAGCCGTCGTCGGTATTCGAATCCATCTTCGCTGAGGTGTTCTAGCTTGTGACGCGCCCGTCGCAGGGCTACGCAGCGAGTAATCTCCGGTTCTGCGCGAATATTGTTCTTACGCGCCGTTCACCCCTATCTCCGTTAGTAGTAGTCTTTCTCTTAGCACCTTGGATTCGTGAAATGGACTGGTTGTTTCGACGAAACTTGGCGTTGTATACGCACTGCACATGCTCGGCGCCGATGCATAGAGTCAAGTAGATGGACGATGGACGATGGAACCATGCTCTGCGTATGTCTCCTATGAAGAGTCTTGGTATGAGAAGTAACCATCGACGTCTTGCTAAAGCGACTAGAGCAAACACGAGTGTTAATTATACATACTGACCTTTGTTGTATCATGAGAACCACGACAGGCACATAGCACCTAAGGCCTGGGTTGCGATTGGGTTATTCGTTCTCCATGGTGTAACGATACATCCAACGTTGCTCGTGTTGGGATTCTTTAGCGTAACTGGCGCTCTATCGCAATCGGCACGATAGAGATAATTTCAAGACTGACAGTGCCTGTTAGGACCTTTTTGGTGGTGTGTTTCGAATGAAATTCTTTTTGCGCATTGTCACTATACACACCCAAGAACGGATGAGGAGGAGGTGCACCTAAGAAATAACATTAGTGAATCGTAACTTGAACTCCGTTGAAGGCTCCACGTCATGATCGCCATCTAGATTCCAAGAATGTCCTCACCTACAGGGTTATTCATCCTTGGTCTGTGGATGGCTAGAGGCGGTTCTCTTAGGCCTTAGGCTTCAAACCCAAACTGTCGACTTTGCGTAGTTAGAAATATCAATTTACGGCCGCATTAAATTGTAAAAAAGTGAAGCATAGAGAATAGTTAGAAAAGCAGTTATTAAGACCGGAAAAGGTTATTTATGATTTTTATCACCCTAGTTCACCCTGTGTTCGTATCGTTAGAATACGGGGTCGGATGTCAATCTCGGCGCATCGTCGGGTTACTCTTAAGAGCGCAATACGAGCTTCTGAATATCCTTTTTTGGAAACATATGCAACGATACTTATTTCAATCATTATCCTGCCATTCTTCCATAAATTATCAGGCAGTCTGAATAGATATCAGAATCTTTCAAATTAATCTCTAAATAGTCGAATGCCTCCATCGTCAATCGGCGCGCCGCCCATTTCCTCATCGGAAGCCTCCTTATCATCGTCTTCGTCCTCGTTCAGCACCAGTTTTTGGCCGAATAGAGTCCCAAAGAAGCGATCGATCGCGTTTTGCTCCCAGCTTCGGCGATCTTCCGGTGCCATAAAGTTCTGTAGTTTATCATGGACGTTGAACCGCATCTTTCGGCCCTTGCTAGCCTTAGTATCCACATGCCGCTTCGCCTTCGCTTCCTTTACGGCGGCGAACCGGATCGTTGCTGCGGGGCCACCCGGGGCGCCGGACGTATCTCCAGAACGTTGGTCAACAAGCTCCTTTAATAGTAGCTGGTAGAAATCCGCATCGTCGTAGATAGCTGCATCTTCATTAATTTTCTTTGCGATTTGTGCCGGAGCGCACGATCGTGGTGTCTGGGTCCGTTTGATGAGTCGTTCCGGTGCATCAAGCTCTTCATCCAACCTCGTAGTCAGGGATTTCTCTGCCGTATTGGTAAATTTGCGCGATGACCTATCCATCATCCTTATATTCCGGGCGCTATGCGACCACTTCTCCAGAACCGCCCTGCGTCGGATAATTGCGCGTTGCTCAATCATCTCCATATTTTCCCATATGTCTTGACTGGACGTATCTATATCGGCAACTCGCTTCCTTTTTTGGCCTGTCTTTCCTGACGAGTCGGACTGTATACTCGTGCGGAACCCATCAATTGCATTCCATAGCTTTAGCGCCGCTGCTTCAGCTGCTTCGTATGGTTCAGATTGACCCCCTAGTTCCTCAATAGTACTGAATGAGTTGACTGCGACGAGTGACTTTTGCAGTCGTATACGGATATTGAGAAGTGCATCAAAGGCCTTTCGCTGTTGTCGAACCGCCTTCCCTTTTGCAACATCTTTTTGAGCCGCTGTTGATAAAGTACTAGCCACACTGCGCTGGCCAGCATTCATCATCTCTTGAATTGTTGCACGACTCGCCCCATTGGCCTGTGCTGCATCTTTAGGATCGTCATCCTCTTCCTGCTCATCCAACCCTTCGTCGCTACCATCCATCTCTTCGTCCACTTCGTCGTCATCATCTTCGTCCTCGTCCTCTTCCGCCTCGTCATCTATGAAACCGCCAATTCCCTCCTCGTCGGAAACATCCTCGTCATCATCGATATCCTCAGAGTCTTCCCCATCAAGTTCTGCCCCATCGCTGTCGTCATCTTCCTCGTCAGATACCATATAGTCCGCAGCAGTAGGTCTTGCGGCTCTCTTGCCTTTCTTTGGCATAGCCTGAGAGCTTCCTCTAAACACAAAATCTTTGAATTTCTGTTCGTCGGTCTCATCGAAAGCATTATCGCTGTCGATCTCCGCATCGTCTTGATCGTCTTGATCAACTTCGAGATCGGCCGTATCGGGATCATCAAAACCTTCCAATTCGTCGTCTTCATCGCCTTCCTCATCCTCTTCGCTCTCGTCGTCATCCTCTTCGTTATCGAGGGCTTCTCGACTCACGGGAGCACCCCGGTATTGGGGTCCTAGCGCGACGGGGTCTCTGCGACGAAGCTTGCTTTTGCTGTAAAATAGTTCAGCTTATATCCAAAAATTTTTTTTACCATTTTCACAAACTATCTTACCTTACGGCGACATAGTGTTCTGTACCAGCGTTTTCATCTACGCTATCTTCGCTTCCACTGGTATCGTCCTCGTCTGGGACTTCTACTTCAGGATCGAAGTCTGCACGAAGCGGCAAGTGTTAGCTGTATTTAATACGTGGTAATTGAATAAAACATGTATATCTCATACCTTTGACTGGTTGCTCTACCCATTCGGCAAACTGCCGCGCGCGCCCCTTTGCCTTAGACATTGCACTATCACCAGAAATGGGTTGTCTAATAGTGAGTAAAAAAAAAAAAAAGGCATTTATACATCGGCCCCACGACTGCGACAAGAAAGTTCTGAAAATTTTAGCGGTAGGAACCGGCAGTATCTGTTTAGGTTAGGTTAGTGGATTAGTATAGGTACCTAGGTATCTAAAGTTAGCGGGTAGGTACGAAGATCCCCCAAAACTCAACCAAGATCTTAGCAAATAACCTAGGTTAGGGATTTAGGTAATCAATTCAATTTCAAGCTTCCACTGAGGTCACTTATGATAATCTTACAAAATGCATCTAAAAAGAGCAAAATGCATGAAGAATTAGAAGTCACGTAATGCAAACCTCATTCTTCTTCAATGAGACTTATTTCTCATGCTTATTAATGAGTAAATGGGTACATGATCAATATAATTGATATAATTGATATAATTAATATTGCACTTCTTCACACAATGTGTGGTAGTTCTCTTATTTGAATTACTTGGTCGATCACTTAAGATATAACAATCATTTTATATAATGGCCACCATCCAACGCCGCTTTTTTCACCAAACCCTCCGCTATCTCAGTCATGAGAATCCCCTAGTGTGTTATTTTCCCCCTTCTATACAGTAGACCAGCACGCTTATCATAAGTCCCAGGGCCTACCCCGAACGGGCTCGATCCCTCGCATGCAGCGTGGGCTCCCAGAGCGGCGCAAGATCAAAGATGTCGCAAAAGTGGTCGCTGTATCATCTGCCAAGGGTGGTGTAGGCAAGAGTACTGTCGCCGGTTAGTCTTCGATGTTCTCTTAGCCGAGCTTAGCATCCACTGACTATCCTTGGCAGCGAATCTGTCTCTAGCTTTCGCAAGGATGGGTTACCGCTCCGGGATCCTCGACACCGATATCTTCGGACCCTCTATACCTACGCTCTTCAACTTGAGCGGAGAGCCGCGGTTATCACCTAGTATGCAGTTCTAATCTCAAAACTCTTTACGGTTCCTTTCACTAGTTCGGAGGAACACTAACTTCTAGAAATATAGATAACCAATTATTACCCATGTCCAATTATGGTGTCAAGACTATGTCTATGGGTTATCTAGTTGGTGAGGATGCGCCTGTCGTGTGGCGGGGCCTTATGGTAATGAAGGCCTTACAGCAACTACTTCACGAGGTTGACTGGGGTGGTCTGGACGTTCTAGTACTCGATCTACCACCCGGCACAGGAGATACACAACTCAGTATTACACAGCAAATCATACTTGACGGTGAGCATACAAAGTTTCCATATAATACCTAGGAGCTCAAGATGTGCTAAGACTACATCTAGGCTCTATCATTATAACCACGCCACATACTCTAGCAGTAAAGGATGCGGTAAAGGGGATCAACATGTTTAAAAAGATGAATGTGCCCTTGCTCGGCCTAGTACAAAATATGTCACTATTTAATTGCCCACACTGCCACCACGATACGGCAGTCTTCGGATCTGGCGAGCGTGTTAAGGAAGTTTGCACAGAATATTCCATCGATCTACTCGGCGATATTCCATTGCATCAGAATGTCGGAGATGACGGCCAGAAGGGGAAGCCAACCGTAGTTTCGGAGCCTGATAGTGAGAGAGCTCAGGCCTTCATGGATATTGCTAGGCTAGTAGGGTCGAAGGTGGGCTTATAACACTTTAACTAGTTATAGTACCTAAAGTTATTGTACCATGTGCCAACAAGCCACTTCGGCATAGCCCACATCTACGACAAGCTCGAAGCGATAAAATTCGGCTCCCGTCTACATTGAGGTTGTTTTTGATACTAAGTCGCCCATATTTCTACATGTACTGACTGCGTCTGACGCACCAAGTATCAGGGAGCGGGCCGTTTCGGTTCCTGCCATTACGAAACTTTAGCAAATCAGTCCATAATTTAGTATTGGGGTCATTGCGGCAGCAAAACTCTCCATGTAAAAATTCGTATATTGATGCTCAGAGCTCGGTTACAGGAGCCGATGCGCTAAATAGAGCGTCTAGTCCAGGGGCTACGTTAGCATCCATAGAACCTAATTAGGGACAAAGGGGATCAAAGCCTGTAGAACCTCCATTCCTAATTCCGACCTTTCCAGATGAAACGTAAACTATACAACATTCTACGCAACGATGGCCACCTGTAACTGATATTAGTCCAATTCCTCATTGGCTTGGTAGATGTGGCGGCTCCTTGTAGGATCTTTCCGCATAGCCTGGCCCGAGCCGGTGAAACCGACTACAAAGAAAGTTAGCTTTCAGATTAACGCGACTATAATCGAAAACTGACCTCGACCGTGTACACCTTCAGGCGTACGAAACATGCTATCCTTCTTAGTTTTGTGCGCTTTAGCGAATTTCGACTTTGTGTTGAACTCTTGCCACTTGCTCTTGCCAGCCTCGAGCTCTTTGGTCGCCTTAATCTTTTTGGCCTTGGGCTTCCCGTCACCAGCATTCTTCGACGCCTCCTCCCGATTCTTTTGTGCCAGGTCGGGATTTATGCTAGCGGCAGCGGATATGACGCCGGGATTGGACGAGGTTGAAGGTGCTGCTGGCTGGGATGGGGCTGGGAACGGGCTGGCGCTGTTGACGGGGGTCCCGTCAGCCTTTCTCTTCTGTGCGATGGGGCGTATATCCTTCGCGCGTAACTGCTCGGTGGTATCGTAGCTTTTGAACTTGACGACGTAAATTGGAGCTGTAGAGGAACCAGTGATAGACGTAATGCGCGCAGGGTAGAATGCTTTGTCGCCGGATACCCATTTCGCCATTACGGTATCATTGACTTTGTAGTTCACCAAACCTGTGTCGCCCTCCTTCTCCTCAGCGGGGGCGCTCTTCTTGAATGCCGGATGATTCTCTCGCGACCATTTCTCCTGGGCCGGTGGTGGGGATGGGTCTTTCGGCTGCAGAGGTGCCTTGGTCGGCTTTAATTCAGCAAGGGTTTCGTTCAATAGCGCGAGCGCATCATCTAACTCAGACTTGAGAGCAAGGAGCTCTGCATTACTAGGATCATCTTTTAAACCAGCATAGACGACATCAAGCTGTTGATCTCGTCAGTTATATCTGCATGTGGAGTAGGCGACAGTTCACATTAGCTAACCCACCTGCTCTCGGTATTGCTTGATGTCTTCTTCGAGGCTGGCGATATCGGCCATTGCGACGGTACGGTTCGAATAACGCGGGACTCGAAAGGCGATATAGTATTAAAATTTCGCGGCAGGGGGGGAGCCTTGGAACCTCTAAGATTAGATAAGAAAAGACAGAGGAATGACGTGAATTGTTTATAATTTAGGTAGGTAGGTAAATATGGTGGTTGATTTCTTGAGTTTGAACAATGGAAGAATGTCTCCACATTGACAAACATGTCGGAGGAAAGGCAAGTGAGGCTAAATGCTATTAGGTAATCAAAGTGGGGGCCATACCTATTTTCGAACACGTGAATCCTTTGTTACAGTTCCCTATTATAACGATATGTACGTATTAGGAATCAACTTAAGGGTGTATTGCTTTACAGCATACATTCGAAAGTTAAGGGCTTCCTTTCGTTCATAATCTCAGATTGCCTTCTTTCCCTTTTCCAACTCAAATCAAAGTCTAGATATATAACGAATAAGAGTGAACTAACGCTGTACATATATCAAATCTATGGAACAACAAGTAATTTTTGCAGGACTCATAATAATTATTGGCTAATAATTATAACTTCCAAGGCTTGTGATCATCATATTAGGTATCTTTATTTTCAAGAGCATGTATGTAAAGCCCGTTTCATCTACATGAGTTCTAATTCACTCCTCTAGATTTCTTATCCCCGTTTAATTCCTGAATTGTCCCTGTGGAATGTATCTCCACTTGGAAAAATACGCCGGCGTGTCTCCCTCGTAGCCGTTGCTAGTACAGTAAATACCAAGGATGACACCTAAACACCATTAGTACCGAGCGATAAAAAAGGATGATTGTCAGTCTTACCTGTGAACCCCCAGCTAACAGCAGCATTTGATACATCAAGGACAGTCCGCGTCTCTGAAAGCGCATCGGCTGGTCCGGCTGACATGGAGTAATGGGTCATGTTATACGCTTTTATCTCCAATCTCAACTCCTTGCCGGACCAGGTCTCTGGTACTGGGATTATAATTTCGTCTGGCACTGGTATGTAAGAAATACCACGATACCTCAGGTGAGGTATTAGTCCCGATGAGTTCGTCGAGTGAATTAGGCCAGGGAATGTTGTAGTACTGCTATTCGCTGGAAGCATGACAATACCGAGGTCTAGATGATGGTTCTGTGTTAAGAAAACTGAGACGCCTGCCTCTTCCTCAAGAGAAGTCGGGGAAAAGTCAACATTGACGCTATATGTAAATAGTGTATCTTGTTGACGCCGCCCAACAAACGTCTGACCATTAGGACCAGCGTAGTTCCCGTTAAGTGCCGTAAGATTTAACTTGGATGGGCTCAATCGTAGAGTATTGGGATGACCCTGTGGTGATATAGTATATGATTCGAGAATAGGGAATCTCCAATGCGTGAAGTGTGCGGGCAGTATTGATTCCGGCTCGAAGTCGATGACATCCCCTTCCGTGATAATCGGACTATGATTGTTAAAGGTGAAAATCGTAGGCGAAGAGACCGGACACTTACCCAGGTCCATCAATTCCAGTACCTTCCTCAGGAAGTGCCCATCCACTCATCTCACCATTCAAATGAGACCAAACTGGAAACTCGTTGTTAGGCCAGGTGACTGGCACCATATTAGTTTCTCGACCCACTAGAACAACGAGGGTCAATCATTACTTCTTACGAGGATACTGCCACTAGAGGCGAGTTAAAAGGGGTGGAAAGGAACTCTTGGTGTGACATACTTGGATAGTAAAGGTATTCAGGACCGGATCGAGTTGAAAGCGCAACGCCCCACCTTGAATGAACAGTAAGTCTCGAAGCTTTACTCTCCTCTAGATACACTCGATGTAGCCGCTTACCAATTGCCAGAACCATCTTGGAATAGATCTGCGTGGCCAACAGTTTGAACTAAGGACGTTAGAAAGTTGTAGATGCTTTATATGTCCTAGGTCCCACTTACAATAGTTCGTTGTATTGGCGTTCGTGAGCACTGGGTTCGCAGGGTTTACTTCATAAGGCCCATGTATGCTTTTCGATCTTGCCATTGTTACCATGTGATCCACACCCGTACCCCCTGTTACAATCATGGCATATCAGTAGGTATTCAATATGTCGGATATGCAATGCCCCTAAGACACTGACCTTCAGCAGCTAGTAAATAATACCACTCGTCCTTAAGGTATATGTGAGGACCCTCTGGTGCCTGGAACCATCATTAGGACTTGATCATGGGTATTCTTTTTCGAAGGAATTGCACCTACCGTGCCACCAGTGCCGTTCCATATAGTTTCCCATTGTCCTACTTCACCAGTTTCCAAGTTAGCCTCAGCTAAGAGAATGCCAGGACTATCGTATACCGTGTTAGCTTTTCCCATGACCAGACGCTTTTCACACGCACAAGACTCTCCAGGCATGTCCACCAACGATGTACACTTTTCCGTCCGAGTCCCATACGGGTGAAGTATCGTAGCCTTCGAAGTCGAAATGGACGGCCTCTGACCATATAGAAGGATCATACGGATTTTCGGACTTGAATATCACCTGGAGTGATCTCAGCTACCGGCTTCAGGAACCTGAGAGTAATTCATACGTTGTCCCATCTTGATGCATCTTCTGCAGCGCGGTCGTCGTCTACGAGAGTTGTTACTAGCCAAAATATGCCCTCGTAGAACCTCAGGGTCGGCGCCCAAATGCCGCTGTGGCAGGTTAGATTCGGGCTCCATACCGTCTATTAAGTCTCTCACCTTGTTGATCTGTTTGTTTCCGCTAGGCGAGGCAGTTGTCCTCGCCTATTTAAGACGTGACCTATAACAGTTATTTCCGTCTAATTCATCGAAGCTTAGTAAATGACTTACCAATAAGTTTCCAGTTTTGAAGATCTTTGCTTGCGTGCAAGGGAATACCAGGGAAAGCGTTGAAACTCGAAGACGCACAGAAGAACGTATCATCCCATTCAGGAACAAATATGCAACTCGGATCCGGGTGGAATCCCGGTAGGATGGGATTGTAGTACGTTGAATTATGTGCATGCAGCTGAGCTCCTAAAGAAAGTGAGGCAAATGCACACAGCATGACAACTTTAGTCATGCGAGCCATCATCTCGCTGGTGTTGGGTGTATATGTAAACACTTTATACTCTAATCGGACGTACTCTATAGATTGGCCTCACTCGGGAGGGTTTCACTATCCATAGATGAATATGATTAACATTCGGAGATAGTTATTATGTTAGCACGATCCCCCGCATTTTCTACCCCAGAAATACACCCGGTTAAAATGAATGGGTAAACCTCAAAACTTGGATTCAGGTAATATTCGGTAAGTAATGAGCCGAAATGGTCCATTGGTAACTAGTATTTAAATATGACTTGCTGATGACTTGGCAGGGCTGGAAACTTGATATGGTACGCTTCATAGGATGACCCTCCTGAAATATCTTAGAGCAGCCTGTCTCTAGCTAAAGTTATATGTGATAACAAATAAGTAAATGAGAGCGACGGTAGCAATACCGGATGGGGCTATAGTATTCCCCCCTTCTTTCGGGGCCGGGAAGGACTTTACGACGGCGACCGTAGTTATTTGACAAGCAGCCATGAAGGCAGCACAGCAAATCAAGACCTGACGTCGAAAAAGGCGTTCCGAGAAGAATAAGACAAAGACGCCACAGGCTACAACTTTCACCGCTCCAAATATAGCCGTTAATAGGAGGGATTGGTTGACGAAAGGCCCCTGGCCACACCGTAGCCCACCCAATACAATACGAATATCCTCTATGAATACCTAGGTATTAGACAGATGCATCTTTGGTATGTACGAAGATACTTACAAATGTATAGAACCCCTGGAAGAATTATCAAACCTGACCACGCATCTATTTCGGCATCATTTCACTATTGAACATTGGTATAGCAACTGTAGCTACGCCAAGTCCAAGCCCAGAGATCACTCTTGCAACATAAAACGCCGCAAGTGAGTGCGTACCTATTCATAGTCTAGATTACAGCACCGATGCAGAATACGAACGAAGATATCATTAACGATTTCTTCCGTCCAAATTTGTCAGTTAGAGGCCAAGTAATAAAGCAAGCCAAGAAGCCGCCTAGTTATTGAAGGCCCACTGAAAGCGAATTCGTATATGTCTTGTCACCGCTTCCGTACCGATAGTCGGACTGAAAAGAGGCCATCGTCAAAACACCCCCTATAATGTTTTTCCAGTTAATAGCCTGCACTTAGATTCGCTGTCATATCCGAACAGAAACCCACCCATACAGACTACCGAATCTAGCCAATAGGCCCTGATCTTCCCTAAATACCATATCTGTCATTTTTATCGTGATAGATAGTGGCCGCTCGTCTTCACTGGATCTTCGAAGTAAGGGCTGTATTTCATCCATGACATCCTGGGGATTTTTTGCCCTTTTAATCCCAATTTTATTCAAGAACAATACTAGACTGCCTCGGTTAATAAATCCAGCTGTTATAACTTATAAGATTATAACTACGCGAGACCTGAACCTCAACAAATTGGTAAAATAATGTAACCAGGAGGTTGGAACATCAGCCGCGATCAACCAGTCAAGTGGTACCATCTGGGAGTTCTCCGCCTCCACTTAAGGCCTTAGGCGACCGACAGCCGAGCGTCCAAGAAGACCCCTGGTCTTAGAGTTTGCGGGGAAGCTTCAGGGGTTCTAGACTAGAACACGGGGCCGAATCTATTTCCGTTATTAAGCGGGATCTTATAGATGATATCCAATAAGAATTGCTATGACACTAAACCCCGTTTTGTATCCGTGATTCAGACTTAGACAAACAAGATCTACCCCTTACACAGTTACTATGATGCCGGGGAAAAGGCCTAACTCGTTTCGAGAGATGGCAACTCTACAACCTCGCGAAGGATCCCGGTGAAGTACACGACCTCGCGGAACAAGAGCTTGAAAGGTTAAAGGAGCTAGTCAAGCTTTGGGATCAGTATGTTCTAGAAACGGGTGTAATACCGCTTTCCCCAGACCTAGGTAGGTAATTAGATGGCCGCTATGGAGGAGCAAATGCCCGAGAGCGCGGTAAGTAGCATCTGGAGTCACTTGTTCCTCTTTCCAGCGCTTGTTGGAGTATCATGCTCTTAACGTAGCTTCGGGTGCTTCATTATCCGCCGAGAATTCTATAAAAAAAAAGAATATGCTAATTCCTGATGCTGCAGTGGATCGAGTACGAGTACTGGAAAGGGGGTGCCAGGGATGATCCCGCAAAGTTCACGAGACAAATCCCCAAGATCCAGAGGCAGGTTAAGGCAATTTGAATAGGGGTCAAAATGGCTTTATGGATGTGAAAAGGTTACAGTCAATCAATGACCTCAAGATGGGCTAACCCACGGTTTGTATATCATATGACTCTGGCGGAGGTATAATCTAAGATACTTAAACTTGATACTATTGGGAACTCGTGCAGCCATTTACCACATGCCATCAACGTTATGCCCACGCTCTCGGCGTGTAATGACCGCTCGTATATATTCTTTTCCTAAATACTTTACGTCAACACCTAAGTCCACAACTTATATTGATAGCCGTAAACCTAGCGTTGGTAATACTGTGCTAATACTTTCGGGCTCTGAGTTTTCAATAACTGTATATCAATCTTCCCGGTTTCGCTCCAGCTCATCGCAGACCATTTCTCAGGATGCTGCTTCGCATCGATGAAATGTTTGATGGCCAGGACCGTCTGCTTTGCCCATTTGTCGTCGCTGATACCTCCAGTCCCAGTGCCTAACGGTGTCATCAAGATAGATTCTATCTTCGCTGAGCCGGTACTACTACCCTCCTCCGTTGCGTATCTATTATGCTGCTCGATCGCATTCAACAAGCTCCAGATACACTCGTAGACAACGTCTCTGTCCCAATCGCTGCGGATGGGAACACGCATGGTGGGACACAGAGCCAGATAGCGACAACCCCAGCCGTTCCCGTCGTGGTACCTCAACGTCCCACGGAACGACTCTGGCATTTTGACGATACAGCACGAGCCAGGCGGGAGATAGCCGCTATGCAGACGGTATAGCTCTTTCTGTGCAACGCGTGTAAGAGCGTGATAATCCGTTTTGGGGCTGAAGGCCCGCGATATCGCATCATCGAAGCCACCGTCTAGAAGGGCATATGAATTTGCCGGTGACACTACCAAATCGAAATTCAGGGATGGTGGCAGGTCAGACAGGAGCGTATTATAGACTGTGTAGTTAAGCAAGGACTGATCAATTCCATACTCTTCTAGCACTCGGATGAAGGCATCCGAGGCCGATTCATGCATGCAGAGGAGGTGAATATACGGGATGGGCTGAGCTTCTGAAGGCATATTGAAGCATCTGGTGACGTGTTTATATGTGAGGCAGCGTGCGGGGGCTGTGAAGTTGAAGGAATGGAAGATATAACTTACTGGCAGCTTATTTGGGTAATTATTTGCAGGTCACCTGACTACCCTGGCTTGTCTTATAGGAGTAAACGCTTCTATAGGTCGTAACCTAGTGATGTAGGGTAGTCTTGGCGAGGATTTATTCAGTGGCTATCTAATTATGTAGGTTAGGTATATGCCCAGCATAAGAGATATCACCAACGATTAATATTAACAGCAGTAAACGCGCTGGCTACCTAGGTAGGTATCTAAAGAGTTTCATTCCCATAGTAAGACGCATACTAATTTTTCTTAATCATAAGTCTTCCAGTTTATTTTTGGCATAATCATCAGTCCAGTCAGTCATCCCTCTTAGACGAAGCGCAAGTGTCCATCCGAGTTTCCGATGCGCTCGTCCAAGTTAATCCGGCGTCGATGCCACTGGCCTCTGGTATCTACCAGCTCCGCCTCTAGGATCCGTCCGCCGTCGACGAGATGGATGTCCCGAGCCGAAGCGCTGAAATTTCCGGTTGCCCGGCCCGGCACTTGCAGCGTTTGTCCCGGGTAGATCATGTCTGGGTTGGCAATATTGTTCCTTCTAGCGATGTCCTCGAAGCTACAGTTGCACCGTCGGGCAATCTCCCTCAAGGTATCACCCTGCTGTACGGTGACGGTGCTGGAACCAGACCCTCCACTTGCCCAGCAGAAATTACCGTCGTTGTTGCTAAGAATTTCGTTCAGGTTTAGGATGCTGACGTTGCTTCCTCCTCCTCGGCGTGAGCAATTTGCGCGGAGGTCGTAGTCTCCTTCGAGATGTATATCATGCGACGAGGCGGAAAAGTTGCCGGCATAGTTTCCAATCGACCTGTCTCGGCTTGGAGAATGACGTCCTCCGTGATCACCATGGTGAGAATTCGAATAAGCAGGCGGCGGTGATGAAACCTGGTGATGTAGCTTTTCTTCTTCCTTCTTTTCCTTGCGATCATGGACGAAGTCCTCTAGTTTGTGACCAGCTATAGCGCCACCGATAGCTCCGATGACTCCATGGCCCATTTTATGTCCACCATAAGCGCCGGCGGCGGCACCAGCAAGTCCTCCCATCAGACCGCGCTCTCCGTCTTCACCCGGGCCGGCATTTGGGGGACCGGATTGATAAGGCCCTTCATGCTGGCGTTCACCGTACCGATCTCCAGGACCAGAGCCGTATGCGTTGCCGTATTGAGGATTGCTAGGCTGTCCGTACCCTTGCTGTCCGTATCCTTGTTGCCCGTGCTCTTGCTGTCCATAGGAAGGATATTGAGAGTTGGGCTGGCCGCCATAGTAGGAAGAAGCCTCACCCTGGTTGCCGTAACGCGGATCCATGTTGATATGTGGGGATTCAGTCGATCCAGTTAGCTTTTGACGAAAATGTATATGTTGTAAGTCGGGTCGGTATGGCAGATGTGAGAAAGTCCAAGGGGGAAGAGGGATAGAGCATAGTTATATTAATATATCAATATCATGTTAGTGCTAGCAAACACCTATGAAGTACCCTCTAACTTCTAGCTGACTCGGCTGTGCCACTTGGTCTGACGTGTGCATACACAGCCTCCAGTCTGAATGATTAAGTCTTTGTCCATACTCAGTCCCATGGAACCTGAATCATACTACACTCACCGCACGTATCGGTACACGTTGGCAAACGAACGTGATTTGACTTGCGGTGTATATAATACGGATACTCGGCACACAGCTGCAATGCAAGTAGCCAGTGTTGTGGCTGTGCGGTCTTGGCATTTCTTCGTGACTGGATATACGAAGCTGAGACTAAATGAAAATTGTGGCTAGAGAAAGCTCGAGGTTTCGATATTGATGCCTGATGTGCACTAGAGTTGTATTAATTGCGTTACAGAAAGTGGAAACTCGTGAAAGTGCCTCCTTTTCCGAACGGCAAACCCGTAGCGTTTAGGTGATCAACTTCTCTAATACTTCTCTGATCTAAGGGATGGGTCGTTAAGTAGGCTATTGCATCACGTACCTAAGCTGGACCCAATTCTAGGACACTTAAAAAATATGTGAGTTCGATTTATGTACTAAATTGGAATATAATAAATACGTCCCAGGCTGTTGAATAGGCTAGACTACACTGCTCTAGTTTCAGGGGTACTTTATGATGAGAGCTTATTGGGCAGTTCGCCCAGAGCTCTACAAAACACACCGCTATGTAGTAAAAGAAACAAGAAACAAAAAGGCTATAGTAAAGGAAATATATACTAATCCTCAAGAGGTTATATGTATGTATATCGATACATTCGTTGTCCTATCCAGGACTAAATGACGACAGCTCCAGAACCCGACAGGTCCATCAAGGTAGCCAGGATGATCGCAACTTATGCCGCCATCAGAAGTCTGACTGATACAGCCCAATCGATTTCACCATCACATTAACTGATACATAGCGCATATTGCGCTGAGTAATATAATCTGTCAAAAAACAATCATTATCACTCGCCCACCACATGGTTCATGTTCGTGGACGAAGAGGGGCACAATTCATCCTCATAGGAGGTAGGTTTCCGAGAGGGGGGCTTCTCAATAACTCCGCTGCAATCGTCGCTCCTATGATCATACGACAATTGGCATCTTTCCTAAACTTGGGTTTCACCACAGTCAAAGCGATCCGTAAAACAGCTCAAAATATATTATTACGAACAAATGGTAATAAAATCAATTATGTGCTCTGACATAGGTATTGCAATAGTATAACACGTTATATAGCGATCTATAAAGCACCTAGGGGAGAGTAAGAAAACCAATCCGAACTTCGACATATTTCTTTGGTTGAAAACGAGGTAAACAAGGTTAACAAAATATGATAAGTCGCATTCTCTGTCATTCTCGCCATACCAAGTCTTTATCGCTATTGTGTTCAAACCCCGAGGCTCTATTACTGCTGCGATCTGATGCCATGATAAGAGCAACAACCTACAAATGACCTGCTATACATTGACTCCAAGACAGCCGTATTTGGTATCATGTTGCTGAGGAGTTCATCGTGCGGAAAAGATTGTCCTGAGATTCCTCAAGACTTTGACCGGAGACTGCAAAAGGAGGGTCGTGGTTTGGTTGATGTTCCACAATTACCCAGTCTGCCCGGCAGGCTTCGAATTTGACTACAAACGGAGTCCTAAGGGCTTCTTTGTAGTCGTCCGGGTACAGGAGCCTAGCTATATCCACTGTGTATACAGCTATGGGCGGGCGGTCTTTTTCTCGAGGCGTACGATCGGTTACCCAATCCATATAATAACCATCGAACGCCGCATGGCTTTCCAGTAGCCACTTTTCATAAACCTTCATGATTACTGCTACTTTCTCGTGGAAAGACATGATTTCGCGGAAGACTTCTATCGTGAATGCTTTTGCTGGCATACGGAACCTGCTAGTGTTGAAGATCCTTTCAGTGCCGTTGAAAAAAAGCGTGGTGTCAATGGGACGCGTCCGGGACTTCACTTCGATATCTAGAGAGTTCCTTAAAGCTGGAACTGTACAGGCATACCGAACTAAGGCAGCTTCAAAAACATCGGCGCCCATTTCATTGGCACCAACGTTGTAGAGGATGGTATCTTGGGCCCCTTGGAACACTGAAAGGAATGGCGATGATAGCAGAATCATCTTTTTAAGATTCTTCCAGTGAAGACGGCACATAATGTCTTGAATCAACTCGATGGGAAGATTCCCGAAATAGCCTGCTGCCGATTTGTTCTTAACAAGATTCGCATGATCCATTGTAGTAAAAAGTTCTCTAGGTTTTGGTTTTGGTGATCAGTAAATGGATTAGGGTACAATTTGTTTGAAAATAACACAATTAATGGTTAATATCAAGTACTAGTAATTTATTGTGGAATTATAAATCAGTAGGCTAGAAAATAAGAGTCTGAAAGCTTGAAAGGTGTCTAGATAAAAATATCAGAAGTTGGAATGGAGATAGCATTCCTAGGTATTAATATAGACACAAAGAACGGCACCATCACAATGCACTACTTTATTACACCAATTTTACAATCTCATTATTCATAGTTGCGAAACTCATGATATCTACCTGTCAAAGAGACAAGGAATTAAATTGTAAATGGGCGCCGTAGCAATATGAGCCGCCCATGATCCGCGACATATTACTATAGAATGGGTAACTTGAGCAAACAAAATCGAAATGTCCTAATTTTCTTAAAATTTTTTTATCTGTCTAAACCTTACACTACTTACCTTAGGTACTTTTGCCTATACTGTGTGCTGGTCATTATAGCTCACAGTGCCCCATATCACATCCTGTAAGAATCGTTACCAGTTATTCATTCTAAGAACTCATTGTACTCTACTGTAGCAAACAAAGAAACTAACTTCAAGTATAAGGTACTCCCAGTCATTTATAGGTGCCGAGATTTAAGTGATTGTGACAACATATTGGTGAAGGTTGCAGGTTCGGGCTATGGTATGCTAACCTCGAGGGCTCAAGGCATCCTTTAATATATAAAACACCTCCTATCGGGCACTGACTAGCTGGTAGTAAGTTTTTCCAAAACACCGTCTTTATCATCTCAATGTAGCTTTAACTTTCATCTCATGATGGAACGATACAAATGAGTATTGGCTGGCAAAATATTAGTGTATCCCCTGAATTAGATATTCAAGGGTATAACAATCCTGTAAGTAGCTGATGTCTAAAACAGGGCTCTACCGATGCCTCTACTTAAAGAGTTCGGATGAAAAACTGAAATATCTCTTAGGGTATCATCAAAAATCCCGAATCGATTTATATAAATCTTTATTAGATTTGAGAGGTGTCTTTAACAGCCACTTTAAACAGCTTTTCGTCGAGTGGCCCCCATGATGAGCAGAATTGCGCAAAGTATATACTAGTCGTATGACGGTACGATCATTAACTCTTGCTTCCCTTTATGTACAATGCTAACAAAAAGCAAATTATTTGCTCAAACCAGCTTAGGATATGTGTTACAAGCTATTACCGAACTCCGTATATATATATATGTAGCCTTCTGACTCTGAGTTGATCCGATGCGCCACGGTCTATCATGCCGCCTTTCCCCTATTTCCGCGCCCTCGCCCTCTAGAGCTAGAGCTGGGTCCTGCCTCTGTAGCTTTAGTAGTGGCATTATTACCGCCTCCACTATTATTAGGTCGATTACTGCTACCCGCTTTTGACTTATTGTTACGATTGCTTCTTCGGCTGCTGTTGTGCTCCTTCTTCCTTTCTTTACCTTCTTCGCGTGCAGCTCGTCTTGCTTCTTCTTCTTGCATCCGCCGGCTTTCCTGATCCCACCACTCCTGGAACGCCTGCTCTTGTTGAATCTCCTGAAGGCTACGTTTGGCGACTGCTTCGCGTACACTTTCCTGTTCTCGCCGCTGTTCTCCAATGATATCGGCAAGACCGAGACCCATCTCCTGGTCCGGTTTAGGTGCTCGTTTGATATAAGACTTCGAGTGCGGAGTGAGTTGCTGGGATTTAGATTGAGTAGCAGGCATGGGTACCTGTGTTGCGCTGTTGGGTTTTTGACCGGAAAATCTAGTATCTGGAGATGCTGTCCGCCGTGGTATGGACTTGCTAGACGATGTCTCTGCAGCAAGAAGTGGCTTTGGTCTCGGTGGACCCGCCGACAAACCTGCCGAATGCTCCGGGATGTCTGTCGGGGGCGTCTTCGAGGCAAGCGGGGTCTTTTGCCAAGGCGAGTCATTCTTTTCGCCAACCTTCGTCCACGGTGATGGCGATTGGTGAGATTGTGACTCTTGCCGAGCTGCTAACTCCACTTGCTGTTGCAATTGCCTTTTTCTCTCCTTTTGAGACATCTTTTGTGGAGTGGCTTTGCTACTTGCCTCTCTTCTCTCAGCCGCTAATTCAGCAGACAACGCTGATTGGACTGGTCGAGACTCTGCTAACACTTCTCGCAGATCTAACCGTGAAGTTGGCAGCGATGATGGTCCCCATGGGTTACCTCCCGATGGTACATGCCTCGCAGGACCATTCTGTAACGTTGTAGGGGATAGGCTGGGTCTTGATGTCGAAACCTGTGTACTGGAGTTTGGTGTAATGCGATCTTCAACAAATTTTCCTTTGGAATTCCTCCAAGGACCAGGAAGCGTTGATAACTGGTCCAATTCGGTTTGCTCACTGGGTTGCAACGGTTGGGGACTTGGAGAAACAGGAGTCGTGCTGCTGGGTGACCCCTCTTCGTCCATAGCAAAGATGAGGTCTGCATGAGAGTCTCTTGGTCGAAGCTCAGGCGTAAAAGGCTCGTTTCGAACTGCTTTTGGCTTTCTCCTACTTCGGTCTGTCATGGGAGAAACAACGGTAGATTCATCCAAGCTCCCAATACGAGACTTGAACGATGTTGATAGCTTTTTATCGTCTTCTTTCTGTATGACCTTATACGCCATCTCTTTCACTCGTCTCTGCCTCTCTTCATCAATGTCTTGCGCTAGCTCGGGGTTGCGTTCGTGGAGTAGTAAATCAGCTCTCCCACTTCGCGCAAATGGACACCTGGCTAGTTGATTATCCCTGACGACCTCATCTAGCTCTAAGAGAAGATCCTCGTCGAGATCGTCAAGGAGACTGCCCATGTATTAGTATCACAATTCATCTTCTATATCGAATTTGATGATCTAGCCAATAACACAACCCAGCAACCTATATATACCATGAAAGACAATCTCTATAGCGAGCGATGTCGTCGAATATTCAAAGCAAAGTCTTTGGGGAAATTCGATTCATTGATTCAATTGTTAGGGTTACTTACTGATTTTCAAGCATTGATTCCATCTGGAGGCAGATGTATTCCAATCCTTTATCCTTGAATTCAGTAACCGAACAGGGGCTGATAGCATTTAGTAGATTCGAAATATTCCGAGTGTTGACTATTAAGATTAATATCTCCCTTGAATATGGTAATGGGAAGATAACTTACCAAAACGACCAATAACTTTCTGGCAGATTTGTGATAGACGATCGAGCATAAGTTCATTAGCAATGCCCATAACCTCCATAACTAATTCGGAGAAGTCATCAAGGTTCTCCGCGGCAACATCGTCGAATAGATCTTCCCCAATATCGGCGTATAGATGCTGAAGTACGTAATGGAATATCTCCGGGTCTATATGCTTCAGGTCGATTTTAATATAGTCGTGATCTTTCTGTTCTGCACGACGACTTTCTAGCCACATACCACGAGAACGACCTTTGAAAAGACCTTGGAACCACGGACACCTTTGGCAGAGCAGGTCGCTGTGGACAAGGATCTCATCACCATCAAGTTCTAAAAGGGCGTCGCCATCTTCAAAAAAGGCTGCATCCTCGATAGCTTTCTGAAAGTCTTTATTCATAGAACGTGGCGGTGAGCTCTGGATCCTAACAGCAGCTTCCAAGTCGGCCATACCAAGTCCAGTTGCCAGTCTCATAAGTTCTGTGCGGATTTGGCGGTATCTATATGCCAAGGGTTTAGATTGCCGCGTAAAGTTCCAGGCAGGGATGACTCTGTCGCAATATAAATAAACGATGAGATTCATCAGTGTGATTATATCGACGCTGCCAGTAAGTTCTATAATCACAACATTGTCCTGTTCGCTGATAGTTAGAACATCTGAAAACTCGGAAATTCCAGTTTCTCTGAATTGCTGTAATCCGGCCCGAAGTAACGGACTTCTAGCTGACAAGAGCCAGGAGTGTACGGGAATTGCCAAATGTGGGAATGCAGCGGCACGAACGACCATGCCAAGACTATCGTGGTGGAAATGCCAATTCTTGAGATGTACTTGAAGATCATCTTCAAGGTCAGTTGACGTCAACACCTCATATGCTAGCGAGTCTACTCGACCTTTCAGCACGTCAGGGTCCTGAAATTTCCAAGTGTCCTTATTTTCTCGCGCTTTAGAATTTAGAGCCCTAAATCCAGACAGGGGAAACAGAGGGGCAATGTCCTCCCACAATGTTGGGTCATCAATCTCAAGTTGCTCCCGTGTCACATCACAATCCTTCCGGACAGCGGCGTACGCACCGAAAGCAGAACTTCTAACAGCAACAATATCTGTAATATAGGGAACACGCTGGAATTTGAAGTCCTTCCGCTTGTTAGAGCCTGCTGTTGTAGGTGCTTTAGTGTCTTTGGCTTTTGTTCGCTTGATGCGATGCCAGACCGCACCAGACTGTGTAGAGATTATAACAGAACCATTTTCTCCGACACTAACAGATCTAACACCGTCTTTTTTGGAACTCCAAATGCATTGCGGTATTGTCACCGCGTCCTTGATCTTCGACGGATTAGTCGTGGACGCAGCAGACTGATTACCATCGTACTTGTGATTGACTATCATGGTAAAGAGGTCTCCATTGCCCGTAACCGCAGCTATGGTATCCCCGCCTGATGTGATTTGATGGATCTCGCGGCGACCAGGATCATAGCGGGAGGACATAGAGAGTTGCACTGAGCGTTGGAGTGGCGAGCTCGTGAAAGGATCAAAGGTGGGGAACTTGATCATGTTATAGCCGTAACTCGTGAAGACACACACGGTATGGTCCTCGAAAAGACAAGATGTAGCTTTCTCGATGGCCGAGACCATGACGATTGAAGAATGACTCGAAAGGAGGGTCGCGGCAACTTTCCTAGGGACCGTCTGAACCTCAAGAGACCTAGAATCCGCATCCATCAAGGCAAGTTGACCAACATTTTTCCCCCAGCAGAACAAAGATGACCCCGTATGTGCTACGGAATGGATAGCAGAAGCCGCCGCCCCGAGTATGATTTCCTTCTTCAATGGACCAAATACTTGTCGAGGCGTTGTACTTATTGGTTCCTCATCAGGTTTCACCGGTGCAGGTAGAGGAACCCCAAGCTGTGAATACGTATTTGACCCCCAAGTCCAGAGTTCTCCCGTGTT